GTTATTGCACCTCAGAAAGCCTAAAGTGCTGTATGTTATTGCACGTCAGAAAGCCCAAAGTGCTGTCTGTTATTGCACCTCAGAAAGACTAAAGTACTGTCTGTTATTGCACCTCAGAAAGACTAAAGTACTGTCTGTTATTGCACCTCAGAAAGACTAAAGTACTGTCTGTTATTGCACCTCAGAAAGACTAAAGTACTGTCTGTTATTGCACTCACCCTAAGCCTCTTGTCGGCAGTGACTCCTCGAGGTCGGCTGGAGATGATTGGCTGAAGTTAAAGAGTTAGATGGTGATTAGTCGTTGACCCCGGTGCTGACTTTGTGCCCTTGGGCCACACACCCGCAGCTCCTCTCAGTGCAGAGGTAATTAGCGCTCACAAATTAGCGCTAAGTGAGATGTCTGTGTGCGCAGCGATCGCACGGGTCAGCGATCACAGACCTCTGCTCTGACTGCGATCTGCTCTGGGGCCCGCCATCTGTCCGACCACATTCTATAATGATAATAATAATAATAATAATAATAATAATAATAATAATAATAATAATAATAATAATAATAATAATAATAATAATAAAAATAAAAATAATAATAATAATAATAATAATAATAAAAATAAAAATAATGATAATAATAATAATAAAAATAATGATAATAATAATAATACAAATAATAAAAATAATGATTATAATAATAATAATAATAATAATAATAATAATGATGATAATAATAATAAAAGGGCCCTAATCTGTCATCATTAAAGGGCCCTAATCTGTCATAATAATAAACTGCTCTTTTCCAATACTTCTTTAACTGATAACAGTAGTTCAGAGATATTTGAATTTCTAAATTACTTTTCCAGTCCCTAAATCTTGTTATTGTTTTCATTTCGATGTCCCGCCCTCCACCGTTTCACCAATCAGAAAGTCTGTGATCCGGGCGCCAGAACTCACCGAGTGGAGCTAATCTCACTGGTAAAGTACCATGTGGAGCTAATCTCACTGGTAAAGTACCATGTGGAGCTAATCTCACTGGTAAAGTACCATGTGGCGCAGAACTAAAAAAGGTCTCGTTATGGTTCTCAAATCATTAACGACAAAACAAGGAATAAAAGCAGGATTTCTATCTTTGTGAAAAAGGTGTTGGTTATAGATTTGTTGTTGACAAAACTCTAGTCTATTCAGCTGTTATGGTCCCAGCTCTCAGATCCAGACCTGCTCTCAGACCCACTTCCAGACCCGCTCCCGCTCCCAGACCCAGACCCAGACCCAGAACTGCTCCCAGACCCGCTCTCAGACCCGCTCTCAGGCCCACCCTGACCTCTGCATTGTACCTGGGTGACCCTCGAGGCGGGTGTGGCCCCTGTGACACCTGACACCCAGAGGAGACACATAAAGGCAGTGTGTGAGACAGACAGGCTGCTCATCACCTCAGCACCAGGAGGCACAGGGGGGAGGAGGGGGAGGAGGCTGCAATAGAGGGGGGAGGAGGGGGTGGGTAAAGGTATATTTTCCTAAAGATCCTGTTCCAGGTCTTTATGAACATTAAAACTGTAAACTGTGTTCAACCCTGAAAATATGGTGAGAAATCCTCTGTCCCACTAGGCCCCAGTCCAACTTCTCCTCCTATCCCCTTCCTGTCCCTCTCCTCCTCTTGTCCTGCTCCTCCGTCTTTCCTCCTCCTGCTCCTCCTGCTCCTCCTGCTCCTCCTGCTCCTCCTGCTCCTGACCTGAACATTCAATCCCAGTTTTTATAAATTAGCGGCTTGTTTCCACTTGACACTGTCTGAGCCCAAAGCTGCTAACGAGGCACAGTTCCTCTGGACATGGGAGGAGCAGGAGCAGGAGGAGGAGGAGGAGGAGGAGGAGGAGCAGGAGCAGGAGGAGGAGGAGCAGGAGCAGGAGCAGGAGGAGGAGGAGGAGGAGCAGGAGCAGGAGCAGGAGGAGGAGGAGGAGGAGGACTGATGGAGAGCACAGCTGTGGTGGACGCCGGACTCAGGACCTCTGTTTGCGGACCGTTGGAGCAGAACCATTCCAGGCAGCAGCAGAGAGTCCACGTTAGAGCTGGGAATGGAAAGAGACGGAGACGCCAGACTCTGAGGAGGAAGCTCCAGGATCAGTCTGACTTTGGTCTAAAGCAGTTTGAGATTCTGACATCGCTCCTCATCAAGAGCAGACCTTAAGTTGTGTCTTGCTCCATCCATGCTCCATCCAGGAACTATCTCTAACACATCTCTATCTGTGAGCCTTCATCAAGAGACCAGACCATGTGAAATGTACACGCAAATCTAGATAGATGGGGTTTCTCATTTTATTTGGGGCAGTTTCTTTCTGGGGTTTGCATGTTCTCCCTGTGTCTGCATAGGTTTCTCCCACCACCTCAGACCCCAGACCCTCAGACGCCCAGAACCTCAGACACTCAGACCCTCAGACCTTCAGACCCCAGACCCTCAGACCCCCAGAACCTCAGACCCTCAGGCCCTCAGACCCTTAGACCCAGGCCGTATCTGTCCCTGTATCTCCTCAGACCCTCAGACCCTTAGACCCAGGCCGTATCTGTCCCTGTATCTCCTCAGACCCTCAGACCCTTAGACCCAGGCCGTATCTGTCCCTGTATCTCCTCAGACCCTCAGACCCTTAGACCCAGGCCGTATCTGTTCCTGTATCTCCTCAGACCCTCCGGCCCCCTTAGACTCTCAGACCCCAGACCCTCAGACCTCAGACCCTCAGACCTCAGACCCTCAGACCCCAGACCCTCCTCGGTGCTTTGAAGGCAGAACAAACCACACGCTGCAGCCTCAGCTCTGATCACACGAGTCTGAGCAAAGTGAGGATCTCTATATCCTTTATTTCTAGGGCCGTTTCCAGGGCCACACCCAGGGCCACACCCAGAGCCACACCCAGGGCCACACCCAGAGCTGCTTACACACACTCTCAGTTATGGTCCTATCAGCGCCTCTTTATGCACAACAATGACCAGCTGTATTTACCCATATGTGTATTTCATAGTATACAAAGGCTTTTACATAACGTGTGTAAACGTCTTTCTGACTGTGGCCTTTTGTGGGACAGTCCAGGACTTCACTGAGAGCTTTAAGAACCAGGGTTTCACAGAGATTTGTCGTCTGTAAAGTTCAAACACTTTTTATTCTGAATTTTGCTTATGGTGAATGGTGATGAAGAAATGACTGGTGTGTGTCTGTGTGTGTGTCTGTGTGTCTCTGTGTGTGTGTGTGTGTGTGTGTGTGTGTGTCTCTGTGTGTCAAATACTCCGGTTGTTACTTTTTTAAAGGTCTATTGCTCCTTTCTCTCACCTTCTTGTCTCCTCTTCCTTTACACGTTTGTTGATGCAGCCTTGACCCGGTCAGTGAATGTGTGTGTGTGTGTGTGTGTGTGCGTCTCTGTGTGTGTGTGTGTGTGTGTCTGTGTGTGTGCGTCTCTGTGTGTGTGTGTGTGTGTCTGTGTGTCTGTGTGTGCGTCTGTGTGTGTGTGTGTGTGTGTCTGTATGTGTGCGTCTGTGTGTGTGTGTGTCTGTGTGTGTGTGTGCGTCTGTGTGTGTGTGTGTGTGTCTGTATGTGTGTGTGTGTGTGTGTGTGTGTCTGTGTGTGTGTGTGTCTGTGTGTGTGTGTGTGTGTGTGTGTGTGTGTCTGTGTGTGTGTGTGTCTGTGTGTGTGTGTGCGTCTGTGTGTGTGTGTATGTGTGTGTCTGTGTGTGTGTGTCTGTGTGTGTGTGTGTGTCTGTGTGTGTGTGTGTGTGTGTGTGTCTGTGTGTGTGTGTGTGTCTGTGTGTGTGTGTGCGTCTGTGTGTGTGTGTGTGTGTGTGTGTGTGTGTGTGTGTCTGTGTGTGTGTGTGTGCGTCTGTGTGTGTGTGTGTGTATCCAGAGGGCATGGCTCCACTCCACTGACAGCTCTGGACAGTAATGAGTCCACAGTTAACCATGTGAGGACAGGACTTATGGACCAGCGGGTCACGGAGCGGCTGCAGAGATGAAAGCTGTGGACGATGGTACGATGGTACGCTGGTACGATGGTACGATGGTACGATGGTATAATGGGACAATGGTGCGATGCCTGTTCTTGTCCTCAGTCTCTGACAAATATGTTCATAACTCGTGAAGACCATGGTTTTGGCAGTGAAGAAATTGGACCAATACAGTTTGTTGCTCCGTCCACAGCCATGTCCCCACACAGTCTCATGTCCCCACACAGTCTCAGGTCCCCACACAGTCTCAGGTCCCCACACAGTCTCATGTCCCCACACAGTCTCATGTCCCCACACAGTCTCATGTCCCCACACAGTCTCAGGTCCCCACACAGTCTCATGTCCCCACACAGTCTCATGTCCCCACACAGTCTCATGTCCCCACACAGTCTCATGTCCCCACACAGTCTCAGGTCCCCACACAGTCTCATGTCCCCACACAGTCTCATGTCCCCACACAGTCTCAGGTCCCCACACAGTCTCAGGTCCCCACACAGTCTCATGTCCCCACACAGTCTCAGGTCCCCATACAGTCTCAGGTCCCCACACAGTCTCATGTCCCCACACAGTCTCAGGACCCCACACAGTCTCATGTCCCCACACAGTATCATGTCCCCACACAGTCTCAGGTCCCCACACAGTCTCATGTCCCCACACAGTCTCATGTCCCCACACAGTCTCATGTCCCCACACAGTATCATGTCCCCACACAGTCCCATGTCCCCACACAGTCTCAGGTCCCCACACAGTCTCATGTCCCCACACAGTCTCATGTCCCCACACAGTCTCATGTCCCCACACAGTCTCATGTCTCCACACAGTCTCAGGTCCCCACACAGTCTCATGTCCCCACACAGTCTCAGGTCCCCACACAGTCTCATGTCCCCACACAGTCTCATGTCCCCACACAGTCTCATGTCCCCACACAGTCTCATGTCCCCACACAGTCTCATGTCCCCACACAGTCCCATGTCCCCACACAGTCCCATGTCCCCACACAGTCTCATGTCCCCACACAGTCTCATGTCCCCACACAGTCTCATGTCCCCACACAGTCTCATGTCCCCACACAGTCTCAGGTCCCCACACAGTCTCATGTCCCCCACACAGTCTCAGGTCCCCACACAGTCTCATGTCCCCACACAGTCTCATGTCCCCACACAGTCTCATGTCCCCACACAGTCTCAGGTCCCCACACAGTCTCATGTCCCCACACAGTCTCAGGTCCCCACACAGTCTCATGTCCCCACACAGTCTCAGGTCCCCACACAGTCTCATGTCCCCACACAGTCTCATGTCCCCACACAGTCTCAGGTCCCCACACAGTCTCATGTCCCCACACAGTCTCATGTCCCCACACAGTCTCATGTCCCCACACAGTCTCATGTCCCCACACAGTCTCAGGTCTCAGCACCAGAGGGACACTTAAGAGTAGTTTACAAAGGGTCTGTGTGTGTGTGTGTGTGTGTGTCCGTGTATGTGTCCGTGTGTGTGTGTGTGTGTATGTGTGTGTGTGTGTGTGTGTGTGTGTGTGTGTGTGTGTGTATGTGTGTCCGTGTGTGTGTGTGTATGTGTGTCCCAGAATGCTCAGTCAGGCAGAAAACTGTGCTGTGCATGATGTGTCGAGTTTGAAAACAGAACATAGAGAGTAGAGTAGAGTGCATGCTGCTAACATGTACAGATGCTAACATGTACAGATGCTAACATGTACAGATGCTAACATGTACAAATTCTAACATGTACAGATGCTAACATGTACAGATGCTAACATGTACAGATGCTAACATGTACAAATTCTAACATGTACAGATGCTAACATGTACAGATGCTAACATGTACAGATGCTGACGTGTACATATGCTAACATGTACAGATGCTAACATGTACAGATGCTAACATGTACAGATGCTAACATATAACTACATTTTGCTTGCACTAGAATACACAGTACTTTATACTTGCCCCGTATTTTGCCAAATATACATTTTATACACATACATATTATTATGTTCAAGATTGTATACTTGTATACGCTCTGATGCTAGAGTTTGAGATTTTTTTTAATGAGTAGAGTAGGCGTCCCTGTGGTGGTGACGCCTCAGTCCTCCGGTGATGAGCTGAGAAACCTCCCCCTAATGTAGCCGTCACTAAACCCTTTCAAGTGTTTCCTAAAGACATATTTCCACTCGACCTTCTCTTTAAACACGGTCCTTCGTTAGCGCCGCGGTCCTTCGTTAGCGCCGCGGCCCTTTTGAGTCTGTGCTAATTGTGATCAACCCTCAGTGATGAAGGCCCGTGTCCTGGTCTTTGTTCCGAGCCTTATCTGCCCTGTCTCCCGGGAGAGAGATAACAACCTTCATTCAGTCCGTCTCCAAATGAGCAGTTTTTTCATCATTAGTGATATTATTGGCGGCGCTGTTTCAAAGCTCGCCTGGAGTTCACTCAAAGGTGATTTAAAAGGATGTTCGTCTTTGGGACTGTGCGAAGGACAAACGTCAGGCTTCACTTCCAGGTTTTGTGATTGCACAATACTCTACATGTCCTATACATACTCCATGGGTTAAAACAATAATTAATTAAAGCATTATTTAAACTAGAGATGTATTAATGGCAAGTCTGTTTGTAGTTTATTAGTTTGGGGCCTCGGCACTGATGGGGAGGAGGTAGTTGCGTCTCAAAAGGCTGCCCGGTGTCCTGTTTGTAAACGCTGGCTTGATTGGCGGCTGGAACGGAGCTGACAAAGCTGATGTGATTGGCTGAGGAAGGAGCTGATGTGATTGGCTGAGGAGGGAGGGGGCGGTGACGTGTGTGTGGAGTCTACCAGTCTGAATTTTCACTTAAGCTTAGTTTACTGTAGAAACATAACTATTATGTTCTCTACTGTACTGACCCGCTGCACTGGTCTACTGTACTGGTCTGTACTGGTCTGAACTGGTCTGTTCTGGTCTCTACTGGTCTACTGTACTGGTCTGTACTGGTCTGTTCTAGTCTGAACTGGTCTGAACTGGTCTACTGTACTGGTCTGTACTGGTCTCTACTGGTCTGTACTGGTCTGTTCTGGTCTGTTCTGGTCTGTACTGGTCTGTACTGGTCTGTACTGGTCTTTACTGGTCTTTACTGGTCTGTGCTGGTCTGTACTGGTCTTTACTGGTCTGTACTGGTCTCTACTGGTCTACTGTACTGACCCGCTGTACTGGTCTACTGTACTGGTCTGTTCTGGTCTCTACTGGTCTGTACTGGTCTGTTCTGGTCTCTACTGGTCTACTGTACTGACCCGCTGTACTGGTCTATTGTACTGGTCTGTACTGGTCTGTTCTGGTCTCTACTGGTCTACTGTACTGACCCGCTGTACTGGTCTACTGTACTGGTCTATACTGGTCTGAACTGGTCTGTTCTGGTCTCTACTGGTCTACTGTACTGACCCGCTGCACTGGTCTACTGTACTGGTCTATACTGGTCTGAACTGGTCTGTTCTGGTCTCTACTGGTCTACTGTACTGACCCGCTGCACTGGTCTACTGTACTGGTCTCTACTGGTCTGTTCTGGTCTGTACTGGTCTGTACTGGTCTGTACTGGTCTGTACTGGTCTACTGTACTGATCTGCTGTACTGGTCTACTGTACTGGTCTGTACTGGTCTGTACTGGTCTGTACTGGTCTGTACTGGTGTACTGTACTGATCCGCTGCACTGGTCTACTGTACTGGTCTGTACTGGTCTGTACTGGTCTGTACTGGTGTACTGTACTGATCCGCTGTACTGGTCTACTGTACTGGTCTGTACTGGTCTCTACTGGTCTCTACTGGTCTGTACTGGTCTATTGTACTGGTCTGTACTGGTCTGTACTGGTCTCTTCTGGTCTACTGCACTGGTCTGAACTGGTCTCCTGTACTGGTCTGAACTGGTCTCTACTGGTCTGTACTGGTATGTACTGGTCTGTACTGGTCTGTACCTGTCTGCTGTACTTCTGTGGGTGTGTTCTCTCTTTGCCGTGGATGTGTACTCTCTGCTGTGGGTGTGTACTCTCTGCTGTGGGTGTGTACTCTCTGCTGTGGGTGTGTTCTCTCTGCTGTGGGTGTGTACTCTCTGCTGTGGGTGTGTACTCTCTGCTGTGGGTGTGTACTCTCTGCTGTGGGTGTGTTCTCTCTGCTGTGGGTGTGTTCTCTCTGCTGTGGGTGTGTACTCTCTGCTGCGGGTGTGTACTCTCTGCTGTGGGTGTGTACTCTCTGCTGTGGGTGTGTACTCTCTGCTGTGGGTGTGTTCTCTCTGCTGTGGGTGTGTACTCTCTGCTGTGGGTGTGTACTCTCTGCTGCGGGTGTGTACTCTCTGCTGCGGGTGTGTACTCTCTGCTGCGGGTGTGTACTCTCTGCTGTGGGTGTGTTCTCTCTGCTGTGGGTGTGTACTCTCTGCTGTGGGTGTGTTCTCTCTGCTGTGGGTCTGTACTCTCTGCTGTGGGTGTGTACTCTCTGCTGCGGGTGTGTACTCTCTGCTGTGGGTGTGTTCTCTCTGCTGTGGGTGTGTACTCTCTGCTGTGGGTGTGTACTCTCTGCTGCGGGTGTGTACTGCGGGTACTCTCTGCTGCGGGTGTGTACTCTCTGCTGTGGGTGTGTACTCTCTGCTGCGGGTGTGTACTCTCTGCTGCGGGTGTGTACTCTCTGCTGCGGGTGTGTACTCTCTGCTGCGGGTGTGTACTCTCTGCTGTGGGTGTGTACTCTCTGCTGTGGGTGTGTTCTCTCTGCTGGGGTGTGTACTCTCTGCTGCGGGTGTGTACTCTCTGCTGCGGGTGTGTACTCTCTGCTGTGGGTGTGTTCTCTCTGCTGTGGGTGTGTACTCTCTGCTGTGGGTGTGTTCTCTCTGCTGTGGGTGTGTACTCTCTGCTGTGGGTGTGTACTCTCTGCTGCGGGTGTGTACTCTCTGCTGTGGGTGTGTTCTCTCTGCTGTGGGTGTGTACTCTCTGCTGTGGGTGTGTACTCTCTGCTGCGGGTGTGTACTCTCTGCTGCGGGTGTGTACTCTCTGCTGTGGGTGTGTACTCTCTGCTGCGGGTGTGTACTCTCTGCTGCGGGTGTGTACTCTCTGCTGCGGGTGTGTACTCTCTGCTGCGGGTGTGTACTCTCTGCTGTGGGTGTGTACTCTCTGCTGTGGGTGTGTTCTCTCTGCTGTGGGTGTGTACTCTCTGCTGTGGGTGTGTTCTCTCTGCTGTGGGTGTGTACTCTCTGCTGTGGGTGTGTACTCTCCTCAGACAGAACAAAGCCTCGTCGTGAAACTCTGTCCCAGAACTGAGACTGTAGATTCATTAGACCCTATTTTTGACCGTTTTGAGTTTGCGTTAGTCTGAAAAACATGTTAAGGACCATAATTTTCAGAATGAACTTCTCAGATTTTGACCATTTTATAATCTCTTTCACCGGAGACGCCATCGCCCCCTCATGGCTGCTCTGAGCACTGTCCTTCTCGTTTTACTTTCTGAATCTGTGGTGGGCGGATCATTCAGCACTGGCACTTGGGCTGGCACTTGGGATGGGCTGCCACTTAGGGCTGAAGGGGCCGGGAGCAGAGTGATCTGGCAGGACTCATGGGTTGAGATCAATACTGGGCCATGTGGGTGTCATCGAGTCTGATATAAAACCTATAGAATGATTCATGTCAGAGCCACAGTGCATCAGTTCTATGAAAAATCAGAGAGACGAGAGATGAGGGCTTCAAAGCAGAGAGACCAAAGGGACAGAGATAACACTCAGGCTCCTGCAGAGACTGTGTCCTATCATATGTAATCTTTATTTATATACCGCCTTTTCACTGCACGTCGGAGTCTCAAAGCGGTTTACAATTGTGATTTTTTGGGATTGGGGGGGCCAGTACAGGAGGCACATGCCAGAACTATTGCACATATTTTTAGTGGTAGGGGAAACCGGAGCACCAGGAGGAAACCTACGCAGACACGGGGAGAACATGCAAACTCCACTCAGAAAGGCCCTGGTCCAACCGGGATTCGAACCCAGGACCTTCTTGCTGAGAGGCGAGAGTGCTATCCACTCAGCCACCGTGCCGCCCGGAATACTTCTGCATTCAACACATACAGTTCTCTACGAAACACAGACGCAGGAGAGAGACTTCTGGAGCAGGACAATGATAATAATGCATTAGTTTTATGTAGCTCACAGATGATTCAGATGCCACAGCTGCCCTGGGGCACACTGACAGAAGCTAGGAAACCAGTCTGTGCCATCGGCCCCTCCCACCACCCCCAACCATTCACACACACACCAGACTCGGAGCACATGGAGAAAACCTGCGACCAAAGATACAGATGTGTAAAGTTTTATTGTGATTTTATCGTCAAACTTTGGAGATCATAAATTAACTTTTCTATTTTCAAATGACCACAGTCTCTATTCCCAGGTTTTTGAAAGTTTGAGGTTTTTTTGGTAGTTGTAGATAAGGTGCTTTCTCCTCTGGTCTCTCTCTGGTCTCTCTCTCTGGTCTCTCTCTGGTCTCTCTCCCTGGTGTCCCTCTTTAGTCTCTCTCTGGTCCCTTCTTCTTGACAAAAGTCTCTGCTAAAGTAAAAAATCTGTATAAATCCTGGAGATGGGACTATTCCTCTCCTGGTGTCAGCCCTGGTTGCTGGTGTGAGGCCTCTCCTGGTCTCAGCCCTTGTTGCTGGTGTGAGGCCTCTCCTGGTCTCAGCCCTGGTTTCTGGTGTGAGGCCTCCCCTGGTCTCAGCCCTGGTTGCTGGTGTGAGGCCTCTCCTGGTCTCAGCCCTGGTTGCTGGTGTGAGGCCTCCCCTGGTCTCAGCCCTTGTTGCTGGTGTAAGGCCTCTCCTGTTCTCAACCCTTGTTGCTGGTCTGAGGCCTCTCCTGGTCTCAGCCCTGGTTGCTGGTGTGAGGCCTCCCCTGTTGTCAGCCCTGGTTGCTGGTATGAGGCCTCCCCTGGTCTCAGCCCTGGTTTCTGGTGTGAGGCCTCTCCTGGTCTCAGCCCTTGTTGCTGGTGTGAGGCCTCTCCTGGTGTCAGCCCTCGTTGTGCTGGTGTGAGGCCTCTCCTGGTGTCAGCCCTGTTTGCTGGTGTGAGGCCTCCCCTGGTGTCAGCCCTGGTTGCTGGTGTGAGGCCTCCCCTGGTCTCAGCCCTGGTTGCTGGTGTGAGGCCTCCCCTGGTGTCAGCCCTGGTTTCTGGTGTGAGGCCTCCCCTGGTGTCAGCCCTGGTTGCTGGTGTGAGGCCTCCCCTGGTCTCAGCCCTGGTTGCTGTTGCGAGGCCTCTTCTGGTGTCAGCCCTGGTTGCTGGTGTGAGGCCTCCCCTGGTGTCAGCCCTGGTTGCTGGTGTGAGGCCTCTTCTGGTCTCAGCCCTGGTTGCTGGTGTGAGGCCTCCCCTGGTGTCAGCCCTGGTTTCTGGTGTGAGGCCTCCCCTGGTGTCAGCCCTGGTTGCTGGTGTGAGGCCTCCCCTGGTCTCAGCCCTGGTTGCTGTTGCGAGGCCTCTCCTGGTGTCAGCCCTGGTTGCTGGTGTGAGGCCTCCCCTGGTGTCAGCCCTGGTTGCTGGTGTGAGGCCTCTCCTGGTGTCAGCCCTGGTTGCTGGTGTGAGGCCTCCCCTGGTCTCAGCCCTGGTTGCTGGTGTGAGGCCTCTCCTGGTCTCAGCCCTGGTTGCTGTTGCGAGGCCTCTCCTGGTCTCAGCCCTGGTTGCTGGTGTGAGGCCTCTCCTGGTGTCAGCCCTGGTTTCTGGTGTGAGGCCTCCCCTGGTGTCAGCCCTGGTTGCTGGTGTGAGGCCTCCCCTGGTCTCAGCCCTGGTTGCTGTTGCGAGGCCTCTCCTGGTGTCAGCCCTGGTTGCTGGTGTGAGGCCTCCCCTGGTGTCAGCCCTGGTTGCTGGTGTGAGGCCTCTCCTGGTGTCAGCCCTGGTTGCTGGTGTGAGGCCTCCCCTGGTCTCAGCCCTGGTTGCTGGTGTGAGGCCTCTCCTGGTCTCAGCCCTGGTTGCTGGTGTGAGGCCTCTCCTGGTGTCAGCCCTGGTTGCTGGTGTGAGGCCTCCCCTGGTGTCAGCCCTGGTTGCTGGTGTGAGGCCTCCCCTGGTGTCAGCCCTGGTTGCTGGTGTGAGGCCTCCCCTGGTCTCAGCCCTGGTTGCTGGTGTGAGGCCTCTCCTGGTCTCAGCCCTGGTTGCTGGTGTGAGGCCTCTCCTGGTGTCAGCCCTGGTTGCTGGTGTGAGGCCTCCCCTGGTGTCAGCCCTGGTTGCTGGTGTGAGGCCTCCCCTGGTGTCAGCCCTGGTTGCTGGTGTGAGGCCTCCCCTGGTGTCAGCCCTGGTTGCTGGTGTGAGGCCTCCCCTGGTGTCAGCCCTGGTTGCTGGTGTGAGGCCTCCCCTGGTGTCAGCCCTGGTTGCTGGTGTGAGGCCTCTCCTGGTGTCAGCCCTGGTTGCTGGTGTGAGGCCTCCCCTGGTGTCAGCCCTGGTTGCTGGTGTGAGGCCTCCCCTGGTGTCAGCCCTGGTTGCTGGTGTGAGGCCTCCCCTGGTGTCAGCCCTGGTTGCTGGTGTGAGGCCTCTCCTGGTCTCAGCCCTGGTTGCTGTTGCGAGGCCTCTCCTGGTCTCAGCCCTGGTTGCTGGTGTGAGGCCTCTCCTGGTGTCAGCCCTGGTTTCTGGTGTGAGGCCTCCCCTGGTGTCAGCCCTGGTTGCTGGTGTGAGGCCTCCCCTGGTCTCAGCCCTGGTTGCTGTTGCGAGGCCTCTCCTGGTGTCAGCCCTGGTTGCTGGTGTGAGGCCTCCCCTGGTGTCAGCCCTGGTTGCTGGTGTGAGGCCTCTCCTGGTGTCAGCCCTGGTTGCTGGTGTGAGGCCTCCCCTGGTCTCAGCCCTGGTTGCTGGTGTGAGGCCTCTCCTGGTCTCAGCCCTGGTTGCTGGTGTGAGGCCTCTCCTGGTGTCAGCCCTGGTTGCTGGTGTGAGGCCTCCCCTGGTGTCAGCCCTGGTTGCTGGTGTGAGGCCTCCCCTGGTGTCAGCCCTGGTTGCTGGTGTGAGGCCTCCCCTGGTCTCAGCCCTGGTTGCTGGTGTGAGGCCTCTCCTGGTCTCAGCCCTGGTTGCTGGTGTGAGGCCTCTCCTGGTGTCAGCCCTGGTTGCTGGTGTGAGGCCTCCCCTGGTGTCAGCCCTGGTTGCTGGTGTGAGGCCTCCCCTGGTGTCAGCCCTGGTTGCTGGTGTGAGGCCTCCCCTGGTCTCAGCCCTGGTTGCTGGTGTGAGGCCTCTCCTGGTCTCAGCCCTGGTTGCTGGTGTGAGGCCTCTCCTGGTGTCAGCCCTGGTGTGCTGGTGTGAGGCCTCCCCTGGTGTCAGCCCTGGTTGCTGGTGTGAGGCCTCCCCTGGTGTCAGCCCTGGTTGCTGGTGTGAGGCCTCCCCTGGTGTCAGCCCTGGTTGCTGGTGTGAGGCCTCTCCTGGTCTCAGCCCTGGTTGCTGGTGTGAGGCCTCTCCTGGTCTCAGCCCTGGTTGCTGGTTGACGCGGGGCTAAACGACCCGTGGACGCACATGGGTCACACTCACTTTAATTCAATCTTTTGTCGACTCATCGTCTGGAAAGATTGTTTCCTTCCTGCTCTGGAGGAAGCAGCTTCGGTCGTGTCTCGCTGCTCGTCCGACTGGAACGCTGGCTACGGGAGGAAAGTGCCGAGTCCCTGTAGGTGTGGGTCAGTTTGCATGTTCTTCCTGTGGACGGTGGACTTTGCTCCAGCCTCCGCTTGTTCTGTGTCAAAGTAAATCACATTTTCCAAAAGTAACCATGATTTATGACTGAACCTCCGACACCTCTCTCCTGTTTCAGCTAAAACTACTACAGCTTTTTGAATGGACTGGAAACAGCAGCGAAGTGTTGTTTTGTGTTTTACAGTCGTTATTTTGCTTTTTGCTTTTTTATCCATAAATCATCAGCTGCTCGGGGCCTCAGCCGCTGCTCGGGGCCTCAGCCGCTGCTCGGGGCCTCAGCCGCTGCTCGGGGCCTCAGCCGCTGCTCGGGGCCTCAGCCGCTGCTCGGGGCCTCAGCCGCTGCTCGGGGCCTGCAGCTTTACCGTAAAGCTCTACAGGTTTACACCGCAGGCCTAATAATCTAAAAGTGTACACATGGGTCACACGGGGCAACTGGAGTGGGCTGGGGTAGTTTGAGATGGGCTGGGATACACTGGGAAAGGCTTGGTTAGGGTGTGGTGGACTGTGGTGGGCTGTGGTGGGCTGTGGTGGGCTGTGGTGGGCTGTAGTGGGCTGTGGTGGGCTGTGGTGGGCTGTGGTGGGCTGTGGTGGGCTGTGGTGGGCTGTAGTGGGCTGTGGTGGGCTGTGGTGGGCTGTGGTGGGCTGTGGTGGACTGTGGTGGGCTGTGGTGGGCTGTAGTGGGCTGTGGTGGGCTGTGGTGGACTGTGGTGGGCTGTGGTGGGCTGTGGTGGACTGTGGTGGGCTGTGGTGGGCTGTAGTGGGCTGTGGTGGACTGTGGTGGACTGTGGTGGGCTGTGGTGGGCTGTGGTGGGCTGAAGTGGGCTGTGGTGGGCTGTGGTGGGCTGTGGTGGGCTGTAGTGGGCTGTGGTGGGCTGTGGTGGGCTGAAGTGGGATGTAGTGGGCTGATTCGGCTGTGGTGGGCTGTGGTGGGCTGTGGTGGGCTGAAGTGGGCTGGAGTGGGCTGGAGTGGGCTGTAGTGGGCTGGGGTGGGCTGTGGTGGGCTGTGGTGGGCTGTGGTGGGCTGGGGTGGACTGTGGTGGGCTGTGGTGGGCTGGGGTGGACTGTGGTGGGCTGTAGTGGGCTGTGGTGGGCTGTAGTGGGCTGTGGTCTGTGGTGGGCTGGAGTGGGCTGGAGTGGACTGTGGTGGGCTGTGGTGGGCTGAAGTGGGCTGGAGTGGGCTGGAGTGGGCTGGAGTGGGCTGGAGTGGGCTTTGGTGGGCTGTGGTGGACTGTGGTGGGCTGTAGTGGGCTGTGGTGGGCTGTGGTGGGCTGTGGTGGGCTGGAGTGGGCTGGAGTGAGCTGTGGTGGGCTGTGGTGGGCTGTAGTGGGCTGTGGTGGACTGTGGTGGGCTGTGGTGGGCTGAAGTGGGCTGTGGTGGGCTGAAGTGGGCTGTGGTGGGCTGAAGTGGGCTGTGGTGGGCTGAAGTGGGCTGTGGTGGGCTGTGGTGGGCTGTAGTGGGCTCTGGTGGGCTGAAGTGGGCTGTGGTGGGCTGAAGTGGGCTGAAGTGGGCTGTGGTGGGCTGTAGTGGGCTGTGGTGAGCTGTGGTGGGCTGTGGTGGGCTGGAGTGGGCTGGAGTGAGCTGTGGTGGGCTGTGGTGGGCTGTAGTGTGCTGTAGTGGGCTGTGGTGGGCTGTGGTGGGCTGAAGTGGGCTGTGGTGGGCTGAAGTGGGCTGTGGTGGGCTGTGGTGGGCTGTAGTGGGCTCTGGTGGGCTGAAGTGGGCTGTGGTGGGCTGAAGTGGGCTGAAGTGGGCTGTGGTGGGCTAAAGTGGGCCGTGGTGGGCTGTGGTGGGCCGTGGTGGGCTGAAGTGGGCTGGAGTGGGCTGTGGTCGAGTCCGAGAGGAGCTCATGACGATGCCAAATACATATGCAGTATATAAAAAGCATGTTCAAACCAAGGCCCGTGGGCCAAATGCGGCCCTCTGTTTCATTGTATGCGGCCCTCTGCCTTGCTAATACAAAACCTTCCATTTAGGCACTTCCTCCTACTGCACCTCATGGAAAAGGAACTCAGCCACTCACAGTATCTGTATGTACTGTCCCAAACTGGCCCCAGTGTAGATGCAGGGTTAATAAGTACGAGCATATCACCCAATGTTAAAGCCCAAAGCCTGAAAAGCAGTTTTCCGGTTTGATTTTATTTAAGTTTATTTTTATTTTGTGTTAATGTCACATACTCATTACATGCAGTGAGATTCTCCTGTGCCTCCAGCAGATGTTCAGCGCAGTATTCAGAACAATAACAGAATAAAACACTGCTTTAACAGCCTGACTGTGTGTTGTAATGCTTCCCTCTGATTGTGTGTGTCCTCTGTACCACACACACTTCACTGTGATCCTCAGACTCCCCCAGCCCCAGCCCCAGCCTCCCACATACCGCTCGGAGCTGACCAAAACAAAAGACAGCTGGAGTCGTGGAGCAATGCAGCCCGAGCGGGGGATTCCACGGCCCAGCATTCGAAAACCATTAACAGACATCTCCTGGTTTATCCACTGCTCAGCTGCACCATGGGTCACACGTCCTGACTCGGGCGAGATTTGGTGCTCGTAAATCTGCATTAGCCTCAGGACGGAGGGACAGAGAGGACGGAGAGGACGGAGAGGACGGAGAGGACAGAGAGGACGGAGAGGACGGAGAGGACAGAGAGGACAGACAGGACAGACAGGACAGACAGGACGGAGAGGACAGAGAGGACGGAGAGGACAGACAGGACAGACAGGACAGAGAGGACAGAGAGGACAGACAGGACAGACAGGACAGAGAGGACAGAGAGGACAGAGAGGACAGACAGGACAGAGAGGACAGAGAGGACAGACAGGACAGACAGGACAGAGAGGACAGAGAGGACAGAGAGGACAGACAGGACAGAGAGGACAGAGAGGACAGAGAGGACAGAGAGGACAGAGAGGACAGAGAGGACAGACAGGACAGAGAGGACAGAGAGGACAGAGAGGACAGACAGGACAGACAGGACAGAGAGGACAGAGAGGACAGAGAGGACAGACAGGACAGAGAGGACAGGTGGACGTGTCAGCAGACGAGGCCCTGGACAATGGGTTAAAGCTGATGAAGACGGACTCCTGCGTCTTTGAGCGATATTTCAATCCCCTGAGTCTAGGCAGCATCTTCCAATTACCCATTACATTACCTCAGAAACTAAGCAGTGCAGGGCCTGGTTAGCGCTGTGATGGGAGTCTCTCGTATTACTGGGACCACAGTGGGAAGGCTGAGACATGTGTGTCCTACTGCACTCACACGTATGAGACATGTGTGTCCTACTGCACTCACACACATGAGACATGTGTGTCCTACTGCACTCACACACATGAGACATGTGTGTCCTACTGCACTCACACGTATGAGACATGTGTGTCCTACTGCACTCACACACATGAGACATGTGTGTCCTACTGCACTTATTTATTGTTATATAACAGGACTTCAGTCGAACAAACTAACCCTAACCCTCGGACAGTGACCACATCCACCATGTGTGAGACAGACCAGGACAGGTCTGTGTCCTCTCAGACCAGGTCAGTCTGTGTCCTCTCAGACCAGGACAGGTCAGACTGTGTCCTCTCAGAGCAGGACAGGTCTGTGTCCTCTCAGACCAGGACAGGTCTGTGTCCTCTCAGACCAGGACAGGTATGTGTCCTCTCAGAGCAGGACAGGTCTGTGTCCTCTCAGAGCAGGACAGGTCTGTGTCCTCTCAGACCAGGACAGGTATGTGTCCTCTCAGAGCAGGACAGGTCTGTGTCCTCTCAGACCAGGACAGGTATGTGTCCTCTCAGAGCAGGACAGGTCTGTGTCCTCTCAGACCAGGACAGGTATGTGTCCTCTCAGAGCAGGACAGGTCTGTGTCCTCTCAGACCAGGACAGGTATGTGTCCTCTCAGAGCAGGACAGGCTGTGTCCTCTCAGACCAGGACAGGTATGTGTCCTCTCAGAGCAGGACAGGTCTGTGTCCTCTCAGACCAGGACAGGTCAGATCTGTGTCCTCTCAGACCAGGTCAGATCTGTGTCTTCTCAGACCAGGTCAGATCTGTGTCCTCTCAGACCAGGAGAGGTCAGTGTCCTCTCAGACCAGGACAGGTCTGTGTCCTCTCAGACCAGGAGAGGTCAGTGTCCTCTCAGACCAGGACAGGTCTGTGTCCTCTCAGACCAGGAGAGGTCAGTGTCCTCTCAGACCAGGACAGGTCAGTGTCCTCTCAGACCAGGAGAGGTCAGATCAGTGTCCTCTCAGACCAGGAGAGGTCTGTGTCCTCTCAGACCAGGACAAGTCAGTGTCCTCTCAGACCAGGACAGGTCAGGTCTGTGTCCTCTCAGACCAGGACAGGTCAGGTCTGTGTCCTCTCAGACCAGGACAGGTCAGGTCAGTGTCCTCTCAGACCAGGACAGGTCTGTGTCCTCTCAGACCAGGAGAGGTCAGTCTGTCGGTCAATAGCACTAAAAGTGGAGTAAATAAATGTAAACAAAGGGCAGTGCAGCCGGGCCCACAAGGTCAACACGGAGAACTGATAAGAGAGAGGTCAGAGGTCACAGCAGAGGACAGCGGGCTTTCCAAACCCTCCCACACCAGCACAGGACTATCAGAGACTGATGGTTAAACCAGCACCAGCACAGGACTATCAGAGACTGATGGTTTAACCAGCACCAGCACAGGACTATCAGAGACTGATGGTTAAACCAGCACCAGCAGAGGACTATCAGAGACTGATGGTTAAACCAGCACCAGCACAGGACTATCAGAGACTGATGGTTAAACCAGCACCATCACAGGACTATCAGAGACTGATGGTTTAACCAGCACCAGCACAGGACTATCAGAGACTGATGGTTAAACCAGCACCATCACAGGACTATCAGAGACTGATGGTTTAACCAGCACCAGCACAGGACTATCAGAGACTGATGGTTAAACCAGCACCAGCAGAGGACTATCAGAGACTGATGGTTAAACCAGCACCAGCACAGGACTATCAGAGACTGATGGTTAAACCAGCACCATCACAGGACTATCAGAGACTGATGGTTAAACCAGGCGCTTTCGTCACAGAGTGTTTTGTTTGGTCTGAGATGACGCAGCACTCATTGATAACAGTGGAACGTGTGATGGAGCAAGAGCAGTTCTGTAAACTCTGGTGAAATCCTTCTTGAATAGACGACATTTATAAAGAGACTGAGCCCATCTGGTGCAGACGGTGTTTTCTGTGGTTCTTTGGAAAGTTAGATGTATTTTCTTGTTAAAGTGATCTGAAATGGATGATTCACTCGAACATCAGAACATTGGGAAGACTCACTAGGGCCAGGAATGAACAAGCAAACCAGGAAAACCTCAGATCAAAAGGACTGTGAGCTGCTGACGTGGAGTTTCAGAAACTCTTTCCTTGGTCTTTCCTTGGTCTTTCCTTGGTCCTTCCTTGGTCTTTCCTTGGTCTTTCCTTGGTCTTTCCTTGGTCCTTCCTTGGTCTTTCCTTGGTCTTTCCTTGGTCCTTCCTTGGTCCTTCCTTGGTCTTTCCTTGGTCCTTCCTTGGTCTTTCCTTGGTCTTTCCTTGGTCCTTCCTTGGTCCTTCCTTGGTCTTTCCTTGGTCCTTCCTTGGTCTTTCCTTGGTCCTTCCTTGGTCTTTCCTTGGTCTTTCCTTGGTCTTTCCTTGGTCCTTCCTTGGTCTTTCCTTGGTACTTCCTTGGTCCTTCCTTGGTCTTTCCTTGGTCTTTCCTTGGTCCTTCCTTGGTCCTTCCTTGGTCTTTCCTTGGTCCTTCCTTGGTCTTTCCTTGGTCCTTCCTTGGTCTTTCCTTGGTCTTTCCTTGGTCTTTCCTTGGTCCTTCCTTGGTCTTTCCTTGGTACTTCCTTGGTCCTTCCTTGGTCTTTCCTTGGTCTTTCCTTGGTCTTTCCTTGGTCCTTCCTTGGTCTTTCCTTGGTCTTTCCTTGGTCTTTCCTTGGTCTTTCCTTGGTACTTCCTTGGTCTTTCCTTGGTCTTTCCTTGGTCCTTCCTTGGTCTTTCCTTGGTCTTTCCTTGGTACTTCCTTGGTCTTTCCTTGGTCTTTCCTTGGTCTTTCCTTGGTACTTCCTTGGTCCTTCCTTGGTCCTTCCTTGGTCTTTCCTTGGTCCTTCCTTGGTCTTTCCTTGGTCTTTCCTTGGTCCTTCCTTGGTCCTTCCTTGGTCTTTCCTTGGTCCTTCCTTGGTCTTTCCTTGGTCCTTCCTTGGTCTTTCCTTGGTCTTTCCTTGGTCTTTCCTTGGTCCTTCCTTGGTCTTTCCTTGGTACTTCCTTGGTCCTTCCTTGGTCCTTCCTTGGTCTTTCCTTGGTCTTTCCTTGGTCCTTCCTTGGTCCTTCCTTGGTCTTTCCTTGGTCCTTCCTTGGTCTTTCCTTGGTCCTTCCTTGGTCTTTCCTTGGTCTTTCCTTGGTCTTTCCTTGGTCCTTCCTTGGTCTTTCCTTGGTACTTCCTTGGTCCTTCCTTGGTCTTTCCTTGGTCTTTCCTTGGTCTTTCCTTGGTCCTTCCTTGGTCTTTCCTTGGTCTTTCCTTGGTCTTTCCTTGGTCTTTCCTTGGTACTTCCTTGGTCTTTCCTTGGTCTTTCCTTGGTCCTTCCTTGGTCTTTCCTTGGTCTTTCCTTGGTACTTCCTTGGTCTTTCCTTGGTCTTTCCTTGGTCTTTCCTTGGTACTTCCTTGGTCCTTCCTTGGTCTTTCCTTGGTCTTTCCTTGGTACTTCCTTGGTCTTTCCTTGGTCTTTCCTTGGTACTTCCTTGGTCTTTCCTTGGTCTTTCCTTGGTCTTTCCTTGGTACTTCCTTGGTCCTTCCTTGGTCTTTCCTTGGTCTTTCCTTGGTCTTTCCTTGGTACTTCCTTGGTCCTTCCTTGGTCTTTCCTTGGTCTTTCCTTGGTACTTCCTTGGTCTTTCCTTGGTCTTTCCTTGGTCCTTCCTTGGTCTTTCCTTGGTCTTTCCTTGGTCTTTCCTTGGTCCTTCCTTGGTCCTTCCTTGGTCTTTCCTTGGTCCTTCCTTGGTCTTTCCTTGGTCCTTCCTTGGTCTTTCCTTGGTCTTTCCTTGGTCCTTCCTTGGTCCTTCCTTGGTCTTTCCTTGGTCTTTCCTTGGTCCTTCCTTGGTCTTTCCTTGGTCTTTCCTTGGTCCTTCCTTGGTCTCTCCTTGGTCTTTCCTTGGTCTTTCCTTGGTCCTTCCTTGGTCTCTCCTTGGTCCTTCCTTGGTCTTTCCTTGGTCCTTCCTTGGTCCTTCCTTGGTCCTTCCTTGGTCTTTCCTGGTTGTCAGCGCCCTCTGCGTCCTCCCAGGGCCGTGTTTGACAAGAGGCCAGCTGTCATAGCAGGGGGCCCCCTCTAAGTGCTCCGATGATAGACCCATGCATCAGGGGAGGTGGAGAGGGGCCCCCAGCTCAAATACAAACACACAGGCCCCTAACGGAGCAGTCCCTTGGCCTTTGGACATGTGACAGACGCACAACAAACATAGCAGTGCTAAGCTAACATGATGAAATGTGGAGGTGGGCGGAGTCAGAACACTCTAACTATTTTACGGAAATGTCCTCTTTCCAAAAACAGACCCGGAGCTGTGTTTGGATCCATTCATGCTTCATCAGTTTGACCAAGTTTCAGAAATAAACACCAGGACTCCTTTGATGAAACTTCTGGAACTCCCAGAGCCGTCAATTTGACTGTTCTCATTTCAAGCCAATGGACTTCTGAGAAATGTCCCCAAAATGTTTTGTTTTTTGACGTTTTTTTAGATGTATTAAAAGAAAGTAATTTATGTTTTTGTTACCTTTTAATTAGCGCTGAAACTGGTGAATATAACTTGAAATACAGCAAAAATCATTTTGTTGAAGTGCTAACCAAATGCTAGCCGGTAGCAGGTAAACATTGTGTTGCTATGGTAACTAGTACTGGCTCTACTCTGTAAGTACAGCTAGAACTACTCTCATTTCAAAAGTTAAAGATAATTTAATACAAAACAAACACTATGAAAAGAACGACACATAGAGACAGAAAAAGTCCAAACATGTGAAGTCATTACACTGAACCAAAACCCGTCAAATTCAATGCTTGGTCGGAACAGGGCCTTTTTGAGTCTTTTCTATGATTTCCCCGTGTCTGCGAAGGTTTCCTCCAGGTGTTACGGTTTCCACTGGCACTAAAACACATGCACACTAGTTCAGGGTGACTGAGTGAGTGATTGTGAGTGCGACTGTGCGACTGTGGGGAAACGGCTGGAAACTAACCCAAACTACAATCCGGAGTGATGCGTTCTTTAACATGCACTGTCCCAGCCCAGAAAACAATACAATTATGTAGATTCAGATTCAGAATGGGCCGTAGTCTCAATAGCCACAGTGTCGATTATGCAAATATCTGAAGCACTGAAGTTCTGCAGTCCCTCCCATCTCCTCACCCCCACTGTCAAACCCAAGCACCGATCTCCCCCCTCACCTCTGGAACTCTCTCCCCCTCACCTCTGGAACTCTCTCCCCCCTCACCTCTGGAACTCTCTGCCCCCTCACCTCTGGAACTCTCTGCCCCCTCACCTCTGGAACTCTCTCCCCCCTCACCTCTGGAACTCTCTCCCCCCTCACCTCTGGAACTCTCTCCCCCTCACCTCTGGAACTCTCTCCCCCCTCACCTCTGGAACTCTCTCCCCCCTCACCTCTGGAACTCTCTGCCCCCTCACCTCTGGAACTCTCTTCCCCTCACCTCTGGAACTCTCTGCCCCCTCACCTCTGGAACTCTCTTCCCCTCACCTCTGGAACTCTCTGCCCCCTCACCTCTGGAACTCTCTATCCCCTCACCTCTGGAACTCTCTCCCCCCTCACCTCTGGAACTCTCTCCCCCTCACCTCCGGAACTCTCTGCCCCCTCACCTCTGGAACTCTCTCCCCCTATGGGTAGATATGAATGTGGTTGATATGGTATAATGTTGAATTGGTATATTATATGAATCTCAAATGTGTGATATGGTTATATTAATGTGTATATGGTATATATTAAAGTGTTGATATGGTATAGATATGAATTGGAGAAATGGGTATTATATTAATGAGGGGATATGGAATTTAATAATGTGGTGATATGGGGGTATATATTAATTGTTGATATGGGTGTAAATTAATGTTGATATGGTATTAATTAATGAGTTATATGGGAATAAATTAATGTGGTATATGGTATATATTAATGTGTATATAATAAATTAATTTTATATGGTTATATTATTATTGTTATATGGGTAAATATTAAATGTGGGATATGGGTATAGTATTAAATTGTGTATGGGGGTATATATTAATTGGTGATGGGTATTATATTAATTGGAAATAATGGTATATATTAATTGGGATATGGGGGTATATATAAATGGTATAAGTATATATAATGTTGTGATATGTATAATATTAATAGTGATTGGGGTATATATTAATTGGGGATATTGAGAGAGATTATTATTATTATGGTGTGTTTTGTGTGTGTGGGGGAAAAGAGGGTGGGGGGAAAAAGAGAAGAGGGTGGGGGGAAGGGAGGAGAGGGGGGGGGGGGGAAAGGGAAAGAGGGGGGGGGGGAAAGGAAAGAAGGGGGGGGGAAGGGAAAAGAGGGGGGGGGGAAAGAGGAAAGAGGGGGGGGGAAAGGGGGAGAAGAGGGGGGGGGGGGAAAGGGAAAAGAGGGGGGGGGGGAAAGGGAGGAGAGGGTTGTGTGTTTCCGGGGGATTCGATGGTGTGGGGGCACAGGTGCCTATTTGTGTGGCACTGTGCTCTGCACATTGTGTGTCCCTGTGCTGCTCTGGTTGTGTGTCCCTGTGCTCTCTGGTTGTGTGTCCCTGTGCTTCTCTGGTTGTGTGTCCCTGTGCTCCTCTGGTTGTGTGTCCCTGTGCTCCTCTGGTTGTGTGTCCCTGTGCTCCTCTGGTTGTGTTCCCTGTGCTTCTCTGGTTGTGTGTCCTGTGCTCCTCTGGTTGTGTGTCCCTGTGCTCCTCTGGTTGTGTGTCCCTGTGCTCCTCTGGTTGTGTGTCCCTGTGCTCCTCTGGTTGTGTGTCCTGTGCTTCCTCTGTTGTGTGTCCCTGTGCTCCTCTGGTTGTGTGTCCCTGTGCCCCTCTGGTTGTGTGTCCCTGCTGCTCCTCTGGTTGTGTGTCCCTGTGCTTCTCTGGTTGTGTGTCCCTGTGCTCCTCTGGTTGTGTGTCCCTGTGCTCCTCTGGTTGTGTGTCCCTGTGCCCCTCTGGTTGTGTGTCCCTGTGCTCCTCTGGTTGTGTGTCCCTGTGCTTCTCTGGTTGTGTGTCCTTGTGCTCCTCTGGTTGTGTGTCCCTGTGCTCCTCTGGTTGTGTGTCTCCTGTGCTCCTCTGGTTGTGTGTCCCTGTCCCTCCTCATGTGTCCTGGGTGTGGTTCCCTGTGCTCCTCTGTTGTTGTGTGTCCCTGTGCTCCTCTGGATGTGTGTCCCTGTGCTCCTCTGATGTGCGTCCCTGTGCTTCCTGGTTGTGTGTCCCCTGCTCCTCTGGTTGGTCCGTGCTCCTCTGTTGTCCTCCTCTGGTTGTTTGTCCCTGTGCTCCTCTGGTTGTGTGTCCCTGTGCTTCTCTGGTTGTGTGTCCCTGTGCTCCTCTGGTTGTGTGTCCCTGTGCTCCTCTGGATGTGTGTCCCTGTGCTTCTCTGGTTGTGTGTCCCTGTGCTCTCTGGTTGTGTGTCCCTGTGCTCCTCTGGTTGTGTGTCCCTGTGCTCCTCTGGATGTGTGTCCCTGTGCTCCTCTGGATGTGTGTCCCTGTGCTCCTCTGGTTGTGTGTCCCTGTGCTCCTCTGGTTGTGTGTCCCTGTGCTCCTCTGGTTGTGTGTCCCCTGTGCTCCTCTGGGTGTGTGTCCCTGTGCTCCTCTGGTTGTGTGTCCCTGTGCTCCTCTGGTTGTGTGTCCCTGTGCTCCTCTGGTTGTTGTTGTCCTGTGCTCCTCTGGTTTGTGTGTCCCTGTGCTCCTCTGGTTGTGTGTCCCTGTGCTCCTCTGGTTGTGTGTCCCTGTGCTCCTCTGGTTGTGTGTCCCTGTGCTCCTCTGGATGTGTCCCTGTGCTTCTCTGGTTGTGTGTCCCTGTGCTCCTCTGGTTGTGTGTCCCTGTGCTCCTCTGGTTGTGTGTCCCTGTGCTCCTCTGGTTGTGTGTCCCTGTGCTCCTCTGGATGTGCGTCCCTGTGCTTCTCTGGTTGTGTGTCCCTGTGCTCCTCTGGTTGTGTGTCCCTGTGCTCCTCTGGTTGTGTGTCCCTGTGCTCCTCTGGATGTGTGTCCCTGTGCTCCTCTGGATGTGCGTCCCTGTGCTTCTCTGGTTGTGTGTCCCTGTGCTCCTCTGGTTGTGTGTCCCTGTGCTCCTCTGGTTGTGTGTCCCTGTGCTCCTCTGGATGTGTGTCCCTGTGCTCCTCTGGTTGTGTGTCCCTGTGCTCCTCTGGTTGTGTGTCCCTGTGCTGCTGTAGAAGAAAACTCTGAAGACGAATGGTCCTGAAATAACAGACTGCACTGAACATGTCCCCTTTAATGTCCTGTCTGTCATTATCACACTGCTGATTACAGACGCCATCTGAGGGCCCCTGTGAGGTCTGAGGAGGCCCCTGTGAGGTCTGAGGGCCCCTGTGAGGTCTGAGGAGGCTCCTGTGAGATCTGAGGAGGCTCCTGTGAGGTCTGAGGAGGCTCCTGTGAGGTCTGAGGAGGCCCCTGTGAGGTCTGAGGAGGCCCCTGTGAGGTCTGAGGGCCCTTGTGAGGTCTGAGGGCCCCTGTGAGGTGTGAGGAGGCCCCCTGTGAGGTCTGAGGGCCCCTGTGAGGTCTGAGGAGGCCCCTGTGAGGTCTGAGGAGGCCCCTGTGAGGTCTGAGGAGGCCCCTGTGAGGTCTGAGGGCCCTTGTGAGGTCTGAGGGCCCCTGTGAGGTGTGAGGAGGCCCCCTGTGAGGTCTGAGGGCCCCTGTGAGGTCTGAGGAGGCCCCTGTGAGGTCTGAGGAAGGCCTCTCTCTAAATAAATGGAGAAATGAGAGATTCTGTGGTTCATAAACCCCGGGTCCTGGACCAGACTTACAAACTGGGTCCATGAGAAACAGCCCCGGGGACAAAGGGCAGCCCTGGGGGACGCCAACCTGCACTGGGACAGACCAGACCTGGACCTGGACCTGGGCCTGGACCTGGGCCTGGACCTGGACCTGGACCTGGGCCTGGACCTGGACCTGGACCTGGACCTGGGCCTGGACCTGGACCTGGACCTGGACCTGGAACTACTATTTTTGTAAGAAATCTTGGTGAATCTTTGGTGGAATGAGGTCAATAACTACTTTCTAAAGACAGCTCGATAAAGAGAAGGTGGTTGTGCGTCAGCTTGTTGTGCGTCAGCTTGTTGTGCGTCAGCTTGTTGTGCGTCAGATTGTTGTGTGTCAGCTTGTTGTGCGTCAGATTGTGGTCTCATTCCTGTGGTGAACGGAGCTCAATCTCAAATCAGTTCTAACCTGATTCTTTTCACCACAGAAAGCTCTGAGTTTTTGCTGCAGACTTTCTCTGTGAGCTCTTTCACTGTGAGCTCTTTCACTGTGAGCTCTTTCACTGTGAGCTCTTTCTCTGTGAGCTCTTTCACTGTGAGCTCTTTCACTGTGAGCTCTTTCTCTGTGAGCTCTCTCTCTCTCTCTCTGGCCAAACAGTGGCCAGTGTAATTGCAAAGCGCAGATGTGCGGGTCTCGCCCTCTGCAGATGTGGTCCTGGGGTCGCGTCTCGGCACAGGACCCTTTTGTCTTCAGCCCCAAGCCTCAGTCTGAGACCAGGCAATTACAGGCAAGATGGTAGGAAATTATAGTCCAGGCCAGTCCAGGACAGTCCAGGCCAGTCCAGGCCAGTCCAGGACAGTCCAGGCCAGTCCAGGACAGTCCAGGACAGTCCAGGACAGTCCAGGACAGTCCAGGCCAGTACAGGCCTCTCTCCCTGCCCCATCTCTCCCTTTCTCTCCCCCTCTCTCTCTCCCTCTCTCTCTGCCCCCTTTCTCTCCTCCTCTCTCCCCCTTCATCCTCCCTCGCTCCTCCTCTTTCCCCTCTCTCCCTCTCTCTCCTCCTCTCTCTCCCCTCCAACTTCCCCCTCTCTCTCTCCCTGTCTCCTTCCCCTCTCTTCCCTCTCTCTTCCCCTGTTTCCTCGCTCTCTCTCTGTCTACGCCCCGCTCTCCCCCTCTATCTCCCCCCTCTCCCCCGTGTAGGGTCATTCCTTCTGGTCAGTCCACTCTGATATTATTCATGAACCTCACATATGAAAATATTGCCGTCTTAATAATTCATGGGAACATCCGTCTTCATGATCGCGGAGACAAGTCATCGGTCTCTATAAACATAATAAATGCCACGCTGTGTCGTCATGGCAACGGGCGCTAACAGCTCTATCTCACTGACGGCCAGTCCCTGCCCCGGGTCCGGACGTAACATTTGGAAAATTCTATTATTTATATTAGGTAATGACATGTATATATAATAACACACGCGCACGCATACACATGCACACACACACACACACACACACACACACACACACACACACACACACACACACACACACACACACACACACACACACACACACAGACATGCACACACATGCACACACACACACACACACACACACACACACACACAGACATGCACACACATGCACACACACACACACACACACACACAGACATGCACACACATGCACACACACACACACACACACAGTTTGACTGATTCTGATTCATTTCACATGCACACTGACCCTATAATAAACTAGTATACATGAGCTGCTAATTGTGAGGGTCCTGTAATATCTGTGTGTGTGTGTGTGTGTGTGTGTGTGTCTGTGTGTGTGTGTGTGCGTGTGTCTGTGTGTGTGTGTGTGTGTGTGTTTTGATCAGATCTCCACTGTCGGTATTCTGCGTGTGGGTGGGAGACAAAAGGGGAGGCGTGTCGGTGTCCCCTCAGCCGTGGGGTTTGTGTGTGTGTGTGTGTACGTATCCCCCCTTGGACTGCCACCTTAACGTGGTGGGGGAGTTTGAGCACTCGGATGATCCTGGGAGCTATGCTGTCTGGGGCTTCATGCCCCTGGTAGGGTCTCCCATGGCAGACAGGTCTCAAGTGACGAGTCAGACGAAGCGCAGTCCGAAGCCAACCATGGACAGCACGACAACAAAAACCGTGACGTCGCCCGGCATGGCGCAGCCGGGGCCCCACCCTGGAGCCAGGCCTGGGGTCGGGGCTCGCAAGCGAGCGCCTGGTGGCCGGGCCTTAGCCCACGGGGCCCGGCCGGGCTCAGCCCGAAGGGATGACGTGGGCAGTCCCTCCTGTGGGCTCACCACCTGCAGAGGGGTCCGTGGTGGCGAGGTGCAGAGAGGACTGGGCAGCAGTCGAAGGCGGAGACCTCGACGACCCAGTCCACACACCCAACATCTGGCTCTTGGGACGTGGAACGTCACCTCACTGGGGGGGAAGGAGCCCGAGCTTGTGGGGGAGGTTGAGCGATACCGACTAGAGATAGTCGGCCTCACCTCCACACACAGCTTGGGCTCTGGAACCCAACTCCTTGAGAGGGGTTGGACGCTCCACTTTTCTGGTGTTTCCCGCGGGGAGAGGCGGCGAGCTGGGGTGGCCATACTCATTGCCCCCCATCTCAGCCGCCACGTGTTGGAGTTCTCCCCGGTGAATGAGAGGGTCGCGTCCCTCCGCCTCCGGGTGAGGGACAAGTCTCTCACTGTTGTGACGGCCTACGGGCCTAACGGTAGTGCAGAGTACCCGGCCTTCTTGGAGTCCTTGGGAGGGGTACTGGACAGTGCACCGCCCGGGGACTCCGTTATTCTCCTGGGGGACTTCAACGCCCATGTGGGAAATGCCAGTGACACTTGGAGAGGGGTGATCGGGAAGAGCGGCCCCCCTGATCTGAACCCGAGCGGTGTTCAGTTGTTGGACTTCTGTGCCAGTCACGGCCTGTCCATCACGAACACCATGTTCGAGCACAAGGGTGTCCATCAGTGCACGTGGCACCAGGACACCCTAGGCCGGAGGTCGATGATCGACTTTGTAGTCGTATCATCTGACCTTCGACCGCGTGTCTCGGACACTCGGGTGAAGAGAGGGGCGGAGCTGTCAACCGATCATCACCTGGTCGTGAGTTGGATCCGCTGGCAGGGCAGGAGGCCGGTCAGACCTGGCAGGCCCAAGCGTGTAGTGAGGGTTTGCTGGGAACGTCTCGCTGAGCCCCCTGTCAGACGGACTTTCAACTCACACCTCCGGGAGAGCTTCTCCCAGGTCCCGGCAGAGGAGGGGGACATCGAGTCCGAGTGGACCATGTTCTCTTCCTCTATCGCCAATGCGGCGGCTCGTAGCTGTGGTCGCAAGGTCTCTGGTGCTGGTCCCGGCGGCAATCCCCGAACCCGGTGGTGGACACCGGCAGTAAGGGATGCCGTCAGGCTGAAGAAGGAGTCCTATCGAGCAATGATGGTTCGTGGGACTCCTGAGGCAGCTGTCCAGTACCGGCAGGCCAAACGTGCCGCGGCCCGGGCTGTTGCAGAGGCAAAAACCCGGGACTGGGAGGAGTTCGGAGAGTCCATGGAGCATGACTATCGGTCGGCCTCGAAGAGGTTCTGGCAAACCGTCCGGCGCCTCAGGAGGGGGAAGCAGTTCTTTGCCAACACCGTGTATGGTGCGGGTGGAGGGCTGCTGACCTCGACTGGGGATATTGTCGGGCGGTGGAAGGAATACTTCGAGGTTCTCCTCAATCCCCCCGTCACGTCCCCCGTCCAGGAGGCAGAGGCTGAGGATGTTGGGGCGGATACTTCCATCTCCCTGGCCGAGGTCACCAAGGTGGTTGGCAGCCTCCATGGTGGCAAGGCGCCGGGAGTGGATGAGATCCGTCCTGACTATCTAAAGTCTCTGGATGTTGTAGGACTGTCTTGGCTGACACGTCTCTGCAACATCGCGTGGCGATCGGGGGCGGTGCCAATGGAGTGGCAGACCGGGGTGGTGGTCCCTCTCTACAAGAAGGGGGACCGGAGGGTGTGTTCCAATTATCGTGGGATCACACTCCTCAGCCTCCCCGGTAAGGTCTACTCCAAGGTACTGGAGAGGAGGCTTCGTCCGATGGTCGAATCTCGGATTCAGGAGGAGCAGTGTGGTTTTCGTCCCGGTCGCGGAACACTGGACCAGCTCTATACTCTCCATCGGATACTCGAGGGTTCATGGGAGTTCGCCCAACCTGTCCACATGTGCTTTGTGGATTTGGAGAAGGCGTTCGACCGCGTTCCCCGGGGTGTCCTTTGGGGGGTCCTCCGGGAGTACGGGGTCCGGGGTCCTCTGCTGAGGGCTGTTCGGTCCCTGTATGACCGGAGCCAGAGCTGTGTTCGCATTGCTGGCAGTAAGTCAGACCTGTTCCCGGTGCATGTTGGCCTCCGCCAAGGCTGCCCTTTGTCACCGGTTCTGTTCACTGTATTTATGGACAGAATCTCTAGGCGCAGCCAGGGGCCGGAGGGGGTCCGGTTCGGGAACCACAGGATTTCATCTCTACTTTTTGCGGATGATGTCGTCCTGCTGGCTCCAACGAACCAGGACCTGCAACATGCACTGGGACGGTTTGCAGCCGAGTGTGAAGCGGCTGGGATGAGAATCAGCACCTCCAAATCCGAGGCCATGGTGCTTGACCGGAAAAAGGTGCCTTGCCCTCTCCAGGTGGGTGGAGAGGTCCTTCCTCAAGTGGAGGAGTTCAAGTATCTCGGGGTCTTGTTCACGAGTGAGGGGAGGATGGAGCGTGAGATTGACAGGCGGATCGGTGCAGCGTGCGCAGTGATGCGGTCTCTGTATCGGACCGTTGTGGTAAAGAGGGAGCTGAGCCGAAAGGCAAAGCTCTCAATTTACCGGTCAATCTTCGTTCCCTCCCTCACCTATGGTCATGAGCTGTGGGTAATGACCGAAAGAACGAGATCGCGGATACAAGCGGTCGAAATGAGCTTCCTCCGCAGAGTGGCTGGGCGCTCCCTTAGAGATAGGGTGAGGAGCTCGGTCACACGGGAGGAGCTCGGAGTAGAGCCGCTGCTTCTCCACGTCGAGAGGAACCAGTTGAGGTGGCTCGGGCATCTGTTCAGGATGCCTCCTGGACGCCTTCCTGGGGAGGTGTTCCGGGCACGTCCCACCGGGAGGAGGCCCCGGGGAAGACCCAGGACACGCTGGAGAGACTATGTCTCTCAGCTGGCCTGGGAACGCCTAGGGGTCCCCCCGGACGAGCTTGAGGAGGTGTGTGTGGATAGGGAAGTCTGGGCGTCTCTGCTTAGACTGCTGCCCCCGCGACCCGGCAACGGATAAAGCGGAAGAAAATGGATGGATGGATGGATGTGTGTACGTGTCTATGTGTGTGGTGTGTGTGTGTGTGTGTGTGTGAACGTGTCTATGTGTGTGTGTGTGTACGTGTCTATGTGTGTGGTGTGTGTGTGTGTGTGTGTACGTGTCTATGTGTGTGTGTGTGTGTGTGTACGTGTCTATGTGGTGTGTGTGTGTGTGTGTGTGTGTGTACCTGTCTATGTGTGTGGTGTGTGTGTGTGTCTATGTGGTGTGTGTGTGTGTGTGTGCGTGTCTATGTGTGTGGTGTGTGTGTGTGTGTGTGTGCGTGTCTATGTGTGTGGTGTGTGTGTGTGTGTGTGTGTGTGCGTGTCTATGTGGTGTGTGTGTGTGTGTGTACCTGTCTATGTGTGTGGTGTGTGTGTGTGTGTGTGTGGTGTGTGTGTGTGTGTGACCTATGGCTGCAGAGTGACGGATGGTGTCAGCTCTGTGTGTATAAACACCTCTATTAGAGCTGCTCTGTATGCTCTGGTGCTTTTCCTGATGGCCTCTTCAGACACAGAGACAGGAGGGGGGGGGGGGGGGGGGGGCTCCCTTTGTGATGTCACACATTCTGCTGGTCTGTCAAAGTTGTTCTGCCCCCTGCACTAAATCTAACAGTGTCATGAACTGTACAGGCCCAGCCATAACCCTCTCCTCATTCAGACCTAATTCTATGTTTTACTGAGCTTTAGGTAACGACCGAAACAATAAGAGGTGGATCAGGCCTAATGAGGAGCTCAGAGTACAGCCGCTGCTCCTCCATGTTGAGTGGAGCCGGCTGAGGACATGAGAGGGGCATGGTATAGACACTCCCAGATGATACTGCTGATACTGTCACATCCTGTTTAACATGCTGAGCTGAAGGTTCTGTCTCATATTTAGACTGTAATAGTTTTAGTTCTTTGAGGCCGGACCGCTGCTGCCGAACGAAAACCCAACAGAATAATAACTTCTGGAACGTAACCCGTGGCAACCGTCCACACCGCAGCAGAGAGCGTACCACAAACTAGAACTCTATCCTCCGTCCTGGATAAAAATAACTGCTCTGGAGTCATCCGAGCAGCCGCAAGCTCTCCCACTCTTAAGGACAGGCAGAAGGATGCAGGAGGCCCCGGAGAGCCAGGACTGAGGGCCCCGGAGAGCCAGGACTGAGGCTGCAGATCCAGGACTGAGGCTGTAGATCCAGGAGTGAGGCTGTAGACCCAGGACTGAGGCTGTAGACCCAGGACTGAGGCTGTAGACCCAGGACTGTGGCTGTAGACCCAGGTCTGAGGCTGTAGACCCAGGACTGAGGCTGTAGACCCAGGTCTGAGGCTGTAGACCCAGGACTGAGGCTCCATGGGGGTTCGGATGTTGCAGCCCATGAGTCCGGCTCGGGAAAAACCAGTCAAATGTTGTTCTGGATTGATTCAGCTGTTCAAGATATGTCACAATATGAACGTTTCCATCATGTTTGCTTCATACAAACAGATTTATAACATTCACTTCTGTGTAAGAGAGTGATGTTATAGCCTGGACATGTTACAACAGTCTGTGGGAGAAGAACCTTAGACCTGGATCCACTTGGACAGTATTGGGCGTCCTGAAGCGTTCTCACAGACGCAGAGCTCTCCCAGATCCCATTCAACTCTACAGACTCTGTTTGGGACTGGACCTGTTAATATTCCCCTCGACGGAGCCGTAAACCCAGAGAGGGGGCGCCCCAGCTGCTGCCTCTGCCGTGCCTGCAGCCACCATAAAAAACTCTATTTATTTATTTATCCAGGCGCAGCCAAGCATAGCAGAGGCTCAGGGGGGGCCGTCCTCCACCCCACCCCCCCCCACACCCCACCCCCCCCCACACACACACACACCTGACCTTGGCTTTGATGTCAGCACCGATGGGATCTTTCTGCTTCAACAATCATTGCATGATAAAAATATATATGTTTCTGATATTTGAACAGCTGTTTATCTGTGTTATAACAACGACCTCTGTCTCTGTCTCAGTATACATACCTCTGTCTCAGTATACATACCTCTGTCTCAGTATACATACCTCTGTCTCAGTATACATACAGACCTGTCTCAGTATACATACCTCTGTCTCAGTATACATACCTCTGTCTCAGTATACATACCTCTGTCTCTCTTTCAGTATACATACCTCTGTCTCTCTCTCAGTATACATACCTCTGTCTCAGTATACATACCTCTGTCTCAGTATACATACCTCTGTCTTAGTCTACATACCTCTGTCTCAGTATACATACCTCTGTCTCTCTCTCAGTATACATACCCCTGTCTCAGTATAAATACCTCTGTCTTAGTCTACATACCTCTGTCTCAGTATACATACAGACCTGTCTCAGTATACATACCTCTGTCTCAGTATACATACAGACCTGTCTCAGTATACATACAGACCTCTGTCTCAGTATACATACAGACCTCTGTCTCAGTATACATACAGACCTGTCTCAGTATACATACCTCTGTCTCAGTATACATACAGACCTGTCTCAGTATACATACCTCTGTCTCAGTATACATACAGACCTGTCTCAGTATACATACAGACCTCTGTCTCAGTATACATACAGACCTGTCTCAGTATACATACAGACCTGTCTCAGTATACATACCTCTGTCTCAGTATACATACAGATCTGTCTCAGTAAACATACAGACCTGTCTCAGTATACATACCTCTGTCTCAGTATACATACAGACCTGTCTCAGTATACATACAGACCTGTCTCAGTATACATACAGACCTGTCTCAGTATACATACCTCTGTCTCAGTATACATACCTCTGTCTCAGTATACATACAGACCTGTCTCAGTATACATACAGACCTGTCTCAGTATACATACCTCTGTCTCAGTATACATACAGACCTGTCTCAGTATACATACAGACCTCTGTCTCAGTATACATACAGACCTGTCTCAGTATACATACAGACCTGTCTCAGTATACATACCTCTGTCTCAGTATACATACAGACCTGTCTCAGTATACATACAGACCTGTCTCAGTATACATACCTCTGTCTCAGTATACATACAGACCTCTGTCTCAGTATACATACAGACCTGTCTCAGTATACATACAGACCTCTGTCTCAGTATACATACAGACCTGTCTCAGTATACATACAGACCTGTCTCAGTATACATACAGACTCCTACCTCTCATGAGTAGGTCATCACTGTAATGTCCGCCACTGGATATGGTTACAATGTCATTGTTAGCTTGTGTTAGCATCGCAGCCAGACTCACAAGATGGCGCCCCTCCACAGAGCTGCTACTTTGACCAATGGAAACACACTTAGTAAAAACCGTATTCTAACGTATTCCACGTATTTGGATATCGTCAGAGCCATGATTCATATCCTTCAGAGCCTTCTGGAACCAGGGCACAGAAACAGCCGGTGATTTTTCAGCTTCCACCATAGTCTCTTTAGCTCGTTTGTCTCCATCGGGTGTGGACTGTTGCCGCCGGCCGTCCCCCCCCCCCCCCCCGGCAGCACAAATGAACGTCCTCCTGTAACACATTTGCCTGCGTCTGGAATAATGTCCTAATCATTTACACCGACGCCACTTTAAAGCTATTTTCCGCGGTGCTAATGACAGCGGCCGATGTGGGAGAGCGTGTCCCCGGTGAGGTCCAGCCGCGACGGTGATCCATTCAGGGTCTTTCAGATCTGTCAGGATGGAGGAAAACGTTGTCTTAGTCTGGGGTTATTTTTGGACCTGTTTTCCCGAGATCCCCCCAAAGACGAACCATGTGTTGTGCAGATCTGCCTCTGAGAGATACAGGGCCTTCAGTTCTTCAGGAGAATTTGACATGGATTATACTGTGTCTCTGTCTGGTCCACACTGGGGTAGTCTTGCACAGTTTTTCCAATGTGGTTTTACTGCAAATGGCAAATACATTCTTGTATCTTGTGTGCTTGTATAGACTTCTGGCTTATACTGGTGCTATGCTAGTTCCAAATGGACAATTCAAAATGGTAAAGAGGGAGAAATATGTCCACACTGCAAAAAATGTTAAAATTTGACTTAATTTATCTTGATTTTAACACATTCTGACAGAGCCTTAAAACAAGATTACCCACTGGGACAAAGTAAAATGATCTTGTTTTTAAAAATACACAGACATTTCTCCCTTAGAATGAGAAAATTAATTAACAGTTCTTGAAAAAAGACTAAATTATCTTGTTTTAACACAGTCAGAATTCAAGTAATTACTACCTAATATTTTATAATTGTTTGCAGTGTACTACTCTTCCAAGATGGTGGCCGGATTCTTGCCTTCATTCTTTCTCAATCTGTTGGACAAATGTTTAAACCCACTCTGACACTGACTCCGTTGGGACAGAACATTTCCAGGATGCTCCAGTCCGACAGCTCCGACTGTTATGGATGAGTCTTTAATGGATTTCTTTATGACCGATCGATCTTTGCTGTATTTGACACACTGCAAACCTGAAGGGGCCACTTTAAAAAACATCCACAAATAACAGTTATTACTTTTCCAAGATGGCGGCCCGGGTCAGGAGCTGTCTCACGTGTATTTGGCATTGAGTGTGATTCTGATGGAGCCAAACGTTACACATGGTTCAATACGTTTCCAAATAACTATTCACAGGAGTTTATGGATGAGTAATGGTATAGACTCATGACCATGTGGCGTTCTGAGGACCAGGTGACTGCCCAATTATTTTATAAAGTACCACCTAAGGATGCACCGATACCACTTTTTTCAAAACCGATACGAGTACCTTCATTTGAGTCCTTGGCGATACTGAATACCAATATAATGTGTTATAGCTCCTGGTCCTGGAGTCTCTCCTGGTCCTTGTCCAGGTCCTGGTGTCTCTCCTGGTCCTGGTGTCTGTCCTGGTCCTGGTGTCTGTCCTGGTCCTGGTGTCTCTCCTGGTCCTGGTGTCTGTCCTTGTCCTGGTGTCTCTCTTGGTCCTGGTGTCTGTCCTGGTCCTGGTGTCTCTCCTGGTCCTGGTGTCTCTCCTGGTCCTGGTGTCTGTCCTGGTCCTGGTGTCTGTCCTGGTCCTGGTGTCTCTCTTGGTCCTGGTGTCTCTCCTGGTCCTGGTGTCTGTCCTGGTCCTGGTGTCTCTCCTGGTCCTGGTGTCTGTCCTGGTCCTGGTGTCTCTCTTGGTCCTGGTGTCTGTCCTGGTCCTGGTGTCTCTCCTGGTCCTGGTGTCTGTCCTGGTCCTTGTCCTGGTCCTGGTGTCTGTCCTGGTCCTGGTGTCTGTCCTGGTCGTGGTGTCTCTCTTGGTCCTGGTGTCTGTCCTGGTCCTGGTGTCCCTCCTGGTCCTGGTGTCTGTCCTGGTCCTTGTCCTGGTCCTGGTGTCTGTCCTGGTCCTTGTCCTGGTCCTGGTGTCTGTCCTGGTCCTGGTGTCTCTCCTGGTCCTGGTGTCTCTCCTGGTCCTGGTGTCTGTCCTGGTCCTGGTGTCTCTCCTGGTCCTGGTGTCTCTCCTGATCCTGGCGTCTCTCTTGGTCCTTGTGTCTGTCCTGGTCCTGGTGTCTGTCCTGGTCCTTGTCCTGGTCCTGGTGTCTGTCCTGGTCCTGGTGTCTGTCCTGGTCCTGGTGTTTGTCCTGGTCCTGGTGTCTCTCCTGGTCCTGGTGTCTGTCCTGGTCCTGGTGTCTGTCCTGGTCCTGGTGTCTCTCCTGGTCCTGGTGTCTCTCCTGGTCCTGGTGTCTCTCCTGGTCCTGCTGTCTGTCCTGGTCCTGGTGTCTCTCCTGGTCCTGGTGTCTGTCCTGGTCCTGGTGTCTCTCCTGGTCCTGGTGTCTGTCCTGGTCCTGGTGTCTGTCCTGGTCCTGGTGTCTGTCCTGGTGTCTGTCCTGGTCCTGGTGTCTGTCCTGGTGTCTGTCCTGGTCCTGGTGTCTGTCCTGTGTCTGTCCTGGTCCTGGTGTCTCTCCTGGTCCTGGTGTCTGTCCTGGTCCTGGTGTCTCTCCTGGTCCTGGTGTCTCTCCTGATCCTGGCGTCTTTCTTGGTCCTGGTGTCTGTCCTGGTCCTGGTGTCTGTCCTGGTCCTGGTGTCTGTCCTGGTCCTGGTGTCTGTCCTGGTCCTGGTGTCTCTCCTGGTCCTGGTGTCTCTCCTGGTCCTGGTGTCTGTCCTGGTCCTGGTGTCTGTCCTGGTCCTGGTGTCTCTCCTGGTCCTGGTGTCTCTCCTGGTCCTGGTGTCTCTCCTGGTCCTGGTGTCTGTCCTGGTCCTGGTGTCTCTCCTGGTCCTGGTGTCTGTCCTGGTCCTGGTGTCTCTCCTGGTCCTGGTGTCTCTCCTGGTCCTGGTGTCTGTCCTGGTCCTGGTGTCTGTCCTGGTCCTGGTGTCTCTCCTGGTCCTGGTGTCTCTCCTGGTCCTGGTGTCTCTCCTGGTCCTGGTGTCTGTCCTGGTCCTGGTGTCTCTCCTGGTCCTGGTGTCTGTCCTGGTCCTGGTGTCTCTCCTGGTCCTGGTGTCTCTCCTGGTCCTGGTGTCTGTCCTGGTCCTGGTGTCTCTCCTGGTCCTGGTGTCTCTCCTGGTCCTGGTGTCTGTCCTGGTCCTGGTGTCTGTCCTGTGTCTGTCCTGGTCCTGGTGTCTCTCTTGGTCCTGGTGTCTGTCCTGGTCCTGGTGTCTGTCCTGGCCCTTGTACTGGTCCTGGTGTCTCTCCTGGTCCTGGTGTCTCTCCTGGTCCTGGTGTCTGTCCTGGTCCTGGTGTCTGTCCTGGTCCTGGTGTCTCTCCTGGTCCTGGTGTCTGTCCTGGTCCTGGTGTGATGGTATTCCCGCTCCCAGGGGATCGTCCCGGCTCCAATTACCGCACACCTCGACATCCGCACATTCAGATGCTAATGCACACCTCCTAATGGACCTGCTGCCAATGAGAGCGCGGGGGCCGGGGGGGGGACGGGGGAGGACGGGGGGGGGGGGGGGGGGGGGGGGACGGGGGAGGACGGGGGAGGACGGGGGAGGACGGGGGGGACGGACGGGGGAGGACGGGGGAGGACGGGGGGGGGACGGGGGAGGACGGGGGAGGACGGGGGAGGACGGGGGGGAGGGGGAGGACGGGGGGGAGGGGGGGACGGGGGGGGGGCGGGGGGAGGACGGGGGGGGACGGGGGAGGACGGGGGAGGACGGGGGGGAGGGGGGGGACGGGGAGCTTTCAGACAAACCACATCTCTGCTGGTTCAATATGCAGATGAGATGAGGTCTCTGGGGACGAAGCGTTCTGTGTTTATCAACAAAGCAGACGCAGTGATTGTAGCGTCTTCCACGGAGACGTCAGACTCGGGCCGGTCTGGGCCAGACTCGGGTAGGTCTGGGCCAGACTCGGGTCGGTCTGGGCCAGACTCGGGTCGGTCTGGGCCAGACTCGGGTCGGTCTGGGCCAAAAGGACTGGAGGGATTTACTTTGATCATAATAGTTTGTTACAGAGGAAGGGGTTTTGGACGTGACTTTTATTTGACTCTTTGCACTAGAGTTTCATTATTAGTTTATGGTGGATTTATCAGAAAAATGAAAAATGTGTTTATTGTTTGTATTTAAACAAAACTGGACCAAATATAAATATAATTGTTACTTTGTTTGTGTTTGAACGGTTTGATTTTCTGATCTGTTGTTGTTGAATCCACGACTGTGTAAAGTCTGAGACGCTGCTGCTGTGTTTTATGGCGAGTCCAAACCAAACCAACGCTCTAGTTTCACTTTCCATTTTCGCTACAGAATGATATTGGTTCTTTCCCGTCTTTGGCCTGAGGAGGATGTTTCTGAGGAAGTGCTTCTACTGCTGGGGGTTGCGTGTGTCGTGTTGTAGAGTCCCACTGCCCCCTACTGGCCGCAAGCCACAACTACATTATTTTCCGTCGTCGTACGAACGCTGTGCAGGAGCCTGGTCGTTTTCGCTCATTGCTTTGCAGCGTCTCCGCAGCGTGAATGGAGATGAAAACAAAAGCCGTTAGCATTAGCATTAGCATCGGCCCCAGCCCTCCACATGCATCAGCAGAGTGACAATACCAGAACACAAACACTAACGCTGGGAAGGCTCTTGTGGGTCTCAGGGCTGCGCTGGAGAGCCTGGTCCACTCTTCACTGTGCATTAGCGGAGAGCGCGTGGGCTGCGGAGTCGGACGACGTTAGAATTCTAAATCCATCCATTCATCAGGCCTCTCATTAAAACATGCCACATGCTTCACATACTGCAGTGTCTCCCAAAGTGGGGTCCGCGGCCCCCTGGTGGGCCGCGAGGGTACTGCAGGGGGGCCGCGGGAGGTCATAAAAAAAATAAAAAAATAATATAATTATTTTATGTTAAATTTATAATGTTTTGTTTGTAATATTAAAATATTTGTGTTCATTATTTGACTTGAATAATCCACTGTAATCATTTTTGTATTACAATGTTTGTAGCAGAGGCTATTTCCCCAAAATAAAATAACCAGAAGAGCCTATTCTTAATGTTGTCTTCTTGGTTATTATTTTGGGGGGCCACGCAGACCCGTCAGATTTTTAAGGGGGCCTCGGTGTTACTGAGTTTGGGAATGGCTGACATACTGTATAAAGCTACTGTTGAAGCTAAGGCAGAGACTGAAGCAGAGACTGAGGCAGAGACTGAAGCAGAGACTGAAGCAGAGACTGAAGCAGAGACTGAAGCAGAGACTGAAGCAGAGACTGAAGCAGAGACTGAAGCAGAGACTGAAGCAGAGACTGAGGCAGAGACTGAGGCAGAGACTGAAGCAGAGACTGAAGCAGAGACTGAAGCAGAGACTGAAGCAGAGACTGAGGCAGAGACTGAAGCAGAGACTGAGGCAGAGACTGAAGCAGCGACTGAAGCAGAGACTGAAGCAGAGACTGAGGCAGAGACTGAAGCAGAGACTGAGGCAGAGACTGAAGCAGAGACTGAGGCAGAGACTGAAGCAGAGACTGAAGCAGAGACTGAGGCAGAGACTGAAGCAGAGACTGAGGCAGAGACTGAAGCAGAGACTGAAGCAGAGACTGAAGCAGAGACTGAAGCAGAGACTGAGGCAGAGACTGAGGCAGAGACTGAGGCAGAGACTGAGGCAGAGACTGAAGCAGAGACTGAAGCAGAGACTGAAGCAGAGACTGAGGCAGAGACTGAAGCAGAGACTGAGGCAGAGACTGAGGCAGAGACTGAAGCAGAGACTGAAGCAGAGACTGAGGCAGAGACTGAAGCAGAGACTGAGGCAGAGACTGAAGCAGAGACTGAAGCAGAGACTGAAGCAGAGACTGAAGCAGAGACTGAGGCAGAGACTGAAGCAGAGACTGAGGCAGAGACTGAAGCAGAGACTGAAGCAGAGACTGAAGCAGAGACTGAAGCAGAGACTGAGGCAGAGACTGAGGCAGAGACTGAGGCAGAGACTGAAGCAGAGACTGAAGCAGAGACTGAAGCAGAGACTGAGGCAGAGACTGAAGCAGAGACTGAGGCAGAGACTGAAGCAGCGACTGAAGCAGAGACTGAAGCAGAGACTGAGGCAGAGACTGAAGCAGAGACTGAGAGCAGAGACTGAAGCAGAGACTGAAGCAGAGACTGAGGCAGAGACTGAGGCAGAGACTGAAGCAGAGACTGAAGCAGAGACTGAGGCAGAGACTGAAGCAGAGACTGAAGCAGAGACTGAAGCAGAGACTGAAGCAGAGACTGAAGCAGAGACTGAAGCAGAGACTGAAGCAGAGACTGAGGCAGAGACTGAAGCAGAGACTGAAGCAGAGACTGAAGCAGAGACTGAGGCAGAGACTGAAGCAGAGACTGAAGCAGAGACTGAAGCAGCGACTGAAGCAGAGACTGAGGCAGAGACTGAGGCAGAGACTGAAGCAGAGACTGAGGCAGAGACTGAAGCAGAGACTGAGGCAGAGACTGAGGCAGAGACTGAAGCAGAGACTGAGGCAGAGATGAAGCAGAGACTGAGGCAGAGACTGAGGCAGAGACTGAGGCAGAGACTGAAGCAGAGACTGAGGCAGAGACTGAAGCAGAGACTGAGGCAGAGACTGAAGCAGAGACTGAAGCAGAGACTGAGGCAGAGACTGAGGCAGAGACTGAAGCAGAGACTGAGGCAGAGACTGAAGCAGAGACTGAGGCAGAGACTGAGGCAGAGACTGAAGCAGAGACTGAAGCAGAGACTGAAGCAGAGACTGAGGCAGAGACTGAAGCAGAGACTGAGGCAGAGACTGAGGCAGAGACTGAAGCAGAGACTGAAGCAGAGACTGAAGCAGAGACTGAAGCAGAGACTGAGGCAGAGACTGAGGCAGAGACTGAGGCAGAGACTGAGGCAGAGACTGAAGCAGAGACTGAAGCAGAGACTGAGGCAGAGACTGAGGCAGAGACTGAGGCAGAGACTGAAGCAGAGACTGAAGCAGAGACTGAAGCAGAGACTGAGGCAGAGACTGAAGCAGAGACTGAAGCAGAGACTGAAGCAGAGACTGAAGCAGAGACTGAGGCAGAGACTGAAGCAGAGACTGAAGCAGAGACTGAAGCAGAGACTGAAGCAGAGACTGAAGCAGAGACTGAGGCAGAGACTGAGGCAGAGACTGAGGCAGAGACTGAGGCAGAGACTGAACCAGAGACTGAGGCAGAGACTGAGGCAGAGACTGAGGCAGAGACTGAAGCAGAGACTGAAGCAGAGACTGAGGCAGAGACTGAGGCAGAGACTGAAGCAGAGACTGAAGCAGAGACTGAGGCAGAGACTGAGGCAGAGACTGAGGCAGAGACTGAAGCAGAGTCTGAGGCAGAGTCTGAGGCAGAGACTGAAGCAGAGACTGAAGCAGAGACTGAGGCAGAGACTGAAGGTCTGGGGTCTTTCCTGGTCCTGGTCTCTCTCCTGGTCCGGCTCTCTCACCTGGTACTGTACTCTCTCCCATACAAACATACATGGTCCACAGAGCAGAGGGCTGCTGGGGTCTCTGACTGACTCCTGCCTCACCCTGGTCCCAATCTCAGCGTGATCTGTCTGGATGAAGGCCGCCGTGGGATCAGCCAATAGGAAGCCAGCGTCATGATCCATGGTCTTTAGTGTAATAACTGCAGTCATGAGCGGAAAATGGCAGAAGTTTAGTGATTTATGAAGCGGCGTTGGCTTCGTCAGCTTCAGAGGAGTCCGTTTCAGAACAACACTGTAGCAGAGAGAGATGAAAGACCAGAGACATATTCCACTGCTGCTCCTCCTCGGCGTTCACAGACTCATGTTGTGGTCTGTTATTTATAGTTTAGCACAGAAGTTTTAAGTTTTTAACCCTCTGGGCGCCACGGTTGACTGCAGTCGAGAAAATGCGGTTCTCTTTGAAACGGCGACTGTGTCAAACTTAAGTGTGTGTGTGTGTGTGTGAATGGTTGGTGGTGGTGGGAGGGGCCGATGGCACAGACTGGTGGCCTCGCTTCTGTCAGTGTGCCCCAGGGCAGCGTCTTTGAGAGTCTAGAAAGCGCTGTATACAACCGATGCATTATTATTATTATTGTTATGATGTCATAGTGGTTCGATGACATCATGCTAGGACAGGAGCCTTTAGACGGAAGGGGCGGAGCCAACATTTCTTGATATTTTATGGATCGAAACGCAACTGTTTTTAATGAGGGGACTATTATGGTATGACATCGTTACAACCTTAAACACATTTCGTTTCCATCTCAGTCTTTTCCTTCTGGTCCGTGTGCCGTTTGAGCGTGGCGTGTGCAGTTGGAGCGTGGCGTGTGCAGTTTGAGCGTGGCGTGTGCAGTTTGAGCGTGGCGTGTGCAGTTTGAGCGTGGCGTGTGCAGTTTGAGCGTGGCGTGTGCAGTTTGAGCGTGGCGTGTGCAGTTGGAGCGTGGCGTGTGCCGTTTGAGCGTGGCGTGTGCAGTTGGAGCGTGGCGTGTGCAGTTTGAGCGTGGCGTGTGCAGTTTGAGCGTGGCGTGTGCAGTTTGAGCGTGGCGTGTGCAGTTGGAGCGTGGCGTGTGCAGTTTGAGCGTGGCGTGTGCAGTTTGAGCGTGGCGTGTGCAGTTTGAGCGTGGCGTGTGCAGTTGGAGCGTGGCGTGTGCAGTTGGAGCGTGGCGTGTGCCGTTTGAGCGTGGCGTGTGCAGTTGGAGCGTGGCGTGTGCAGTTTGAGCGTGGCGTGTGCAGTTTGAGCGTGGCGTGTGCAGTTGGAGCGTGGCGTGTGCAGTTGGAGCGTGGCGTGTGCAGTTGGAGCGTGGCGTGTGCAGTTGGAGCGTGGCGTGTGCAGTTTGAGCGTGGCGTGTGCAGTTGGAGCGTGGCGTGTGCAGTTGAAGCTTGGCGTGTGCAGTTGGAGCGTGGCGTGTGCAGTTGGAGCGTGGCGTGTGCAGTTGGAGCGTGGCGTGTGCAGTTGGAGCGTGGCGTGTGCAGTTGGAGCGTGGCGTGTGCAGTTGGAGCGTGGCGTGTGCAGTTGGAGCGTGGCGTGTGCAGTTGGAGCGTGGCGTGTGCAGTTGGAGCGTGGCGTGTGATATTTACTTTCCAACATTTCTCTGATCTTTTGACTTGAAAAGGAACAAAGTGTTTTGAGCCTCAGCTGCGTCTGGAGCCGTTGTCTTGTGGTTGTGTCTCTTCGGTCGTCTGTTGTGTGTCTGTGAAAGCAGCTGCGATCCTGTACAAGTGTGTGGTCAGACCCCCCCTCGCCCCCCTCGCCCCAGAGCCGGGCTTCAAACAGCGCCTCTGCCTTTGTGCCCATGTGCAGGTGTGCTGGCCTGGGGCTGCGGGTGCGATGCTATCTGTCCCAGAGACACACAAAGAGACTCTGTGATCGGGACAACACAACTTTAAAGGAGAAGTCAGCGTCCAAACACAGAGCACGACAACACACAGAAGATTAATTTCAGATCCGTAAACATTAAGCAGAAAGCAGCGGAGTTGTTTCTAAATCCAGGGCACTTTCTATACAGAGACCTGGCTTCCCACAAACATTGTTCGTACATAATTATCTTCTATGTAGTTCTGATTTTAATTAAAGTAATCCACTGCTTTCTCTTATGTTTATTATTGTCTATGTCTTTCATACTTTTCTCCCTAAAATCCCGGCCTCTAAAGGGTGACCCCAGAGCCTTCTTTTTTACGACTACAGTTTGAATAAAAACGTGAAATTAAAAAGTCCTGCAAACGTCCACATGTTTAAGAAACGCAACAACAATGAAATCAGATGAAATTAATGTTTAGAAAAAGACAGGAAATAGATATATGATTAAAATAATTAAAGCCGTTTTAAGGAGGCTGCAGTCCACCTTAAATATCTGTTTCTTTGGTTGTTTATGTTGAAGAACACATTACATCATAAATCATACATAATAATAATAATTAATAATCATAAAATATTAAATACATGAGAAAATAGATTTAGTTTAGGAAATGACACGTGTTTTGTTTTGTTGCCATTTTCCTCTCCTCTCTCCTCCTCCTCCCTTCTCTCTCCTCCTCGCTCCTCCTACCTCCTCTCTCCTCTCTCCTCCTCTCTCCTCCTCCCTTCTCTCTCCTCTCTCCTCCTCTCTCCTCCTCGCTCCTCCTACCTCCTCTCTCCTCCTCTCTCCTCAGTCTTTGATCTGGTGTTGATGCTGTTTCTTGTTCAGTCTAATCTAAAATGCGATTGATAAATATGTGAGTGGTTCACAGCGAAGGCTTCTCCAGGACTGAGGCTGTAGACCCAGGACTGAGGCTGTAGACCCAGGACTGAGGCTGTAGACCCAGGACTGAGGCTGTAGACCCAGGACTGAGGCTGTAGATCCAGGACTGAGGCTGTAGACCCAGGACTGAGGCTGTAGACCCAGGACTGAGACTGTAGACCCAGGACTGAGGCTGTAGACCCAGGACTGAGGCTGTAGACCCAGGACTGAGGCTGTAGACCCAGGACTGAGGCTGTAGACCCAGGACTGAGGATGTAGACCCAGGGCTGAGACTGTAGACCCAGGACTGAGACTGTAGACCCAGAACTGAGGCTGTAGACCCAGGACTGAGACTGTAGAGCCAGGACTGAGACTGTAGACCCAGGACTGAGGCTGTAGATCCAGGACTGAGGCTGTAGACCCAGGACTGAGGCTGTAGACCCAGGACTGAGGCTGTAGACCCAGGACTGAGGATGTAGACCCAGGGCTGAGACTGTAGACCCAGGACTGAGGCTGTAGGTCCAGGACTGAGGCTGTAGACCCAGGACTGAGGCTGTAGACCCAGGACTGAGGCTGTAAACCTTGGACTGAGGCTGTAGATCCAGGACTGAGGCTGTAGACCCAGGACTGAGGCTGTAGACCCAGGACTGAGGCTGTAGATCCAGGACTGAGGCTGTAGACCCAGGACTGAGGCTGTAGACCCAGGACTGAGGCTGTAGACCCAGGACTGAGGCTGTAGACCCAGGACTGAGGCTGTAGACCCAGGACTGAGGCTGTAGACCCAGGACTGAGGATGTAGACCCAGGGCTGAGACTGTAGACCCAGGACTGAGGCTGTAGGTCCAGGACTGAGGCTGTATAGACCCAGGACTGAGGCTGTGGACCCAGGACTGAGGCTGTAGATCCAGGACTGAGGCTGTAGACCCAGGACTGAGGCGGTAGACCCAGGACTGAGGCTGTAAACCTTGGACTGAGGCTGTAGATCCAGGACTGAGGCTGTAGACCCAGGACTGAGGCTGTAGACCCAGGACTGAGGCTGTAGATCCAGGACTGAGGCTGTAGACCCAGGACTGAGGCTGTAGACCCAGGACTGAGGCTGTAGACCCAGGACTGAGACAAATGAAACAAATATGTTGTTATTGGACAGATAGGAGCCTCCTGCCGCAGCAGCAGGAGTGTGTTAGTGTCTTTGTCGCACACAGGGGCAGTGCAGGTCAAACGTGGGGGGGCCCGTGGGGGGGGGCAGAGCGGGGGCCAGAGCGGGGGCCCCAGGGTTACAGGGGCCGTGGAATGTTAATTGGGAAGATTGTTTTAATAAGCCCCATCTCTGCTCGAGGGGGAACACACACACTCTCACTGAACCACAGCAGCTGCAGAACACGACACATCCTGGACACACACAGGACCTGGACTACAGTTACTTACCCCAGAGTATCCGAGTACTGTGGAAAAGTAATTCCTGTGAATTGTCAGTGTTGCATCAGCAGGTACAGAGCAGTAGGAGGACACACAACACCTCGGTCTGTAAATGTTATATATAAATACATATTTTCTGAGCTGTAGGCGACAGTGGCTCAGTGGGTAGAGCATCGGACTTTGAGCCTGAAGGTCGTGGGTTCGAGTCCACTTTCTCCACCGTCTCCCACTGATGTCTGCTGTGGTTGTGTCCTTTGGCAAGACACTTCCCCCACATTAGAATGAGTCTGGTGTGTGTGTGAATGGTTGGTGGTGGTGGGAGGGGCCGATGGCACAGACTGGTTGCCTCGCTTCTGTCAGTGTGCCCCAGGGCAGCTGTGGCTACAGTAGTTTATCACCTCTGTGTTATGAGTGAGAGAATAATGTTGTGAAGCGTTCTTAAGTGTCCAGTGCTGTATAAATATCATATAATATTAATATTATTATTTTATAGTGACTCAAAAAGTGATCCACCAAATGTTTCAGGAAACATTTTTCTAAATGATTATGACTGTTCCAGTCCCTCTTGTCGTTGGTTCAAACACAAACCCTGTCGTTGCAAACACATTGTTTTTTTAAATGCCCACGGACACTGAACTCTGTCTGTGTCCTGGACCTGCTCCTGGAGACGGTACCATGTGCAAACAGAGGACCAGCTGAGAGAGAGAGAGACCAGGACCAGTTCTATTGAGGACTGGTCCCAAAGCCCACTCTCTTCACAGACACAGATAAACCTCCACATCAGGACCTTTACTATTATTGTTATGTCCGAGGCCTGGATCTGTTGGAACCTCTGTCTCCAGGAGAAAGATAGAGAGAGAGAGAGACAGACTTCAGACTCTGCAGGTCTTCAGTGTGAGTCCTGCAGTGACCCACAGAGTCTTTATGAGATTCATTTAGTGTTTATTGGAGTGTTTGGAGATATGTTCTCTCTCTCTCTCTCTCTCTCTCTCTCTCTCTCTCTCTCTCTCTCTCTCTCTCTCTCTCTCCTCTGTGTTTATTGCTCTTGGACGCTCTGACGGCTCTTCGGTCCCAACAGTCGATGTCGCTCTGATGTAACACAACTCCTGCTGAGATAATTAGAATCTAAAAATTAAGACACCTTTGCATGATATGTCCCTAATCTGGAATAAGCAGTTAGTCTGATTTCACACACACACATAGAGAGAGACACACACACACGCACGCACACACACACACACACACACACACACACTAGGGCTGTGTTCCAGGGGAAAGTGAAACCAGATGTTGAAATGTCAGATGAAAATGAGAATCCTGCGCTGGTCTCTGACGGTAATGCAAATTATGTCTTAATGCCTTAGGGAGGGGGGGGGGGGGGCACCGGGTCAGAACCAGGCCTGATCCCACACCGGGTCAGAACCAGCACCAGTCCCCGAGACGACTGCTGTATTTTAGGGCTGTACAGGTTGCATGCAAGTGTAGTACCTCAGACGACCACACGTCCTCCACAGTCCGTGTCCAAAGTGGATTTTTCCGCAGACAAATGAACGGAGCTGAACATAGTTTGAATATTTGGGATCACAGATATTTTCCAAACATTAGCGCCTCATTAGCGCTCTGTGACTCTGGCTCTTTTCCACCAATTAGGCCCAAACCTCTGCTTCTCACGTCACAACAGAGGAGCAGTGATGGTCTTATCCACCAGGAACCTGATCCACCAGGGGACAGCTGCAGGCTCTGGCCCCACGGAGAGAGCCTCATTATCCCACATGCCCTCAGTGTGAAGACCCGCCACTGTCTGTGTTCACACCGACTGGACTCATAGATCACTGAGCCGCAGCACAAAGTGGGAGTCTCAGAGGGATTTTGAATTGTAGAATTTATAGATTTTTATTGAGGCTTTTTTCTTATGGTAGAAAACTGTTCAGTGTGTCTTTGTACCATCAAGGCAAAACCAAACAACGCAAATAATGACTACGTGTTGTTACCATTGACTGTAAGTATTAACGTAGTCACGCCTATCTCCGCCGTTAAAACTAATGTGACATCACTTTTGCCGTCTGGGGCTTTTTCAAAATGAGTGCATTCAAAAGTCCACAGCGACTAAACACTTTTGGACCGTCCTGTAAAGACGTTTTTGAGAAGAAAGAAGACGCCATATAAAAGCGTTGGATAATTATTGTTCTGAGTCCACCCCCACAGGCCCGGGGTGGTATTGCAAGTATGTCAGCACATGTGCTCAATGAAATTTCTTAGCAGACACTTGATGAATGAACTATACTCGCACAGCAAAGTCTGTCGGTCTGAAGTCTGTCAGTTTGAGGTCTGTCGGTCTGAGGTCTGTCGGTCTGAAGTCTGTCGGTCTAAAGTCTGTCGGTCTGAAGTCTGTCGGTCTGAAGTCGGTCGGTCTGAGGTCTGTCGGTCTGAAGTCGGTCGGTCTGAGGTCTTTCGGTCTGAAGTCTGTCGGTCTGAAGTCTGTCGGTTTGAAGTCTGTCGGTCTGAGGTCTGTCGGTCTGAAGTCTGTCGGTCTGAAGTTGGTCGGTCTGAGGTCTGTCGGTCTGAAGTTGGTCGGTCTGAGGTCTGTCGGTCTGAAGTCTGTCGGTCCGAAGTCTGTCGGTCTGAAGTCTGTCGGTCTGAGGTCTGTCGGTCTGAAGTCTTTCGGTCTGAAGTCTGTCGGTCTGAAGTCTGTCTGTCCGAAGTCTGTCGGTCTGAAGTCTGTCGGTCTGAGGTCTGTCGGTCTGTCGGTCTGAAGTCTGTCTGTCCGAAGTCTGTCGGTCCGAAGTCTGTCGGTCTGAAGTCTGTCGGTCTGAGGTCTGTCGGTCTGAAGTCTGTCGGTCTGAAGTCTGTTGGTGTAAGGTCTGTCGGTCTGAAGTCTGTCAGTTTGAGGTCTGTCGGTCTGAAGTCTGTCGGTCTGAAGTCTGTCGGTCCGAAGTCTGTCGGCCCGAAGTCTGTCGGTCTGAAGTCTGTCGGTCTGAGGTCTGTCGGTCTGTCGGTCTGAAGTCTGTCGGCCTGAGGTCTGTCGGTCTGTCGGTCTGAAGTCTGTCGGTCCGAAGTCTGTCGGTCTGAAGTCTGAAGTCTGTCGGTCTGAAGTCTGTCAGTCTGAGGTCTGTCGGTCTGAAGTCTGTCGGTCTGAAGTCTGTCGGTCCGAAGTCTGTCGGCCCGAAGTCTGTCGGTCTGAAGTCTGTCGGTCTGAGGTCTGTCGGTCTGTCGGTCTGAAGTCTGTCGGTCTGAAGTCTGTCGGTCTGAAGTCTGTCTGTCCGAAGTCTGTCTGTCCGAAGTCTGTCGGTCTGAAGTCTGTCGGTCTGAAGTCTGTCGGTCTGAAGTCTGTTGGTCTGAGGTCTGTCGGTCTGAAGTCTTTCGGTTTGAAGTCTGTCGGTCTGAAGTCTGTCGGTCTGAGGTCTGTCGGTCTGAAGTCTGTCGGTCTGAAGTCTGTTGGTCTGAGGTCTGTCGGTCTGAAGTCTTTCGGTTTGAAGTCTGTCGGTCTGAAGTCTGTCGGTCTGAGGTCTGTCGGTCTGAAGTCTGTCGGTCTGAAGTCTGTTGGTCTGAGGTCTGTCGGTCTGAAGTCTTTCGGTTTGAAGTCTGTCGGTCTGAAGTCTGTCGGTCTGAAGTTTGTCGGTCTGAGGTCAGTTTGAGGTCTGTCGGTCTGAAGTCTGTCGGTCTGAAGTCTGTCGGTCTGAGGTCTGTCGGTCTGAAGTCTTTCGGTCTGAAGTCTGTCGGTGAAGTCTGTCGGTCCGAAGTCTGTCGGTCTGAAGTCTGAAGTCTGTCGGTCTGAAGTCTGTCGGTCTGAGGTCTGTCGGTCTGAAGTCTTTCGGTCTGAAGTCTGTCGGTCTGAAGTCTGTCGGTCCGAAGTCTGTCGGTCTGAAGTCTGAAGTCTGTCGGTCTGAAGTCTGTCGGTCTGAGGTCTGTCGGTCTGAAGTCTTTCGGTCTGAAGTCTGTCGGTCTGAAGTCTGTCGGTCCGAAGTCTGTCGGTCCGAAGTCTGAAGTCTGTCGGTCTGAAGTCTGTCGGTCTGAAGTCTGTCGGTCTGAGGTCTGTCGGTCTGAAGTCTTTCGGTCTGAAGTCTGTCGGTCTGAAGTCTGTCGGTCCGAAGTCTGTCGGTCCGAAGTCTGAAGTCTGTCGGTCTGAAGTCTGTCGGTCTGAGGTCTGTCGGTCTGAAGTCTGTCGGTCCGAAGTCTGTCGGTCCGAAGTCTGAAGTCTGTCGGTCTGAAGTCTGTCGGTCTGAAGTCTTTCGGTCTGAAGTCTGTCGGTCTGAAGTCTGTCGGTCCGAAGTCTGTCGGTCTGAAGTCTGAAGTCTGTCGGTCTGAAGTCTGTCGGTCTGAGGTCTGTCGGTCTGAAGTCTTTCGGTCTGAAGTCTGTCGGTCTGAAGTCTGTCGGTCCGAAGTCTGTCGGTCTGAAGTCTGAAGTCTGTCGGTCTGAAGTCTGTCGGTCTGAGGTCTGTCGGTCTGAAGTCTTTCGGTCTGAAGTCTGTCGGTCTGAAGTCTGTCGGTCCGAAGTCTGTCGGTCCGAAGTCTGAAGTCTGTCGGTCTGAAGTCTGTCGGTCTGAGGTCTGTCGGTCTGAAGTCTGTCTGTCCGAAGTCTGTCGGTCCGAAGTCTGAAGTCTGTCGGTCTGAAGTCTGAAGTCTGTCGGTCTGAAGTCTGTCGGTCTGAGGTCTGTCGGTCTGAAGTCTTTCGGTCTGAAGTCTGTCGGTCTGAAGTCTGTCGGTCCGAAGTCTGTCGGTCCGAAGTCTGAAGTCTGTCGGTCTGAAGTCTGTCGGTCTGAGGTCTGTCGGTCTGAAGTCTGTCGGTCTGAAGTCTGTCGGTCCGAAGTCTGTCGGTCCGAAGTCTGAAGTCTGTCGGTCTGAAGTCTGTCGGTCTGAGGTCTGTCGGTCTGAAGTCTGTCTGTCCGAAGTCTGTCGGTCCGAAGTCTGTCTGTCCGAAGTCTGTCGGTCTGAAGTCTGTCGGTCTGAGGTCTGTCGGTCTGTCGGTCTGAGGTCTGTCGGTCTGAAGTCTGTCGGTCTGAAGTCTGTCGGTCCGAAGTCTGTCGGTCTGAAGTCTGTCGGTCTGAGGTCTGTCGGTCTGAAGTCTGTCGGTCTGAAGTCTGTCGGTCTGAAGTCTGTCGGTCTGAAGTCTGTCGGTCTGAAGTCTGTCGGTCTGAAGTCTGTCGGTCTGAAGTCTGTCGGTCTGAGGTCTGTCGGTCTGAAGTCTGTCGGTCTGAGGTCTGTCGGTCCGAAGTCTGTCGGTCCGAAGTCTTTCGGTTTGAAGTCTGTCGGTCTGAAGTCTGTCGGTCTGAGGTCTGTCGGTCCGAAGTCTGTCGGTCTGAAGTCTTTCGGTCTGAAGTCTGTCGGTCTGAAGTCTGTCGGTCTGAAGTCTGTCGGTCTGAAGTCTGTCGGTCTGAAGTCTGTCGGTCTGAGGTCTGTCGGTCCGAAGTCTGTCGGTCCGAAGTCTTTCGGTTTGAAGTCTGTCGGTCTGAAGTCTGTCGGTCTGAGGTCTGTCGGTCCGAAGTCTGTCGGTCTGAAGTCTGTCGGTCTGAAGTCTTTCGGTCTGAAGTCTGTCGGTCTGAAGTCTGTCGGTCTGAAGTCTGTCGGTCTGAAGTCTGTCGGTCTGAAGTCTGTCGGTCTGAAGTCTTTCGGTCTGAAGTCTTTCGATCTGTCGGTCCCTAAAGGACTTGTTTGTAAACTGCAGATGTGTCTCGCTCTCAGCTGTGTTTGGACGACACTGCTTTAGGGACGGACGGACCCGGGGTCAGAGCTCCGCTGGTGTAAACACGGACCCCACAGCAGCCCCCCACCCCCCTCAGGCCCCCACCTCAGCCCTCAGGCCCCCACTCTGCCCAGTCTATAAACCTGCAGAGGGCCCTCGTTCCTGGGGGGCCTCCCTGTTGGTTTACACAGGAGGAGTGTAGAGAAGATAAGAGACGGTAAAACAAGTTCACGAAGGGTTAAGTCTGTTTACAACCACTTTTGCCCGAGCTGCAGAGAGAGGAGAGAGACTGGACTTATCCCGACACTTTTACAACATTCCGGATTCTTCTCCAGGAACCAGGAAACGTAAACAACACATATATGTGTCAGGACCTCATCTGCAGCTCCTGAAACTCAGAGGTCAACAACACATGTATGTGTCAGGACCTCATCTGCAGCTCCTGAAACTCAGAGGTCAACAACACATGTATGTGTCAGGACCTCATCTGCAGCTCCTGAAACTCAGAGGTAAACAACACATGTATGTGTCAGGACCTCATCTGCAGCTCCTGAAACTCAGAGGTCAACAACACATGTATGTGTCAGGACCTCATCTGCAGCTCCTGAAACTCAGAGGTCAACAACACATGTATGTGTCAGGACCTCATCTGCAGCTCCTGAAACTCAGAGGTCAAACAACACATGTATGTGTCAGGACCTCATCTGCAGCTCCTGAAACTCAGAGGTCAACAACACATGTATGTGTCAGGACCTCATCTGCAGCTCCTGAAACTCAGAGGTCAACAACACATGTATGTGTCAGGACCTCATCTGCAGCTCCTGAAACTCAGAGGTCAACAACACATGTATGTGTCAGGACCTCATCTGCAGCTCCTGAAACTCAGAGGTCAACAACACATGTATGTGTCAGGACCTCATCTGCAGCTCCTGAAACTCAGAGGTCAACAACACATGTATGTGTCAGGACCTCATCTGCAGCTCCTGAAACTCAGAGGTCAAACAACACATGTATGTGTCAGGACCTCATCTGCAGCTCCTGAAACTCAGAGGTAAACAACACATGTATGTGTCAGGGCCTCATCTGCAGCTCCTGAAACTCAGAGGTCAAACAACACATGTATGTGTCAGGACCTCATCTGCAGCTCCTGAAACTCAGAGGTCAACAACACATGTATGTGTCAGGACCTCATCTGCAGCTCCTGAAACTCAGAGGTCAACAACACATGTATGTGTCAGGACCTCATCTGCAGCTCCTGAAACTCAGAGGTCAACAACACATGTATGTGTCAGGACCTCATCTGCAGCTCCTGAAACTCAGAGGTCAACAACACATGTATGTGTCAGGACCTCATCTGCAGCTCCTGAAACTCAGAGGTCAAACAACACATGTATGTGTCAGGACCTCATCTGCAGCTCCTGAAACTCAGAGGTAAACAACACATGTATGTGTCAGGGCCTCATCTGCAGCTCCTGAAACTCAGAGGTCAAACAACACATGTATGTGTCAGGACCTCATCTGCAGCTCCTGAAACTCAGAGGTCAACAACACATGTATGTGTCAGGACCTCATCTGCAGCTCCTGAAACTCAGAGGTCAACAACACATGTATGTGTCAGGACCTCATTTGCAGCTCCTGAAACTCAGAGGTCAAACAACACATGTATGTGTCAGGACCTCATCTGCAGCTCCTGAAACTCAGAGGTCAAACTGTGGTTGAAATGAGGTGGAACATCACTACCATTAATACCATGTTTTTCTCTATGTACTGGGTTCTTATTGTTCATACCTGCACATGACAGCCAGATCCAGCCAGATCTCTGAACCTAAGCAGGGCAGGGCCTGGTTAGTACTGTGATGGGAGACCTCTGAGAACACCACTGTATCTACTTATTATCATGCCCCTATAAGTACAGTATATAACTCCTGTCCTATATGTACAGTATATAACTCCTGTCCTATATGTACAGTATATAACTCCTGTCCTATATGTACAGTATATAACTCCTGTCCTATATGTACAGTATATAACTCCTGTCCTATATGTACAGTATATAACTCCTGTCTATATGTACAGTATATAACTCCTGTCTATATGTACAGTATATAACTCCTGTCTATATGTACAGTATATAACTCCTGTCTATATGTACAGTATATAACTCCTCACTACATATATATATATATATATATATAAATATATATTATTTGGTATTGAAGAATTTTCAAAAACACAACTAAGAAACATAGCAGTTACTTTTATAGCTTCTGTCCTGTCTGTGCGCTGCAACACTGAAATTTCCCTACTGTGGGACGGATAAAGGATCTCTATCTTATCATTAGAATGAGTGTGTTGTGTGTGAATGGTTGGTGGTGGCTTCTGTCAGTGTGCCCCAGGGCAGCTGTGGCTACAGAGTGAATGACTGATGATGAAAGCGAGAGCATTATTAATGTCCTTTTCTCCGTGATTTTCTAATTCATGGTCTTTGAGTTTTTAACCATAAAAAGAACTTGTTCCTGATTAAAAACAGTCCAGGAAATGTCCTCAGCTTCACACGCGACGACAAACTCCAACTCTTCTCAAACTCTGACACATCCGTCATTGTGCCCGACCGCCAAACTAAATATTACTTCTAAATGATTCAGTCTAAACAGAAATACATTTGTAAATATACACGGAATTTATAATTATACCAAAACTATGGCAACAATAACACTTCCATAACTCTGTACGTATCTCCATAAACTAAGGCAGTGTTTGTCAACCAGTGGGCCGTGGCACGTTGGTGCATCAGTTTCAGCTGGTTTGCCGTGTGTTTGTTTTAAATGAAAAAGGTGTGACATGGCAGAAAAAGGTTGGGGAACACTGCACTAAGGAATGTTATTTTTTTATTTATGCCTTATTTATGCCTTATTTTTTAGTTTTTGATTTTACAGTTCAACCAGAATGTCATAAAAAACAGAAAACAGAAAAAGGCAACATTTATAATGCAAAGAAAGGATTACATAAAATAAACAAAATGAATAAAATAAATAATAAAATTTATTAAAAATTAATTAATACATTTTATAAACAAATACTAATAATCATAATAATACTACAAATAACAATACAAAAAATAATACATAATAATAATAAAAATCGATAATAGTAAAATAAGATGAGAAAAAAATAAAATAAGATAAAAAGGTTAACACTGTAAATAATTATTCATCAGATTGGAAAACTATATGAATGTGTAATTTCTGCTCGAATGAATAAAATCGATGAATGTCTTGAAATGACGTAATCTATAACGGTGTGTCTTTGGTTGAAAAGTGCCATGTTAGATTCAGCTCTAACTCCAGCAGGATATAAAGCCTCAGTAACAGACTATTTTGGGGCGATTACGGCATTTGTTGTGTATTTTCTGCATCAAATTAAAGTAATTGTCCTCAGAGAGAACGACTCCAGTCAAAGCCTCATGTGTGCTTCTTGTTCGGAGCCACAGCTGCCCTGGGCCACACGCTCTGATGTTTAGACCTCACATTCCTGGATAAGTGTCTCTGGATGAGCTCACGGCGAACACAGCTGCAGCGATGACTTCCACTTGGAGCAGACCCACAATGAACCCTCTCTCTGCTGCAGTCGGTGTTGTTCTGCTCCTGCAGCAGCCGCTCAGACCACGGAGGCTATTAACAAATCTGTGTCCAAGAAGTGCTTTGGCAGAGTCGGCTCGCAGCAGAAGCAGGAGGCCGCTCTCCAATTAAGTGCTTAAAGCGATGAGGGGGGAATTTGTAGCTGTCAGTGGGTGATGGGGGAGAGGGTGAGGGTTAGGAGGGGGTAGAGGGGGGAGAGGGGGGAGAGGAGGGGGGAAAGGGGCTGCTTTGATGTGAGGAGAGCTCGGCGACTGGAGGTTGTATCAGTTTTGTGATACGGAGCAGGACGTCTGCTCAGTGTGTGCTTGAACTTTGTGTGAACGGAAAATGCAACAGATTTTGAGGATTCTTTAGCTGCACTTATGAAGATGAAAATTCTTTATTGGTCCCGCAGCGGAAATGTCAGTAGTTACAGAACAGTAGACTGAGGCGCACACAGCACCAGAGAAATGAACAAAGCTCCATACAACCCTAACCCTACAATACTAACCCTAACAAGGAAGCAAGTCGAACATTTCCAACTTTAGCATGATGAAGAAGTATAAATCCTGTATATTCTACTGCATAAATATATATTAGTATGTTTACATCTGTGCATTAGCAGCACCAGGCTCTGGGACACAGGGACTCAGTAAAGAGACTGTGACATGTGGTTCTATAATGAACTATGATCCATGAAGAACAACTTAATTTCATTACATTTATTCTTGTATCGCAACAGCATCATCTCTGAGGACTTAACAAATCTGTTGAAATCACCAACACCACGTGGTATTGGTCCATATAGACCAATGTCCATAAATGTTGTAGAATGTAGAGTGTCCTGGATCATCACCCACAGTCCAACAGACTCCTGCATCAGAGGAAAAACTCTGAAACCCAGTGAGAGAAAAGTGAGAAACCTCGAGGACGTCCAGCGTGGCTTTGGTGCTCTCCTTTCTCCCAATACTCTACTTACACCCAGACTTGTATTCAAACTGTCCCTGTGATACCTGTGTACCTCCTGCTGTGATCTCACTCAGCAGACCTTGAACTGCTCTGAGGGCTGTGTAATGAAAAGCACTCTACTCACGATCTTCTCTTTCAACACCGGCCATCGACCCAAATTAGGGCTGGATGGAATCAGGAGGCGCTCCGAGCACAGACTCTGCTGGATGTAAACAGGAGCTGGACAGGCCCTGGGAGCCGCTGATGGGGGCCGCTGATGGGGGCCGCTGATGGGGAGGTGTGGACAGGAGCCGGAGGACGGGGAGGTCACTGCAGCGAGGGGACATGGACGTTGTACTGCGGCGGTGCGGCACCAGATGAAGAGATTGTGTCGAAGGAAGTGTGCGATTAATAAAGGAGGAATTCTGAGATGTGTGTGTGTGTGTGTGTGTGTGTGTGTGTGTGTGTGTGTGTGTGTGTGTGTGTGTGTGTGTGTGTGTGTGTGTGTGTGTGTGTGTGTCTGTGTCTGTGTCTGTGTCTGTGTCTGTGTGTTTGTGTGTCTGTGTGTCTGTGTGTGTGTGTCTGTATGTGTGTGTCTGTGTGTGTGTCTGTGTGTCTGTGTGTGTGTGTGTCTGTGTGTCTGTGTGTCTGTGTGTCTGTGTGTGTCTGTGTGTCTGTGTGTCTGTGTGTCTGTGTGTCTGTGTGTCTGTGTGTCTGTGTGTGTGTGTGTGTGTGTGTCTGTGTGTGTCTGTGTGTGTCTGTGTGTGTGTGTGTGTGTGTGTGTGTGTGTGTGTGTGTGTGTGTGTGTGTGTGTGTGTGTGTGTGTGTGTGACTGGGACAGACCTAACCCAGGGACAGAGAGAGATCGTTGACATTTCTGACTGATACCAATACTGGCAAAGCAAACATGCAGCTCCAATTGTGTTTGTCTGGAGCAGATTTATTTGCTTCTGTGGCCGAGGGTATTTTGTGTCGGCTGAAAGACATATCCGACTGTTCAAAACAGATCAGCCCTTTATATATATTAAGGCTGGGACTCGATTAAACAAAACCATCTAATTAAAAAGAGGCTTTGTACTGAATTAATCATTCTTAAATCGCATGTAAATAGTTGACCTGAAAACAGAGGAGTATTTTTTTCATGTGGATTTTAGTTTACCTTATGCAAAAAAAATATCGTCTATTTTTGTCAATCAACAGACTGGTGGTCTAACAGACTGGTGTGCAACTGGTGGGTTATCTGGTGTGTAATCCAGACTAGTTCCCCTGGTCCTTAAACAGTCACCTGGTGGAGTGTGGTTTGGTGTGTGTCTTTGTACTCGTGGCTAACGTCTATGCTAAGTTTAGCATTGCTGCAAACACAACCTGATGTTATCGATGCTTCCATCCGTTTCCCATCCACTGCACAATGCACTCTGCTTATTCCTTCACTGTGGTTTGTTGTTGTCTGAAGCATGGATGCTAGCTGTGCACCAGTATAATTGTTAAAATTGCCAAAACTCCGGTGCAGAAAGGTTCTGCGGTGCCTATAAATAAACTGAGACTGAGTCTCTTTGTGTTGCTGAGACATTTCATTTCCTTTTCCAGTGTTACGTGACGAATTTCGGCAGAACCCGGCTGACGTGATCGTGGCGGCGGGAGAGCCGGCCGTGTTGGAGTGCCAGCCTCCACGTGGACACCCCGAGCCCACCATCTCCTGGAAGAAGGACGGAGTCAACATCGACGACCGCGACGAGCGCATCACGGTAACACTTCAGCTCAGAAGGAGCCAGGGGCAGGACATGTAGAGTAATATATACACTATGGTCTTTCTGCTGTGGCCCTGGCCCCAGTGTTTCTCTCGTCAATAACAAACCTAGAGCCCTATCAAGCTCCATCCATACATTAGTCAATCTCACCGTCCTGTCATCCATCCTGTCTATCTAACTTTCCTCCACTGAGAACAAGACCTGAGAGACTGAATCTTACAAGTATATACAAGTATATGTCACCAGGGGGCGCCTTGCCCCAACTAGATCTTTAAAACCAATGGTCCAAGGGGAGTGGCTCTATCAAAACAATACACCAGCGTTGAAGAATGAACAATTTATTACAATATATAATGTTTAAAATGTCACTAAAAGGCTACACTAAAAATCCAAAGATGAATCCCTCTAAAAACTGAATAGTCCAATATAGATCCAAGTTAGCGCTTGGGGTGGTGGTCCGGTCCCAGGGCACGTCCCGGAGGCCTATGGAGGGTCAAACAGGGCGGCAGTCAATACACCGGGTTACAGGAGCCTGAGCGTTGCTTGGCTCTCCACAAGACGCTCCCAGTGAAAATGTGCAACACTTAGCTGAGAGGAGGGGGATGGCGAACTCTCCCCCTCCGCTTCTCCACAGCGCGTCCTCTCAGCTTCTCCCACGCTGGTCGCAGTGCCTGGGACAGAGGGCAGACCGGCCGTCAATCTCCCAGGTCAGTGACAGGAATAATATACCCCAGTACTGCGCAGTCAGGCTTTGGCACACAGACACACACAGCACAAAAACCACACGTAGCCCTGCCTGCACAGCGAAACAAAACGGGTACTTAGCTGGGAGGAGGGGGTTCGTTACACTCTCCCCCTCCGCGATTCCCACGGTGCGTCCTGCCACTGGCCACTCGATGTCCGTCTCACAGCGCTGCTCCGTCGTGCCCAAGTGCTGCCTCCCGCTTGTCCAGTTCTCCGCACCCTGCTCTGCTGCTTCGCTCTCCACACCTGCTTCCCCCTCAATCACGCACACCTGTCCCTGATATCCCAATTCCAGTGGGCTGGGTCACAGTCATTCACAAACACGCAACCACTCACACACACGCACGCACACTCACGCACGCTCACGCACGCTGTCAAGTTGCCCCGTGACACCCTCCCCCTCCAAACTGTTCTAGTCCCTAGAACACACATACAAGGGTCAGTTCAGGTATCTTTGGGGCCGAGCCCCCAAATTGGCTCTCTGGGACCTCCTCGGCTCTGGCGGTGGTACAGGTCCCTCCTCGACGACTTCCCCCACAGGTAGCAAAAGCCCCCACATTGATGCCGGAGGCTCACTTGAGGGCGCTGTTGTAGCCTCCGGGGCGGTGTAGTAGAGGCATGGCCGGAGATTGTTGCGATGAATCACCCGTTCAGGGCCATCCTTACCCTCCGGGCGAATTTTGTAGACTGGGCGCTCTGGGTGGAGCCTACAAACTATAACAAAGGGTCTTTTCTCCCAGCGATCACTTAGTTTCCCTGCCTGGCGCCTGCGGTGGTCACGCACCAGAACTCGCTCTCCAGGCAAGAGCGGGACTTCTTTGGCAGAACGATCATAAAGCCTCTTACTTTTCTGTCCAGCCTGTTTGAGACAATCAAATGTTCTCTTATAGGCATAAGCCAGCTGCTCCTGATGCTTTGCTACCCAGTCTGTAGTGTCCATGGGAACCTGTACTCTCATACCTCCAGACAACAAATCTACTGGAGTCCTCATATGCCGACCGAACATCAAAAAGGCGGGTGCATAGCCTGTCGATGCATGGACAGTGTTATTATAGGCCTGGATTAATCCAGGCAGATACTCTGCCCACCTTTGATGTTTTTCTACCTCTAGGGTACCCAGGAGATTTAGCACTGTCTGGTTGAGCCGTTCGCAGGCCCCGTTCCCCATTGGGTGATATGGAGTGGTTCGACTCTTGCGGCACCCATACACCTGACAGAGTTCATGTACCAGCCTAGACTCAAAGTTGGCCCCTTGGTCGGAGTGCAGTACTTCTGGGCAACCGAACGGCTGGATTACATACTTCCAGAGGACACGTGCGGTCGTGAGGGCCGTTTGATCAAGTGTGGGTACTGCCCATGCAAACTTGGTGAACAAATCGGTCATAACAAGAATGTTTTGATACCTATCAACTGGACGGCTCAATGTGAGAAAATCTAAGGCCACAATCTGCATCGGGGCCCCTGCAACAAGATTCACTAAAGGCGCTCTACCTGGGGGTCCGGGCTTGTGTAATACACAACGCGGGCAAGCTTGTAGCCAGGTGTCGATTGTGTCCTCCATTCGGGGCCAGTAAAAACTCCTTCGCAGCAGACTCAGGGATCGCTCTAGCCCTGGGTGTCCCATCTGCTCATGATACAAGGCCCACAAGGTCTGTGCTTGCGATGCTGGAACAACAATCTGGTGAAGAGTCTCTAAAGTTTTTGAGTCTTGGACAATCCTACATATGACCCCATCCTTCAGTCTTAGTTTTTCCCAGTGTCTTAGCAGGGTCTTGGCTGGTTGCCCTAAGGCTCGTCTTTCTAAGGCACTTGGAAGCATACCTCTCTCGATGTGAGGCTGGATTTTACGCAGATCCGGATCTTCAGCTTGAAGGCTTCTCCATCGCGCCACGTCCCATCCCAAACTGCCACCTATGGTTGGGGTAATGGCGGTCTCTACCACTCCCACAAGCTGGTCCGGGTCACCTAGGGCCTGGTTTGGAGTGTCAGTGGGGAATCTAGATAGAACGTCAGCATTAGTATTTTCTTTTCCTGGGCGGTATCTAATAGAATAGTCAAAGTTAGCCAACTGGGCAACCCACCTCTGCTCTACAGCCCCCAGCTTTGCAGTTTGTAGGTGTACCAGTGGGTTGTTATCAGTTACTACGGAAAACTTTGCACCCCAAAGGTAGTCCTTGAACTTTTCTACCACTGCCCATTTCATAGCGAGGAGCTCCAGTTTGAACGAACTATAATTGGAGTCATTTCGTTCTGCTGGATGTAGGCTTCTACTAGCATATGCAATTACACGTTCAACCCCACCCTGTTCTTGAGCCAGTACAGCCCCAAGCCCTGTGTTGCTCGCGTCGGTATATAGAGTGAATGGCAGTGTATAATCAGCATAAGCCAGAATAGGGGCCTGCACCAGTTCCCTCTTTAGCTGTTGAAAGGCCACCTCGCATTCTTCATTCCACTCAATAGGAGGGGAATGCCGCCCTCTGGGGCGACTGGTGCCGATCAAAAGTCCGTTAAGGGGCTTAGCAATCTTTGAAAAGTCTTTTATAAAGCGCCTATAATACCCCAAGAAACCAAGAAATGAACGGACCTGCCTAACAGTAGCAGGCGGCTGCCAATCTGCTACGGCTGCGACTTTCTCTGGGTCAGGTGAAACCCCTTGGCCACTGACTACATGTCCCAGAAACTTTACCTGTTTCTGGAACAGCTGGCACTTCTCGGGACGGAGTTTAAGGCCATAATAGCCCAGAGACCGAAACACTGACTCCAAATGCTGAAGGTGTTCTGTGAAGCTTCTAGAATAGACAATCACATCATCAAGGTATACCATTGCCGACTCTGCTAACTGATCACCCAAGCACCGCTGCATCAGTCTTTGAAAGGTTGCAGGTGCATTACATAGCCCAAAGGGCATCCTTTCAAATTCAAATAAGCCAAACGGGGTAGTGAAGGCAGTTTTCTCTCTGTCTCCCTCTGCTACCTCCACTTGCCAATAACCACTGGCTAGATCTAGTGTGGAGTACCACTCTGCTCTAGTCAGGCTGGTTAAAGAGTCCTCAATCCTAGGGAGTGGGTGTGCATCTTTGTGTGTTACACTATTCAGCCTACGATAATCTACACAAAACCGCCACGCTCCATTCTTCTTCTGAACTAGGACAATGGGGGCGGCCCAGGGGCTGCAGCTTTCCCGAATTACCCCCCCGGCTAACATGTCTTTCAAGAGGCTACGCATTTCTTTGTAAATGGTTGGGGGTACTGACCTATACCTCTCGCGAATAGGATTTGCATCACCTGTTGTTATGGTGTGTTTCACAGCACTCGTCCGCCCATAGTCCTCTTCGTGGGTAGAGAAGACATGCCGCCATCGATTTAGCAGCTTGTCCAACTTCCCCTGTTCCTCCTCCGTCAGTCCATCTCCCCCAGGGACAGGAATAGCAGGGCTTACGTTGGTTGCTTCTGGTTTGGGAGCAGCATCGACCAGGCGGACTTCCACGACTCCGGGATCCACCTCCACCAAGGACAGCTCCTTACCGTCCCTAATGCTGTCGGGGTCGATAGCTGTAACTGTCGCCAGCCTCTGGAACCTGCTCAGCTGAACCGCGTAAGGATGAATATTCCTGAGCCGCACAGGAATACGGCCCTTTCCCACAGTCACCAGGGCTCTTGCCACCTCGACCCCTCCGTTTTCCCCAAGGGGTTCTACTAGTGCCTCACATTGCCAATGTTGGGACGATAGAGGAATTTTGGCCCAAAGAGTCATTTTGCTCTGTGCAGGGATGGTAACAGGGGTGCGGCTGGCTAACCTTGCCGTTGCTTTCCATGGGTCGGCAGAAGAGACCGTGCGTATGCGTTGGCAGTCCGCAAACACAGAGTGCCACTCTCGACCCAGCAGCGGTTTTGACCGTTTGGAGGACACCTGGCATTTGTTAAAAAGCTCTTCCCAACAGTCCGCAATTACATTCATTCCAAGGATTGCTTTATCGGCTCCCACACAACTGTCCTTAGCAACTACAATGCCGCGCACTGGCACCCGGACCCCCTGCACCACAAAGTCTGCCACTAGGTAACCCACCCACGGGATGTTTAGCCCATTAGCAGCCCTAAGCGTCAACCAGGGTAGTTCCTTACTACCTCTAAGCTTTTCACCCCCGAGGAGGTTCCTGCAGACACTCTCGCTAAACAAAGTTACCTGCGAACCGGTGTCTACCAAACACGTAACATTTACTCCGTCTACTTCTACCTCCACCAGGGGGCAATTTCCCGTAAGTTTAGCCTTAGGGTTCTCTTCACTCGGGTCGCAAAAAGGGGGTCCGGACACTTGACCCGCAGTGGCCGGGGAACTTAAAAATCCTGACCAGATGCCTTTAACGGACACCTACGACCAATATGACCGGTTTGTTCACACAAATTACATATAGGGCGGCCTTGGGGGTCCCACTTGAATCTAGCATTGGGGGATCTTTGTCTCGGGCTATTTCTCTGCCTGGGAGCAATAAATGGAGAGGCTGCTCCCTTTAACTCTTCGATAAGAGTCGCAGCTACTGCAGACATTTGCTCTTTCACGTCCTTCATAATTTCAGCCCCAATTGTTGTTTCCAGTCGGTCACATTCGAACTCGTGGATGGTGTTCTACTCACCACTAAGCAGTCATGTGGAGGCCATTGTTCTGCTTGCTCCTCCTCTATGGCCAGAGCCTCTGTTTTCACCTCGTCGAAGGTGAGTGCAGGCCTTTTTCGCACCTGCCGTCTGAGTTCCTGGCGGATGGGTTCCTTGAGGCCCATAACGAACTGGTCTCTCAACATTAAGTCCCCTTGTTCAAAGCCCAGGCATCCTTCCTTAACCTGGAAAAGAGTTCACGCAATCGTAATGAAAAAGCTCTCAAAGTCTGGTTGGGCTCTTGTCTGCAATTGAAGAACTGAGTCCTCAATGTGGAAACATGTGTGTTGTCCCCATACAGGGCAGACAATATACCAAAGATCTTAGCGGGTGTATTTCTTTCAGTGCGGTCTAGGGTGAGAACTTCTCGTTTGGCCTCTCCGTCCAAAAGTCCAAAAATAAAGTCTGCTTTTTGAGAGTCCCCCATCGGTTGGAATGTGAGCATAGTCTCTACTTGGCTCCTCCATTCTCCAAACTTAATAGACGATTCAGCCCCACTAAATTTAGACGCCCAAGGTCCCCCCATAAAGAAGGGCATCATCATAACAGGCTGTGCACCTGACCGATTTTCCTCTGTTGGCATATTGACCTAATAGAGGCTCAACCCAAAGGACCAAATCCTGCCAGCAACGCCAAATTCTGTCACCAGGGGGCGCCTTGCCCCAACTAGATCTTTAAAACCAATGGTCCAAGGGGAGTGGCTCTATCAAAACAATACACCAGCGTTGAAAAATGAACAATTTATTACAATATATAATGTTTAAAATGTCACTAAAAGGCTACACTAAAAATCCAAAGATGAATCCCTCTAAAAACTGAATAGTCCAATATAGATCCAAGTTAGCGCTTGGGGTGGTGGTCCGGTCCCAGGGCACGTCCCGGAGGCCTATGGAGGGTCAAACAGGGCGGCAGTCAATACACCGGGTTACAGGAGCCTGAGCGTTGCTTGGCTCTCCACAAGACGCTCCCAGTGAAAATGTGCAACACTTAGCTGAGAGGAGGGGGATGGCGAACTCTCCCCCTCCGCTTCTCCACAGCGCGTCCTCTCAGCTTCTCCCACGCTGGTCGCAGTGCCTGGGACAGAGGGCAGACCGGCCGTCAATCTCCCAGGTCAGTGACAGGAATAATATACCCCAGTACTGCGCAGTCAGGCTTTGGCACACAGACACACACAGCACAAAAACCACACGTAGCCCTGCCTGCACAGCGAAACAAAACGGGTACTTAGCTGGGAGGAGGGGGTTCGTTACACTCTCCCCCTCCGCGATTCCCACGGTGCGTCCTGCCACTGGCCACTCGATGTCCGTCTCACAGCGCTGCTCCGTCGTGCCCAAGTGCTGCCTCCCGCTTGTCCAGTTCTCCGCACCCTGCTCTGCTGCTTCGCTCTCCACACCTGCTTCCCCCTCAATCACGCACACCTGTCCCTGATATCCCAATTCCAGTGGGCTGGGTCACAGTCATTCACAAACACGCAACCACTCACACACACGCACGCACACTCACGCACGCTCACGCACGCTGTCAAGTTGCCCCGTGACATATATATATATATACATTTTTACAAGTTCAGTATATATATATACTGAACCCGTTGACAGAGGATGTGGAGGTCCTGTCACTCACATGAAGACGCCTCGTGACTCGTTGCTGTCAGTTGTAGATGATGACAGATGAACAGATGAATGAGCGGAGCATGAGAGCAGAAGCCAATAGAAGGCAATTAACTTTCACTTAATTGAGTTTGAACTGAAGAAGATGCAACATGCAAACACAAATGAGATCAGCGGCTGCATAACTCACAATTACACAGGACTGACGCCGTCTCAGTCGGTGAAGGGGAGGTTGGAACTTCATAAAAGAGAAATGTGGTTCCACAGCAGACTGGGTTTGTAGAAGACGTCTTCTTACATCTTATTGTGGTAGAGGCTTTAGGAGTTACTGTTGAATCATCATTTTAGAGAACAAAAGCACTCTTTCTTGTCTAACCAGAGCAGGCCGTCCCTGAGTCTGATCAGATCTCAGAAGATCAGCAGTGCAGGCCCTGGTTAGTCCATCACCCACTGAGTCTGAGTCTGAGTCTGAGTCTGAGTCTGAGTCTGAGTCTGAGTCTGAGTCTGAGGCTGAGTCTGAGTCTGAGTCTGAGTCTGAGTCTGAGTCTGAGTCTGAGGCTGAGGCTGAGTCTGAGTCTGAGTCTGAGGCTGAGTCTGAGTCTGAGTCTGAGTCTGAGTCTGAGTCTGAGGCTGAGGCTGAGGCTGAGGCTGAGTCTGAGGCTGAGTCTGAGTCTGAGGCTGTCTGAGGCTGAGGCTGAGTCTGAGGCTGAGGCTGAGGCTGAGGCTGAGTCTGAGTCTGAGGCTGAGGCTGAGGCTGAGGCTGAGGCTGAGTCTGGGTCTGGGTCCGAGTCTGGGTCAGAGTGTTTGGAAAAGAAACATTATGTGCTTTTCTTTCAGTATCAACCAACTGAATATGAGGAAATATATTAGTGATGCTGCGATAATGACATGGATTCAGTTTTAAGCGTGAGCATGAAGCACTGTAGAGTAACCATAGTAACAGTGGTGATGACAGTTACCACAGGGTTAAAGACAGTTTGACAGAAGCATCGGCGTCGTCCGGTTTCATTTGTCGAGGAAGAGGCAGATATTCTGGAGTCAGCATTGCACCGGGGAGGGCAGAGGAAGGCAGCCCCCCCTCCTCCTGCCGTCAGCTCAGGGGAGAGGCTCTCTGCTTAATCGCTGACTGAGGCTCACTTCACCGGAGCCAAAGTCGTGAGAGCCAAAACCTCTGTTGCATAACCGTGAATGTAGATGTTCCACTGCTAAGCTCCCAGAGAGCACCACAGGGAGGAGGAGACACTTTGTGGCTGAATATAAATAACGTAAGCCCTGGTACAACTGACTAGGGTTGTTTTTTTTAATTCATGCAAGAATCAGGACTGGTCAGCGCTATCCCCCCCCCCCCCCCCCCCCCCCCCCCCAGAACCCACCTGACTCACCAGAATATACTTTTTATTGTATTTAATCTCAAACGATGGGCACAAAGGGCAACAATAACATAAGAATAGTCTGCAGACCCAGGACTGAGGCTGTAGATCCAAGACTGAGGCTGTAGACCCAGGACTGAGGCTGTAGATCCAGCACAGAGGCTGTAGACCCAGGACTGAGGCTGTAGACCCAGGACTGAGGCTGTATAGTGTGTAGTGGGTGAATAGCAATGAACAGACTACAGCTGAAGTCACAATGATGATGCTCGCTCTTCTCTTTGGGACATCATACAGAGAGCAAATACTCTTCAGCCATTTTGGCCCTAACAGAATAATTACTTTGGTATTTCATGTTTTATAATAATCAAGTAGAAAATACAAACATGTTCTGTATAAAATAAAACACAATTAAGTTTTCTTTGTGCCAAAAGCCCCTCATATTAGTGCGGATTGAGCTAAAAACCACTTCAGGTCTATCTCTGATCCCACAAAGACAAAGAATATGTCTCCTCCAAACACATGTTGATGAATCCAACTTGAATCATAAGAGCGAGCCTCCCACTCGGGCCCAGGGGCCTGTGGCATGTCTAACTTATATCTAACATCTCTACAGATCCTTCTGAACAGCAGCACAATCAAAGCCTTCTCTTTCTCCTTTCTCCAAACACAAGTTTGAGATCGGAGGCGTGTGTTCGGGAGCTGGGCTCGGTAATTGGGAGAAACAAGCACGTAATCTGGTGGAAGGGAAGTTAATCTTATCTGGTTTGGAGTCAGTGAGAGATAAGGAGAGAGAGGCACGCAGCCCGGGCAGACAGAGCAGCCCGGGCAGACAGAGCAGCCCGGGCAGACAGAGCAGCCCGGGCAGACAGAGCAGCCCGGGCAGACAGAGTAGCCCGGGCTGACAGAGCAGCCCGGGCAGACAGAGCAGGCCGGGCAGACAGAGCAGGCCGGGCAGACAGAGCAGGCCGGGCAGACAGAGCAGGCCGGGCAGACAGAGCAGCCCGGGCAGACAGAGCAGGCCGGGCAGGAACTGGGTCATACTCAAGGCGGGCGTGTACTCAAGGCGGGCGTATACTCAAGGCGAGTGTATACTCAAGGCAGGCGTATACTCAAGGCGGGCGTATACTCAAGGCGAGTGTATACTCAAGGCGGGCGTATACTCAAGGCAGGTGTATACTAAAAGCGGGTGTATACTCAAAGCGGGCGTATAATCAAGGCGGGCGTATACTCAAGGCGGGCGTATAATCAAGGCGGGCATATACTCAAGGCGGGCGTATACTCAAGGCGGGCGTATACTCAAGGCGGGCGTATGCTCAAGGCGGGCGTATACTCAAGGCAGGCGTATACTCAAAGCGGGCATATACTCAAAGCGGGTGTATACTCAAGGCGGGCGTATACTCAAAGCGGGTGCATACTCAAGGCGGGCATATACTCAAGGCGGGCGTATAATCAAGGCGGGCATATACTCAAGGCGGTTGTATAATAAAGGCGGGCATATACTCAAGGCGGGCGTATAATCAAGGCGGGCATATACTCAAGGCGGGTGTATAATCAAGGCGGGCATATACTCAAGGCGGGTGTATACTCAAAGTGGGTGTATACTCAAAGCGGGTGTATACTCAAGGTGGGCTTATACTCAAGGCGGGCGTATAATCAAGGCGGGCATATACTCAAGGCGGGTGTATACTCAAAGCGGGCATATGCTCAAAGCGGGTGTATACTCAAAGCGGGTGTATACTCAAAGCGGGCGTATAATCAAGGCGGGCGTATACTCAATGCAGGCGTATACTCAAAGCGGGTGTATACTCAAGGCGGGTGCATACTCAAAGCGGGCGTATACTCAAGGCGGGTGTATACTCAAGGCGGGTGTATAATCAAGGCGGGCGTATACTCAAGGCGGGTGTATAATCAAGGCGGGCGTATACTCAAGGCGGGCGTATACTCAAGGCGGGCGTATACTCAAGGCGGGTGCATACTCAAAGCGGGCGTATACTCAAGGCGGGTGTATAATCAAGGCGGGCGTATACTTAAGGCGGGTGTATAATCAAGGCGGGCATATACTCAAGGCGGGTGTATACACAAAGCGGGCATATACTCAAAGCGGGTGTATACTCAAAGCGGGCGTATAATCAAGGCAGGCGTATACTCAAGGCGGGTGCATACTCAAAGCGGGCGTATAATCAAGGCAGGCGTATACTCAAGGCAGGCGTATACTCAAGGCGGGTGTATACTCAAGGCGGGTGTATAATCAAGGCGGGCGTATACTCAAGGCGGGTGTATAATCAAGGCGGGCGTATACTCAAGGCGGGCGTATACTCAAGGCGGGCGTATACTCAAGGCGGGTGCATACTCAAAGCGGGCGTATACTCAAGGCGGGCGTATACTCAAGGCGGGTGTATAATCAAGGCGGGCGTATACTTAAGGCGGGTGTATAATCAAGGCGGGCATATACTCAAAGCAGGTGCATACTCAAGGCGGGCGTATAATCAAGGCAGGCGTATACTCAAGGCGGGTGCATACTCAAAGCGGGCGTATAATCAAGGCAGGCGTATACTCAAGGCAGGCGTATACTCAAGGCGGGTGTATAATCAAGGCGGGTGTATACTCAAGGCGGGTGTATAATCAAGGCGGGCGTATACTCAAAGCCGGCGTATACTCAAGGCGGGCGTAAACTCAAGGCGGGCGTATACTCAAGGCGGGCGTATAATCAAGGCGGGCGTATACTCAAGGCGGGCGTATACTCAAGGCGGGCGTATACTCAAGGCGGGCGTATACTCAAGGCGGGCGTATACTCAAGGCGGGCGTATACTCAAGGCGGGCGTATACTCAAGGCGGGCGTATACTCAAGGCGGGCGTATACTCAAGGCGGGCGTATACTCAAGGCGGGCGTATACTCAAGGCGGGCGTATACTCAAGGCGGGCGTATACTCAAGGCGGGCGTATACTCAAGGCGGGCGTATACTCAAGGCGGGCGTATAATCAAGGCGGGCGTATACTCAAGGCGGGCGTATACTCAAGGCGGGTGTACAATCAAGGCGGGTGTATACTCAAGGCGGGCGTATACTCAAGGCGGGTGTATATTCAAGGCGGGCGTATACTCAAGGCGGGTGTATACTCAAGGCGGGCGTACACTCAAGGCGGGTGTATACTAAAAGCGGGTGTATACTCAAAGCGGGCGTATAATCAAGGCGGGCGTATACTCAAGGCGGGCGTATAATCAAGGCGGGCATATACTCAAGGCGGGCGTATACTCAAGGCGGGCGTATACTCAAGGCAGGCGTATACTCAAAGCGGGCATATACTCAAAGCGGGTGTATACTCAAGGCGGGCGTATACTCAAAGCGGGTGCATACTCAAGGCGGGCATATACTTAAGGCGGGCGTATAATCAAGGCGGGCATATACTCAAGGCGGTTGTATAATAAAGTCGGGCATATACTCAAGGCGGGTGTATAATCAAGGCGGGCATATACTCAAGGCGGGTGTATAATCAAGGCGGGCATATACTCAAGGCGGGTGTATACTCAAAGTGGGTGTATACTCAAAGCGGGTGTATACTCAAGGTGGGCTTATACTCAAGGCGGGCGTATAATCAAAGCGGGCATATACTCAAAGCGGGTGTATACTCAAAGCGGGTGTATACTCAAAGCGGGCGTATAATCAAGGTGGGCGTATACTCAAGGCAGGCGTATACTCAAAGCGAGTGTATACTCAAGGCGGGTGCATACTCAAGGCGGGTGCATACTCAAGGCGGGTGTATAATCAAGGCGGGCGTATACTCAAGGCGGGTGTATAATCAATGCGGGCGTATACTCAAGGCGGGCGTATACTCAAGGCGGGCGTATACTCAAGGCGGGTGCATACTCAAAGCGGGCGTATACTCAAGGTGGGCGTATACTCAAGGCGGGTGTATAATCAAGGCGGGCGTATACTCAAGGCGGGTGTATAATCAAGGCGGGCATATACTCAAGGCGGGTGTATACTCAAAGCGGGCATATACTCAAAGCGGGTGTATACTCAAAGCGGGTGTATACTCAAAGCGGGCGTATAATCAAGGCGGGCGTATACTCAAGGCGGGCGTAAACTCAAAGCGGGCGTATAATCAAGGCGGGCGTATACTCAAGGCGGGCGTATAATCAAGGCGGGCATATACTCAAGGCGGGCGTATACTCAAGGCGGGCGTATACTCAAGGCAGGCGTATACTCAAAGCGGGCATATACTCAAAGCGGGTGTATACTCAAGGCGGGCGTATACTCAAAGCGGATGCATACTCAAGGCGGGCATATACTCAAGGCGGGCGTATAATCAAGGCGGGCATATACTCAAGGCGGTTGTATAATAAAGTCGGGCATATACTCAAGGCGGGTGTATAATCAAGGCGGGCATATACTCAAGGCGGGTGTATAATCAAGGCGGGCATATACTCAAGGCGGGCATATACTCAAAGTGGGTGTATACTCAAAGCGGGTGTATACTCAAGGTGGGCTTATACTCAAGGCGGGCGTATAATCAAAGCGGGCATATACTCAAAGCGGGTGTATACTCAAAGCGGGTGTATACTCAAAGCGGGCGTATAATCAAGGTGGGCGTATACTCAAGGCAGGCGTATACTCAAAGCGAGTGTATACTCAAGGCGGGTGCATACTCAAAGCTGGCGTATACTCAAGGCGGGTGTATACTCAAGGCGGGTGTATAATCAAGGCGGGCGTATACTCAAGGCGGGTGTATACTCAAGGCGGGTGTATAATCAAGGCGGGCGTATACTCAAGGCGGGTGTATAATCAATGCGGGCGTATACTCAAGGCGGGCGTATACTCAAGGCGGGCGTATACTCAAGGCGGGCGTATACTCAAGGCGGGTGCATACTCAAAGCGGGCGTATACTCAAGGTGGGCGTATACTCAAGGCGGGTGTATAATCAAGGCGGGCGTATACTCAAGGCGGGTGTATAATCAAGGCGGGCATATACTCAAGGCGGGTGTATACTCAAAGCGGGCATATACTCAAAGCGGGTGTATACTCAAAGCGGGTGTATACTCAAAGCGGGCGTATAATCAAGGCAGGCGTATACTCAAGGCTGGTGCATTCTCAAGGCGGGCGTATAATCAAGGCAGGCGTATACTCAAGGCAGGCGTATACTCAAGGCGGGTGCATACTCAAAGCGGGCGTATAATCAAGGCAGGCGTATACTCAAGGCAGGCGTATACTCAAGGCGGGCGTATACTCAAAGCGGGCGTATACTCAAGGCGGGCGTATACTCAAGGCGGGCGTATACTCAAGGCGTGTGCATACTCAAAGCGGGCGTATACTCAAGGCGGGCGTATACTCAAGGCGGGTGTATAATCAAGGCGGGCGTATACTCAAGGCGGGCGTAAACTCAAGGCGGGCATATAATCAAGGCGGGCGTATACTCAAGGCGGGCGTATACTCAAGGCGGGCGTATAATCAAGGCGGGCGTATACTCAAGGCGGGTGTATACTCGGGCGTCACTGTGTGCGTTTGCGTTTGTGCTAGACCCGTGGTTAATCACCAAACCACAGTTCGTTTACTTGAGTGTGTGTGTGTAGTGTGTGTAGTTTTAAAGATAATGTTGTAATCTCACACCCAACCACATGAGGGCGATCTCGCAGTATGGCCTGTGACACCAAAGCGTTCCCATTGTAAAGTTCTGATGCTACTTTCTCCTCTTCAGAACAAAAACAATGGCGAAGCGAGCTCTTTGAGATTGATTCGAATCTCATTAAAGGTGTTTCTCGGCGTAAGTTTTTAGACTCATTTTTTCATTACAGATTTTAACTGTGATGCTGTGAATAAAGACACGGTTCTTATTGGAAACAGATGGTTATTGTTCAAATGTATTCAACACAAACAGTGAAACAATAAGTGATAAAAATCTGACGCCAAACTATTTCCGGCCAATCACAGTGGAGCTTCTCTGTGGCGCCGGCTGTGTCGTTAGCAACATCGGAGGGTGCGTGGGTGGTAGAGCAGGGTTGAGGGATGTCAGGGGTGTCCTTTTTTTGGAATGGACTTCAATACATGTGTTTACTTTTACTTTTTTACTACTCATTATCTCTTACTCTTGATTTCTTGAATTCAATTAAACCTCATCCTTTCCATTCAATAACAACTGATCATGAACGTGTGAATGCCGTGGACAGACGCTCATATTTCCGGTCGGTGTAGGGCTAATCACTGCAGACACACAGACACACACACACACAGACATACACAGACAGACACACATACACAGAGACACAGACACAGACACACGCACAGACATACACAGACAGACACACACACAGAGACACACACAGACACACACACACACAGACACACACACACACACACACACACATACACACACACACAGAGACACAGACACACACACACACACAGACACACACACACAGACACAGACACACACACACAGAGACACAGACACAGACACACACACGCGCACACACACAGACACACACACACACACACACACACATACACACACACACAGACACACACATACACGTTTTTGTTACCTGGTGGGTCCCTTTGACAGGGCCGTTCAGAATGGGACCCATAGACATAATCTTTTTTTACCAAGACTTTAAGTAATACAAAACAGTCAATAGAAACCAAACAACTATTTTAAAGGAATTTTATTTTAGATTTTGTTTTCGAATTGCAGTGATTCTATTTTTGACATAGAATTTAATGCCACTCCATGTCCGATGTCTAAGGTCATCTGGTGAGGCATTAATGCAGGCCAGGCAGTGAGACTTCCCAGGGACCTTTCCAGTCTGTATGAAAGGTGTCATGGTCTTCTCCACAGCCTTCACCTCAGATGCAGACCATGGCTTTCTTACACGTTCTAGGGAGAGAAATAAAAATATATTAGCAATATACACTCCCAGGGTGAGGACCAAGCAGCCTGGCTGTAATCCCCCACCTGGTACACTTACCAGAAGGGGCACTGCCACTACCATGGGGTGCATCTGGATGAATGGTTGAAGGTTCTCCGCTTGAAGTTTCTTTTAGCCCGTCCGTTTGTGAGAGGATCTCTACTGCTCTCCCTGTCGCACAGAAAATAAAAATACAAGTGGCCTTTAGGGGAAAAAAATCATACATATTTTAATAATAATCAAGAATTACCTTCAGGCTCAATTTGTATCTGGTCGAGGCTCTTTCCTTCGAATTCCGTCACTCTTCCCTGCTCCATGGCCATCAACACTTTGCTGATTTTGGCCAGCTCCAGTGTCCCCTCTGGTAGTCTGTAATATTGCCTGTGGATGCGAATGTCATGGCCGAGGAAGTTGGCAAGTATGTCCATCTCATTCTCTTTCATATTGAGAACTGTAGACATAGTAGCTATGTGCTTTCTAAGTTTGGTTGAGGATAGCATCTCTGGATGCACCGCACCACATTCTTTGGCTACCTGGCGTAGGGAGTCTGATCCCCTGATGTGGGTGTCTGCGCCCGGGCGGGAAAAGAAGTATGGGTTATGGTCAGAGATGGAACAGGCCCTTCTGTTCTCCACCAGCACCTCCATCGAAATCCCTTTAATTTCAATGCGTTGAAAATGCTGACACAGCTTTTTCTCAAGTTGGGACAGTCCCAGAGCAATGTCAGAATGGATCCCAGTCTTACTTCTTAAGGTAAAGGCTGTCAGTGGCATCTTTGAAACCTCACCTTCCCTTCTTCGATTGAAAATGATGACCTCACAAAGAGTCAAAACTGCCAGTTTAGACCAATGCTTAGACGTTGGCTCACTTATTAGGGTTTGCACATATTCAGGTCGACATACCTCAATATGTGCATGCATGGCTCTAACGTCCTCAGTCAGAGGGAGCAGGTCCGGAGTGTTCCACTTGGCTTGCCGGAGGGTCTGTAGGGCAGCAGAAGAAACACAGACGTCCCACCTCTTCTCAAAAAGCAGCCGGCTTCGTTGGAGGTTTTTAATAAATAGTTCATCAACACAATGCTCCATTTTTGAGTCACATTCAAGAATATCTGCTAGCTTTCTGAGGCTATGGCCGAGTTTGAGGGCCAAGGATGGAGTCTTGTATTGATTTGTTTCCTCATCATATCCAGCCACAGACCTGACTGCATCAATCACATGGTTAAAGTTGGAAGGAATAAAGAAATCCTTAATTGTTTTCAGTTTCCCTGCGGTTTTTGCTTCGTTAATTAACCTACCGACTTCTCTCATTTTCTGCCTAATGTAATCATGCTTTGTCTTATCATGCCCGTGTTTTAAGTACAGGTGCTCTCCGAGTCTCAGAATCCCCTTTTCTGCTTTGACAACACCCGTGACCTCATCCTGATGCATTGCCGAAATTAAAGACCACAGCTTTTTGCTGATGCCCCTCCGGTACAGGCTGGGCTAGGGAGCAGAGGGACTGGACCCTACTTCTACCTGGTTTAGCCTGGGCATCTTTCTGTGAAAGCCGGCACCTGGCCACATGCCTCCACAGCGACTTTCGCTTAAGCAATGCCCCACAGTCTATACAGTGCAAAAACTCACTGGATTTAACTGGGGAATTTGGCTGTTTAGCTGGGACTAAAGTTCCAATGCCGGCCTTTAAAACCTCAAAATTGTGCTCACGGTTTCCACTATTCCTGATCAAATCAAACTGAAGTTTACGTGCTTTAGATTTCACAGGTAGAGCCAATGCTCTGGCTACGTCACTTTCATTTCCATGTTTTCTAGTCAAATGACGGGACATTTTGTGGCAGGACATTGAACAGTAGAGGCAGAAGTGTCTCTTGCTGTATACTCGCCCCCCATTTTTCTTCTTTTGCAGCTGCATGATAACAATCTTATTTGCCTTTGGTTCGTCACTTTCCGAGTCTTGAAGAAAAGTGTTTTTGATTTTTCTTTTTCCATACTTTTTTACAGGTTTCTTCTTGACAGTTAAATCGTCAGAATCTGAGTCGACTTCATCAATTAGGGACTCTTGACTAAGCTGCACAAACAACAAATAATTTGTAATCATTCTATATAACAATTTGAAGTCATGACTTGTAGTCAGCACTTACCAGTGGTTTGTAAGCGTGCGCTTCAGTGTGCTCCTCCATGATTTCTTGCAGCCTAATGAACCACACACTTGCACCTTTTTCTAGCCTGACACCTGATTTCCTCTGTTGTGCTGCTCCATGATTGGCTCCAGCCTGCTGGACTGAAATTGCCCCAGTGTGCCCCTCCTTGATATCCCGCAACCCACCACCAGGGTTCCGACACATAACACACTTTTTTCAGGAAAGTAAACCTCCAGGGGTCCTTTCCATATTTTTACAGAGACTGCATAAGGACCGTTAGAAAAGCATTACCCATTGATTATTAAGCTTGGACCAGTGGGGTCCGGTGTTCGGGCCCCACCACGTAAAACCAGTCCCCATGACGTGAGTGGAATCTCAGGTTATGGAACCCACCAGGAGTTGAAAACAAGTGCACACAGACACACGCACACACACACACACACACATACACACACACAAACAGACACACACACAGAGACACACACACAGAGACACACACACAGACACACACACAGAGACACACAGACACACATACAGAGACACACACACAGAGACACACACACACACAGACAGACAGAGGAGTGTGTGATGCCCCATTCTCCGGCACATCGTCTGAAACGCTCTCTTTGTTTAGGCGCTTTTGTGCCTCGACGCTAATTAGTGCGTTCAAAAACCAGGCGCATTATCAGCCGCAGCCAACCACACGGTGAGAGTGAAGCGGCTGCAGTAACAACCGTGTTCTGTGGCATAATGTGCTGCGGTTTGAGAGGGGTCAGGATGGAGGCGTGGCTCTGCAGATAACGGCTTGTATAAAAAAAACAATCAAGCGTTGAGGAAATGAACTGTGTGTGAATGTTTCTGGCACATGTTTACAATCGTGGAGCGTGGACTAGAAGTTGCAAAAACCTGGATTAAAGTGGTTTAAATCTCTGTGTGATCCTGGTCTTTGTATTTTGATGATGTTAGAACTCCCATTTGTGCAAAACAATTGACCAATCAGGTGCATTTTGTCTCCGAACTCAGCTTCAGAACGTGAGTCGTCCGAGTCTGGCAGATCGGGCAGATAACTTAGACTGACCACGCCCCCTCAGACTGACCACGGCCCCTTAAGATTGACCACATCCCCTCAGATCCGTCAGAGAATCCAGCTTGGACCAGGGTCTGGCTGGGTCCTCTCTCCTCTGCCTTAGAGTGTGGAGTGTGGCAGTGTTTTTGCAGCCTCCTCTCTTTCCTCAAACAAACGGAAACTTAAGGACACTTCAAACTGCTGCAGCTCTGCGGGACATCATCACCCCCCCCCCCCCCCCCCCCCCGGTAGTTGTTTGTTTGTTTGTCTGTTTGTTAATCCGTGTGTTTTTGTTTCCCTGCAGATCCGAGGGGGTAAACTGATGATCACAAACGCCCGGAAAAGCGACGCGGGAAAGTACGTGTGTGTGGGCACGAACATGGTGGGCGAGCGCGAGAGCGAGGTGGCCGAGCTCACCGTGCTGGGTAAGGACCTCTGGGGACTGTGGGGACCTCGAGGGACTGCGGGGACTGTGTACTGGATAAGGAGCTCTGGGAACCTCTGAGGACTTTGGGGACCTCGGGAACTGTGGAGACTGTGTTCTGGGCAAGGACTTCTGGGGACTGTGGGGACTGTGTACTGGGTAAGGACCTCTGGGAACCTCTGAGGACTGTGGGGACCTCTGGAGACTGTGGAGACTGTGTTCTGGGTAAGGACCTCTGGGAACCTCTGAGGACTGTGGGGACCTCGGGGGACTGTGGGGACTGTGTACTGGATAAGGACCTCTGGGAACCTCTGAAGACTGTGGGGACCTCGGGGGACTGTGGAGACTGTGTTCTGGGTAAGGACCTCTGGGGACCGTGGGGACTGTGTACTGGATAAGGACCTCTGGGAACCTCTGAGGACTGTGGAGACTGTGTTCTGGGTAAGGACCTCTGGGGACCGTGGGGACTGTGTACTGGATAAGGACCTCTGGGAACCTCTGAGGACTGTGGGGACCTCGGGGGACTGTGGAGACTGTGTTCTGGGTAAGGACCTCTGAGGACCTCTGAGGACTGTGGGGACTGTGCGCTGGATAAGGACCTCTGGGGACCTCTGAGGACTGTGGGGACCTCGGGGGACTGTGGAGACTGTGTTCTGGGTAAGGACTTCTGGGGACCGTGGGGACTGTGTACTGGATAAGGACCTCTGGGAACCTCTGAGGACTGTGGGGACCTCGGGGGACTGTGGAGACTGTGTTCTGGGTAAGGACCTCTGGGGACCGTGGGGACTGTGGAGACAGTGTTCTGGGTAAGGACCTCTGGGGACCGTGGGGACTGTGGAGACAGTGTTCTGGATAAGGACCTCTGGGAACCTCTGAGGACTGTGGGGACTTCTGGGACTGTGAGGACTGTGTTCCGGTGATAGGACCTCTGGGGACTGTGGGACAATTAATGAAAATAATCCAACTTTTGAGCCTTTTGCATCTATGTTTTCCTTTGTGAATTAAAAACTTGGCTCACTTCTCTTCAGTGAGAGAGAAACTGCTCTATGGTTTTGCCGATGCACTTACACTCAAGGATCAATACACAGATATGAACAAAAGACATGCATTTAAACATCCACGACGTCCTTTCCCATCACTGGTGTGAATGGGGATCACAGGTACCAACCATGTGAAGCCCTTTGTGTGAACTAGGTCTGTGAAATATAGTATTCTAACGATAGCCACAAACTCGGATAATCTAATTCTGACAAATTCAAGTAATCCAAAGCACATCTACAAGTTTGTATTACAACCCGAAACTTCCAAATCCTGCCGTCTGCCTCTATAACAGACCCCCGCTGTGGCTCTCTGCTCCCCTGACCCCCGCCCCCCCACCTTCTGGACCCCCGCGGTTTCTCAATACTCCGCTTGAGCACACAGATGGTATCGCACACTTTCCCAATCTACCCCACAGCGCCTTCTCTGAAGCCCACAGAATGGACTCATACCACAGGGCTGTACCTCCACACTGACCTCAGCTCTGGGGGGTCTGCTGCGGCAATCTGACCAGTGTTCATGCTCGAAGGAAGAAGGAAACTTAAATACATGGAGAGGACAAGTTCTCCCTCAGCGGAAAATACACAGAACAAATGAGTCGAGTAAAATAGTCAAATATCCGTTTTAAAGTTAATGTCCTCCTTTTGAAATTGTGGAAAGAGATTTGTAAACAAGCCTCGGTTAGACCCGTTGTTGCTTTCAGAAACAGAATCCTTTTTATTGCCATGTAAGAAACAGGAAGTCACAGGTAAGGAAAAGGCTTTGGCTCTCGGTGCAAAAGTAGTTTACAGAATAAGACATAATAAAACATTTCTAGAGTATGACATTTTCAAAAAAACATTTTTTTATTATTTCACATTGAATTCAATTAAATGTATTTTTGTATTGCCCTAAATCACAACCACAGTCATGGGGGGATCACTTCACTGACTCACATGTCCCTGTGAGTCAGAGAAGTGATGCCAGCACAGGGGTAATGTGCTCTCTCTGTCCCTGTGAGTCAGTGAAGTGATACCAGCACAGGGGTGATGTGCTCTCTCTCACGTGTCCCTGTGAGTCAGTGAAGTGATGCCAGCACAGGGGTAATGTGCTCTCTCTGTCCCTGTGAGTCAGTGAAGTGATACCAGCACAGGGGTGATGTGCTCTCTCTTACATGTCCTTGTGAGTCAGTGAAGTGATACCAGCACAGGGGTGATGTGCTCTCTCTCACGTGTCCCTGTGAGTCAGTGAAGTGATACCAGCACAGGGGTGATGTGCTCTCTCTCACGTGTCCCTGTGAGTCAGTGAAGTGATACCAGCACAGGGGTGATGTGCTCTCTCTCACGTGTCCCTGTGAGTCAGTGAAGTGATACCAGCACAGGGGTGATGTGCTCTCTCTCACGTGTCCCTGTGAGTCAGTGAAGTGATACCAGCACAGGGGTGATGTGCTCTCTCTCACGTGTCCCTGTGAGTCAGTGAAGTGATGCCAGCACAGGGGTGATGTGCTCTCTCTTACATGTCCCTGTGAGTCAGTGAAGTGATACCAGCACAGGGGTGATGTGCTCTCTCTCACGTGTCCCTGTGAGTCAGTGAAGTGATGCCAGCACAGGGGTGATGTGCTCTCTCTCACGTGTCCCTGTGAGTCAGTGAAGTGATGCCAGCACAGGGGTGATGTGCTCTCTCTCACGTGTCCCTGTGAGTCAGTGAAGTGATGCCAGCACAGGGGTGATGTGCTCTCTCTTACATGTCCCTGTGAGTCAGTGAAGTGATACCAACACAGGGGTGATGTGCTCTCTCTTACATGTCCCTGTGAGTCAGTGAAGTGATGCCAGCACAGGGGTGATGTGCTCTCTCTTACATTGACTGAGCGTCCAGACCACAGTACAGAGAATTACAGTCATCTAACCTTGAAGAAATACTCTCGCTCACTTGCAAACGATTGCTTCTGACCGAGATGACCAGAGTCTGGTTGTGTGTAGCTGGCTGTGTGTAGCTGGATGTGTGTAGCTGGCTGTGTGCAGCTGGTTGTGTGTAGCTGGTTGTGTGTAGCTGGCTGTGCGTAGCTGGCTGTGTGTAGCTGGCTGTGTGTAGCTGGTTGTGTGTAGCTGGATGTGTGTAGCTGGTTGTGTGTAGCTGGTGGTGTGTAGCTGGCTGTGTGTAGCTGGCTGTGTGTAGCTGGCTGTGTGTAGCTGGCTGTGTGTAGCTGGCTGTGTGTAGCTGGCTGTGTGTAGCTGGTTGTGTGTAGCTGGATGTGTGTAGCTGGTGGTGTGTAGCTGGTGGTGTGTAGCTGGCTGTGTGTAGCTGGTTGTGTGTAGCTGGATGTGTGTAGCTGGTTGTGTGTAGCTGGTGGTGTGTAGCTGGCTGTGTGTAGCTGGCTGTGTGTAGCTGGCTGTGTGTAGCTGGCTGTGTGTAGCTGGTTGTGTGTAGCTGGATGTGTGTAGCTGGTTGTGTGTAGCTGGTGGTGTGTAGCTGGCTGCGTGTAGCTGGCTGTGTGTAGCTGGATGTGTGTAGCTGGTTGTGTGTAGCTGGTGGTGTGTAGTTGGCTGTGTGTAGCTGGCTGTGTGTAGCTGGCTGTGTGTAGCTGGCTGTGTGTAGCTGGTTGTGTGTAGCTGGATGTGTGTAGCTGGCTGTGTGTAGCTGGCTGTGTGTAGCTGGCTGTGTGTAGCTGGCTGTGTGTAGCTGGATGTGTGTAGCTGGTTGTGTGTAGCTGGTGGTGTGTAGCTGGTTGTGTGTAGCTGGCTGTGTGTAGCTGGTGGTGTGTAGCTGGTTGTGTGTAGCTGGTTGTGTGTAGGTGGCTGTGTGTAGCTGGCTGTGTGTAGCTGGTTGTGTGTAGCTGGATGTGTGTAGCTGGTTGTGTGTAGCTGGCTGTGTGCAGCTGGTTGTGTGTAGCTGGCTGTGTGTAGCTGGCTGTGTGTAGCTGGTGGTGTATAGCCCATGTCCTCGTCCTGACAACACAATGACCACGTTGTGTACCTCCGCAGAGAGGCCCAGTTTCGTGAAGCGGCCGAGCAGTCAGGTGGTGCTGGTGGAGCAGAGTGTGGAGTTCCACTGTGAGGCCAGAGGAGACCCTGTCCCCACCGTGCGCTGGAGGAAGGACGACGGAGATCTGCCCAAGGGGAGGTATCAACTCAGATCTTATAACTATTGTCATTTTTTTAACCTTAAAAAGACTTGAAGAGGTTTTATGATAATTCTATGAGTGGGGGTTAGAATAAAGATCAAATCAAACAACCCAAATGTGTAACAAGTTTTTAAGTTGTGGTTGATTCATCTTCCAAAAAATGGTCTTGAGTTCATAACAGCGAGATAATCCAATGGAGAAGTGAAGAGTAGGGAAAAAGGAACTATTCCCAGAAAATAGGAACAATTATACTGTTAGATACCAAACATCTCTCTGGTCTCTCTCTGGTCTCTCTCTGGTCTCTCTCTGGTCTCTCTCTGCTCTCTTTCTGCTCTTTCTTTTGGTCTCTCTCTGGCCCCGCTCTGATCTCTCTGGGGTCTGTCTTGGTCTCCCTCAAACCTCTCACTGGTCTTACTGGTCTCTCACTAGTCTCTGTTTTTTTTGTGGTCTCTCTATGGTCTCACTGGTATTTTGCTGGTCTCTACTTTCATGTTGGTCTCTCACTGGTCTCTGGTCTCTCGGTCTCTATCGCCTCTTTCTCTGCATGGTCTATCTCTGGTCGCTCTCTGAACTCTGTCTGGTCTCTGTCTTGGTCGCTCTCTAACCTCTCATTGGTCTTTTTCTGATCTCTCTGGCCTTCTCTGGTCTCACTGGTCTCTCGCTGGTCCCTCTCTAGTGTCTTTCTGGTCTCTCTCTGGTCTCTCAGTCTCTCTCTGGTCTCACTGGTCTCTCTCTGGTCTCACTGGTCTCTCTGGCCTCTCCCTGGTCTCACTGGTTTCTCTCTTGTCTTGCTCTGGTCTCTCACAGACCTCACTCTGATCTCTCCTTGGCCTTCTCTGGTCGCACTGGTCTCTCGCTGGTCTCTCTCTAGTGTCTTCTGGTCTCTCTCTGGTCTCTCAGTCTCTCTGGTTGCACAGGTCTCGCGCTGGTCTCTCTCTACTGTCTTCTGGTCTCTTTCTGGTCTCTCAGTCGCTCTGCTTGTGTGTCATAGGTTTGAGATCCGGGAGGACCACACTCTGAAGCTGCGCAGACTCAGCCCTGCAGACGTGGGCTCCTACACCTGCCTGGCGGAGAACATGGTGGGCAAGGCAGAGGCGTCGGCTTCGCTCACCGTGCACGGTATGACCAGAACAGACACACACACAACACACCACACATGATGTGACCAGGACAGGCGCACACACACAACACACCACAAACACAGACCTTTGATGGATCCACAAACTCTATTAATAAAGAAGCATCACACATGTGGAATTGGACCAGTGACAAAGGGCTGTTGAACGACACATATCTTTGCTGGAGTTGAAATGAGCTTCATTCACACCTCACAGGCCGAGCTGCAGGGTCCTCTCTGACTTTATAATCACATGTATTGTGATTATATTGTGATGATTGTGATTGTGACCAAACTACATCCATTACAACAGCTTGCTCACATCAATGAAGACATACATATGCATGAAGGGGAGGTGTTCCAGGCGAATCCCACTGCAAGGACCCTGGGGAAAACCTAACCCTAATCTATCCCAGTCCCTTGGTCGAGCTGGAGGGAAGACGCCTCAGTTTTCCAACGCATTACACTGTTGTCACATCCACAGACTGTGACATCATCTGTGTTCGACCTTAAACTTAAGTGTTTTCTCCAAATGTCAACGACCAGTCCATGCGCACAACTGCTGCTCTACAATTAGATTGCACCATGATGGATTTAGATCTAATTCTAGCAGAGTGGAATTTCTCCCTAACCCTACTGATAGATGGAAGTCTGTGTGTTTTTGTTAAGATATATTCTCAGGATCAGGGCCCAAATGCTCACACATAAATCCCCTGTTGTTTTACCACTGCCACCAGTAAAACCAATGACGTCTTTTTCTAAAACGAAAGGACAAAGCATGCGATAAAGAGCATGAGTGTGGAGGAGCAGATCTATAGTCCAGGGCAGAGATATCGATTTGACTTTTGTTACGTCCAAAGATCTATGGGCTAATTGAGAGAGATGAGTTGAAAGTGACAGGCCAATGTTTTTCATCATTGTGGCGACCGTTGGAACCTGCTCCGTGGCTCTGGGACCTCAGCTGCTCTGGTCTCGCTCTGGTCTCGCTCGGGTGCAGTACGATTATCTCCTACTGTTTTCATCCAGTTGATTTTGTGCCGCTGATGAATGAGGGGGTTAGGGGAGGGGATGAATATATTTGTGAAAGCAGTAGGGGGACGTCTGGGGTATGGCCTGCCACATTAATGTCAGGGATGGGAAATAAGAAGACAACCCATATTTGACTGAGTTTGGAAATGTAATGAAAGTTGATTAGTGCGGCTCATAGAGAGAAATTCTACTATTGTCTGACTAAAACTATACTTTAAAGACTTACTATTAAATGTATGCTGTACAAGAAAAATCCAAAAAGTAAAACTAATTGATGTAAAAAATCTGATCATTTTGAAAAGTCTATAGGAGTCCAAGTACCTAAAAACACCCTCTGGTTAATCAAACATCTATGTCCATCTTGTCTATAAAGTGTATGATCTGGGTTTGTCCCTGAACCCCTGGATCTCTCTGGGTTTGTCCCTGAACCCCTGGATCTCTCTGGGTTTGTCCCTGAACCCCTGGATCTCTCTGGGTTTGTCCCTGTACCCCTGGACCTCTCTGGGTTTGTCCTGTACCCCTGGACCTCTCTGGGTTTGTCTTTGTACCCCTGGACCTCTCTGGGTTTGTCTCTGTACCCCTGGACCTCTCTGGGTGTGTCCTGTACCCCTGGACCTCTCTGGGTTTGTCTCTGTACCCCTGGACCTCTCTGGGTGTGTCCTGTACCCCTGGACCTCTCTGGGTTTGTCCTGTACCCCTGGACGTCCCTGGGTTTGTCTCTGTACCCCTAGACGTCTCTGGGTTTGTCCCTGTACGTCTGGACCTCTCTGGGTGTGTCCTGTACCCCTGGACCTCTCTGGGTTTGTCCCTGTACCCCTGGACCTCTCTGGGTTTGTCCCTGTACCCCTGGACCTCTCCTGGTTTGTCTCTGTACCCCTGGACCTCTCTGGGTGTGCCCTGTACCCCTGGACCTCTCTGGGTTTGTCCCTGTACCCCTGGACACCTCTGGGTTTGTCCCTGTACCCCTGGACCTCCTGGGTGTGCCCTGTACCCCTGGACCTCTCTGGGTTTGTCCCTGTACCCCTGGACACCTCTGGGTTTGTCCCTGTACCCCTGGACCTCTCTGGGTGTGTCCTGTACCCCTGGACGTCCCTGGGTTTGTCTCTGTACCCTTAGACGTCTCTGGGTTTGTCCCTGTACCTCTGGACCTCTCTGGGTTTGTCTCTGTACCCCTGGACCTCTCTGGGTTTGTCCCTGTACCTCTGGACCTCTCTGGGTTTGTCCCTGTACCCCTGGACCTCTCTGGGTTTGTCCTGTACCTCTGGACCTCTCTGGGTTTGTCCCTGTACCCCTGGACCTCTCTGGGTTTGTCCTGTACCCCTGGACACCTCTGGGTTTGTCCTGTACCCCCGGACGTCCCTGGGTTTGTCTCTGTACCCCTGGACCTCTCTGGGTTTGTCTCTGTACCCCTGGACCTCTCTGGGTTTTTCCTTGTACCCCTGGACCTCTCTGGGTTTGTCCTTGTACCCCTGGACCTCTCTGGGTTTGTCCTTGTACCCCTGGACCTCTCTGGGTTTGTCCTTGTACCCCTGGACGTCCCCCCGTCCACAGTGAGACGCAGCTCTATGATGAAAGCTGCAGGGATCAGAGCCAACGCAGTCGATGTCTCGGGTCAATACTCTTCCCTGGACTTCAGACGCTCTGACTGAGGTCTGACTGAGGTCTGACTGAGGTCCTGTAGAGGCCGCTGGGACCTCCATGATCCCCTCTGATGGATCCATTATCCACAGTTTGGAAAGGACAGAGTAAGAAAAGTCACACTGTGGAAAAATGATTTTACAGAGATTTGTGAGAGTTTGAGTCATTTATCAAACACCGAAACATGGTCGTTCATTATTCAGTAATTACTGGTCGTGTCCAAAGGTCCAACACTTCACCAGGATGATTCTGCTGTGTGTGAATAATTAGTGGTGGTTGGAGGGGCGGCTCAGATTACTAGCCTTGTTTCCATCAGTCTGTCCCAGGGCAGCTGTGGCTATATTAGAATGGGTGCTCCTGGTGCACCTGGTGTTCCCAGAGGGCATTGTGGGTAACATGTTTTAAAACTGAAAAAAGAATAAGACACTGTATGGACCAGTTTGCTCCAATGTTAGTGTACCCCTTAATGTAATCCAGACTAACCCAGACTCACCCAGACTCACCCAGACTCACCTAGACTTACCCAGACTCGCCCAGACTCACCCAGACTCGCCCAGACTCGCCCAGACTCGCCCAGAGTCACCCAGACTCTCCCAGACTCACCCAGACTCGCCCAGACTCACCCAGACTCGCCCAGACTCGCCCAGACTCACCCAGACTCGCCCAGACTCGCCCAGACTCATCCAGACTCGCCCAGACTCGCCCAGACTCGCCCAGACTCGCCCAGACTCGCCCAGACTCACCCAGACTCGCCCAGACTCACCCAGACTCATCCAGACTCACCCAGACTCATCCAGACTCACCCAGACTTACCCAGACTTGCCCAGACTCACCCGGACTCACCCAGAGTCACCCAGACTCACCCAGACTTACCCAGACTCACCCAGACTCGGCCCCCAGCTACATTGAGTTTGAAACCCCTGATCTCGACCTTTTGGATCCTGATAATGCCATGGACGCAGCTAAAAACAGCTCCAGGTGTGTGTTTGCAGAGCCACAGTGTTGTAATTGCATAACCTATTTGTCGGTATTATTAATTTATAACATATTAAGCCATCTCCTGCGTTGCCAGACATGCATACATTTCCCAGCGCGTTCAGAGCGTGTTTTGGGGTTTGATTTATGTGCAGTCGGATGTTGGAATCCCACAGGCCACGTTTCTAATGTCCCATGTAACGGCATTAGGAGCGCCGCCAGCTCACGGGAATGAAAGGAAGGCTTGTCTACAGGCTAATGCTAACGCTAGCACCGCTGACAGCAAGATTTATACCACTGCCGTGCTCCGGCCATGGAACCAAGGCCAACAGAAATGAAACGCTCGATGACAAGACGTTGGAGGTAATAGAAGCCGAGGAAAAACTGTGAGAATAGCATTTTTCACAGTAAGCCGCTAAAAATGTGATGGTTTATACTTTTTATTATACTTATGTTGGGCTCAAACGACACATGCATCAATGCAATATTAAGTAGGCAAGGCGAGTTTATTTATATTGCACCATTTATATACAAGGCAACTCAATAGTACGGAGAAAAACAAGATAGAGACAGTCACACAGATAATAAACACAGTACTTTAAAAAGATAGAAGATCAAATCCCTCAGTTAACCTGAATTTGAACATTCTCAGAGAAGAAGCCTGTCTCGCATTTTCAGGAAGACTCGGGCCATAGTATGTACAACAGGGGACCAACGGAAAAACTAGAAATAAGCAATAGTATTTTTAGAAATTGGTTTTATGGATCTTTATGATACTTGGAGGAGGCTGATGCAGCTTCCTGTGACTTCCCCTTTACACAACACCCACAAACTTCACAAATTGGAAAGTCTTTGACTTTGACGTTTTGTAAATAAAAATAATTGAATTGAAGCCCATTCTACTCCTGCACAGGCCTCGTCACAACCTCCAGTCTGTTTACTTTGTCACTGGGTTCAACGCCACAAAAACAAACATTAGAATCTGCTTCATCAGATTTTTAAAGACTGGTGAATTTCTTGTTTACATTCTTTGATCTATTTTTCACTCTTTACTGTCTTCTCCTCAGAGAATAGAACATTATATACTGTAACTCTATGGTCTTGTTTACACGGAGACGCAGTCAAGCAACAAAATCCACAGAAACGACCCCGCTCCGGATTTTAAATGCAAAGCATTTAAAATCTGATGCAAAGTCTGCATCAGGCAGGTCAAACTCAGGCCTGTGGACCAAATCCGGCCCGTGACACCAACGTTAGCGGCCCCTGAAGTGATTTTCAATTATCATGATTATTACAGCATTGATGATGATGGGATGGTTCTCTCAGGAAACAACCATGTCATTAAATATGTTCAAAAAACGTTATATAACACGTCAACCAGTTCTTATGTTTTTAAACTTGGCCCCGACCAACATGAGTTTGACGATTCAATTCTAGTGTCTGACCAGTAGGGGGCAGTGGAACTTCACAACACGCCCCCACCAGTGTAACCACTTCCTCAACAACATCCTCCTAGGCGGCACGGTGGCTGAGTGGATAGCACTCTCGCCTCTCAGCAAGAAGGTCTTGAAGGAATTGTAAACCGCTTTGTGACTCTGGTCTGTGAAAGGCGCTATATAAATAAAGATTACTTACTTACTTACTTACTTACTTACTCCTCAAACACCACAAAGAACCAACATCCTTCTTTAGCAGCAGCAGCGACGGAAACTACAGCTTTGTGTGGTTTCGTTTTGGGAGAAGGAGCAGAATTCTTCTCCCTGTAACACCCCCTACTGGCCACAAGCTAGAACTACATGGTGTTCCGTCGTGGTGTAAATGCTGTGCACTTGCATTAGGAGCCTGGTTGTTTTTGCTAATTGCTTTGCAGCGTCTCCGTCTGAACAGCTCCTGAAGTCAGCTCAAATACAAAAGTCACAGCAGCATTTAACAAACTCTTCTGTCTGTGTCCTGGTCTTTTCTCTTGTGTCCGATCACCACCTTCAAATACCATCACCTCCATCACCTCCATCACCTCCATCACCTCCACCACCTCCATCACCTCCATCACCTCCATTACTCCACCGTCTCCATATTGCACCACATTGCACACGTTGCGCCCTCACACATTGCTGTTGTTTTGCTCCATGTTTATGATTTGAACATCCTTCATGTTGCTGTTGTCTTTTGTCCTTTTTTCAGTCGTGTCTGGTAAGTTGAACATCTCACCCGGGGGCACCCTCCCATCACCACCTCCTCCTTATCATGTGTCTGTTGTCACGGCAACGGACCTAAGCGGTAAAAACACTCTGGTGTTTTCAAGGTAACGCAGCCGCATCTCATCCCAGGCTCCTACAGCAGGTCTTCATTTCAACAAAGAAAAACGCAAAATTTCAGAAAATAATTTATTTCCTGAATTTTGTTTCATTTTGTTTTTGAGCAATGAAATCTAAAACAAAGACATTATTATTAAACACTCATACATTCATCCATGTGTTGTTCAAATCCTGAGTATTTACGTTTGTTTAAAGCTCAGCCCGTGATGGGTTTAAATAAAACTGAAACATCACAAAGTCACTTTCTGATATCTGCATTTTTAAGTAAAACACAGTGTCCCATTAGTGACGAGGAGGAGAAATGAGAGCAACAGCAGTTTATACTACTTTATAAAAACTACTATACACTACTATATACTGTATTCAGAACTTAGTAAATCGGATATGGCTCTAAAACAATGTCCTCAAACAGACGCTCCGTGGATCTCAGTCTCACTGTAAACTATTGACTTCACCTTTTATTGTTTTCATGTGGTTGTTTTATGAAGCAATAAAGCGTTGAACCTTCACTTATACAAGAGCTCTGTGCAGAGTAGTGTGCATTTGGCCTGTCCCCAGCCCATGCAAATGAAGGGCGGGTCATGTCTGAGCTGCTGCTTTGAAAACCACAAAACAAACTCACTGCGAAAACATGCAAATGACCTGAAGCAGAGGTCCATAGATCCCGGGGCCTGGTCCCTGGCCCTGGTCCCAGGCACCGCCCCCAGGCCCTTCCCCCCACGCCCCAGCCTGTAACCCTGCACTGTCTGAGGCAAATGAGGCCTTAGCCACAAACAGAAGTGTGCTCTGACTTCCTCAAGCATCAATATTGAGATCTAGAATGTTCTAGAAATACATGATAGTGTTAAACAAATATCCATAACACATTATCCCATTTATGGTTCTATTTAAAATGCACACTCCTTATTTGGTCTAAATACTTCTCGCACACTTTCTTCTATGTATATTGATAAATGCATATCTATAAATATATGTCATGGTCAGAACCGAATGTGCTGAATCTGACTGTGCGTCCCTGCAGTGCCCCCGGCGTTTGTAGTGCGGCCCCGGAACCAGGTGGTGGGCGTGGGCCGGACCGTCACCTTCCAGTGCGAGGCCTCAGGGAACCCCCAACCGGCCATCTTCTGGCAGCGCGAGGGCAGCCAGGTATAAGGACCCCCCCCAAACACTGACCTGTCATCACCCTCTGTGACCATACAAGGACCTGACCTGAGTGACCATAAAATGACCTGACCCTCTGTGACCATATAAGGACATGACCTCTGTGACCATATAAGGACCTGACCCTCTGTGACCATATAAGATCCTGACCCTTCATGACCATATAAAGGCCCTGACCTCTGTGACCATATAAGGACCTGACCCTCTGTGACCATATAAGGACCTGACCCTCTGTGACCATATAAGACCTGACCCTCTGTGATCACATAAGGACCTGACCCTCTGTGACCATATAAGGACATGACCTCTGTGACCATATAAGGACCTGACCCTCTGTGACCATATAAGGACCTGACCCTTCATGACCATTTAAAGGCCCTGACCTCTGTGACCATATAAGGACCTGACCCTCTGTGACCATATAAGGACCTGACCCTCTGTGACCATATAAGACCTGACCCTCTGTGATCACATAAGGACCTGACCCTCTGTGACCATATAAGGACTTGACCTCTGTGACCATATAAGGACCTGACCTCTGTGACCATATTAGGACCTCTGTGACCATATAAGGACCTGACCCTCTATGACCATATAGGACCTGACCCTCTGTGACCATATAAGGACTTGACCTCTGTGACCATATAAGGACCTGACCCTCTGTGACCATATAAGGACCTGACCCTCTGTGACCATATAAGACCTGACCCTCTGTGATCACATAAGGACCTGACCCTCTGTGACCATATAAGGACTTGACCTCTGTGACCATATAAGGACCTGACCTCTGTGACCATATTAGGACCTGACCCTTCATGACCATATAAAGGCCCTGACCTCTGTGACCATATAAGGACCTGACCCTCTGTGACCATATAAGGACCTGACCCTCTGTGACCATATAAGACCTGACCCTCTGTGATCACATAAGGACCTGACCCTCTGTGACCATATAAGGACTTGACCTCTGTGACCATATTAGGACCTCTGTGACCATATAAGGACCTGACCCTCTATGACCATATAGGACCTGACCCTCTGTGACCATATAAGGACCTCTGTGACCATATAAGGACCTGACCCTCTGTGACCATATAAGGACCTGACCCTCTGTGACCATATAAGGACCTGACCCTCTGTGACCATATAAGGACCTGACCCTCTGTGACCATATAAGGACTTGACCTCTGTGACCATATAAGGACCTGACCCTCTGTGACCATATAAGGACCTGACCCTCTGTGACCATATAAGGACCTGACCTCTGTGACCATATTAGGACCTCTGTGACCATATAAGGACCTGACCCTCTGTGACCATATAAGGACCTGACCCTCTGTGACCATATAAGGACCTGACCCTCTGTGACCACATAAGGACCTGACCCTCTGTGACCATATAAGGACTTGACCTCTGTGACCATATAAGGACCTGACCTCTGTGACCATATTAGGACCTGACCCTTCATGACCATATAAAGGCCCTGACCTCTGTGACCATATAAGGACCTGACCCTCTGTGACCATATAAGGACCTGACCCTCTGTGACCATATAAGACCTGACCCTCTGTGATCACATAAGGACCTGACCCTCTGTGACCATATAAGGACTTGACCTCTGTGACCATATAAGGACCTGACCTCTGTGATCATATTAGGACCTCTATGACCATATAAGGACCTGACCCTCTATGACCATATAGGACCTGACCCTCTGTGACCATATAAGGACCTCTGTGACCATATAAGGACCTGACCCTCTGTGACCATATAAGGACCTGACCCTCTGTGACCATATAAGGACTTGACCTCTGTGACCATATAAGGACCTGACCCTCTGTGACCATATAAGGACCTGACCCTCTGTGACCATATAAGGACCTGACCTCTGTGACCATATTAGGACCTCTGTGACCATATAAGGACCTGACCCTCTGTGACCATATAAGGACCTGACCCTCTGTGACCATATAAGGACCTGACCCTCTGTGACCATATAAGGACTTGACCTCTGTGACCATATAAGGACCTGACCCTCTGTGACCATATAAGGACCTGACCTCTGTGACCATATAAGGACCTGACCCTCTGTGACCATATAAGATCCTGACCCTCTGTGACCATATAAGGACCTGACCCTCTGTGACCATATAAGGACCTGACCTCTGTGACCATATAAGGACCTGACCCTCTGTGACCATAAAAGGACCAGACCCTCTGTGACCATATAAGGACCTGACCTCTGTGACCATATAAGGGCCTGACCTCTGTGACCATATAAGGACCTCTGTGACCATATAAGGACCTGACCACTGTGACCATATAAGGGCCTGACCTCTGTGACCATATAAGGACCTCTGTGACCATATATGGACCTGACCTCTGTGACCATATAAGGGCCTGACCTCTGTGACCATATAAGGACCTCTGTGACCATATAAGGACCTGACCTCTGTGACCATATTAGGACCTCTGTGACCATATAAGGACCTGACCCTCTATGACCATATAGGACCTGACCCTCTGTGACCATATAAGGACTTGACCTCTGTGACCATATAAGGACCTGACCCTCTGTGACCATATAAGGACCTGACCTCTGTGACCATATAAGGACCTGACCCTCTGTGACCATATAAGGACCTGACCCTCTGTGACCATATAAGGACCTGACCCTCTGTGACCATATAAGGACCTGACCTCTGTGACCATATAAGGACCTGACCCTCTGTGACCATAAAAGGACCAGACCCTCTGTGACCATATAAGGACCTGACCTCTGTGACCATATAAGGGCCTGACCTCTGTGACCATATAAGGACCTCTGTGACCATATAAGGACCTGACCACTGTGACCATATAAGGGCCTGACCTCTGTGACCATATAAGGACCTCTGTGACCATATATGGACCTGACCACTGTGACCATATAAGGGCCTGACCTCTGTGACCATATAAGGACCTCTGTGACCATATATGGACCTGACCTCTGTGACCATATAAGGGCCTGACCTCTGTGACCATATAAGGACCTGACCTCTGTGATCATATTAGGACCTCTATGACCATATAAGGACCTGACCCTCTATGACCATATAGGACCTGACCCTCTGTGACCATATAAGGACCTGACCTCTGTGATCATATTAGGACCTCTATGACCATATAAGGACCTGACCCTCTATGACCATATAGGACCTGACCCTCTGTGACCATATAAGGACCTCTGTGACCATATAAGGACCTGACCCTCTGTGACCATATAAGGACCTGACCCTCTGTGACCATATAAGGACTTGACCTCTGTGACCATATAAGGACCTGACCCTCTGTGACCATATAAGGACCTGACCCTCTGTGACCATATAAGGACCTGACCTCTGTGACCATATTAGGACCTCTGTGACCATATAAGGACCTGACCCTCTGTGACCATATAAGGACCTGACCCTCTGTGACCATATAAGGACCTGACCCTCTGTGACCATATAAGGACTTGACCTCTGTGACCATATAAGGACCTGACCCTCTGTGACCATATAAGGACCTGACCTCTGTGACCATATAAGGACCTGACCCTCTGTGACCATATAAGGACCTGACCCTCTGTGACCATATAAGGACCTGACCCTCTGTGACCATATAAGGACCTGACCTCTGTGACCATATAAGGACCTGACCCTCTGTGACCATAAAAGGACCAGACCCTCTGTGACCATATAAGGACCTGACCTCTGTGACCATATAAGGGCCTGACCTCTGTGACCATATAAGGACCTCTGTGACCATATAAGGACCTGACCACTGTGACCATATAAGGGCCTGACCTCTGTGACCATATAAGGACCTCTGTGACCATATATGGACCTGACCTCTGTGACCATATAAGGGCCTGACCTCTGTGACCATATAAGGACCTCTGTGACCATATAAGGACCTGACCTCTGTGACCATATTAGGACCTCTGTGACCATATAAGGACCTGACCCTCTATGACCATATAGGACCTGACCCTCTGTGACCATATAAGGACTTGACCTCTGTGACCATATAAGGACCTGACCCTCTGTGACCATATAAGGACCTGACCTCTGTGACCATATAAGGACCTGACCCTCTGTGACCATATAAGGACCTGACCCTCTGTGACCATATAAGGACCTGACCCTCTGTGACCATATAAGGACCTGACCTCTGTGACCATATAAGGACCTGACCCTCTGTGACCATAAAAGGACCAGACCCTCTGTGACCATATAAGGACCTGACCTCTGTGACCATATAAGGGCCTGACCTCTGTGACCATATAAGGACCTCTGTGACCATATAAGGACCTGACCACTGTGACCATATAAGGGCCTGACCTCTGTGACCATATAAGGACCTCTGTGACCATATATGGACCTGACCTCTGTGACCATATAAGGGCCTGACCTCTGTGACCATATAAGGACCTCTGTGACCATATAAGGACCTGACCCTCTGTGACCATATAAGGACCTGACCCTCTGTGACCATATAAGGACTTGATCTCTGTGACCATATAAGGACTTGACCTCTGTGACCATATAAGGACATCCAAGGTCCCATCAGTGACTGTAATGTCATATTGTTAGCTGTATTAACATTTACGGACCAGTGAGTTCGCGCTGTACAACTATAAATTCAATTGGACTGAAGAGCTGGCAGTGCTGGTACAGGGTCTGGCCTCCTGCTGGCTTGTTTTTCATAACATATCATTTTTGCACACAGACGTTTCTTTAATGAAGGTCCAGTTTACAGCGACATTAAGCTCACAGTGACAGAAATGTTTTGTGCCAGATAAAAAGCTAGTTTCCATCTGCACTCCCTGTTATAGAGAGATAATGACAATATACAATATGATTAAAAAAACACTAGCAATTACTACATTTAGTTCCTTCTACATGGGTCTGCGAGGGTTAACTATATTTAGCACTATATTAAAGCACATTTTGTTGTGTCCAGAACCTGCTGTTCTCGTACCACCCGCCGCAGCCGTCCAGCCGCTTCTCTGTGTCTCAGACCGGAGACTTAACCATCACCGACGCCGAGCGCTCAGACGTGGGTTTCTACAGCTGCCAGGCCCTGAACATCGCAGGCAGCGTCATCACCAAGGCCCTGCTGGAGGTCACCGATGGTACGACAACTAATACACAACCAACATACAACTGACACACAATTAACACTCAACCAACACACAACTAACTCACAACCAACACACAACTGACACACAACCACTAACACACAGTGTCATCACCAAGGCCCTGCTGGAGGTCAATGACGGTACAACCACCAACACACAACCAACACACAACTAACACACAATTAACACACAACCACCAACACACAACCACCACACGACGACCAACACCATGACCACACAATCATCACACAACCACCACCAACACCAGTCTCCATTGTATTCAATGGAGACTGGAGGCCATACAGAGGCCATTTTTCATGTTTTTTTTTAGGTAACCAGAGCCCGTTCATAGACACGGGGAGAACATGCAAACTCCACTTAGAAAAGCCCTGTTCTGGAGGCGGTACACCCAGGACTGAGGCTGTAGACCCAGGACTGAGGCTGTAGATCCAGGACTGAGGCTGTAGATCCCGGGACTGAGGCTGTAGACCCAGGACTGAGGCTGTAGATCCAGGACTGAGGCTGTAGATCCCGGGACTGAGGCTGTAGACCCAGGACTGAGGCTGTAGACCCAGAACTGAGGCTGTAGAGACCCAGGACTGAGGCTGTAGACCCAGGACTGAGGCTGTAGATCCAGGACTGAGGCTGTAGATCCAGGACTGAGGCTGTAGACCCAGGACTGAGGCTGTAGACCCAGGACTGAGGCTGTAGACCCAGGACTGTGGCTGTAGACCCAGGACTGAGGCTGTAGACCCAGGACTGAGGCTGTAGACCCAGGACTGAGGCTGTAGACCCAGGACTGAGGCCGTAGACCCAGGACTGAGGCTGTAGATCCAGGACTGAGGCTGTAGACCCAGGACTGAGGCTGTAGACCCAGGACTGAGGCTGTAGACCCAGGACTGAGGCTGTAGACCCAGGACTGAGGCCGTAGTAGGACTGAGGCAGGACTGAGGCTGTAGACCCAGGACTGAGGCTGTAGACCCAGGACTGAGGCTGTAGATCCCGGGACTGAGGCTGTAGACCCAGAACTGAGGCTGTAGACCCAGGACTGAGGCTGTAGACCCAGGATTGAGGCTGTAGATCCAGGACTGAGGCTGTAGACCCAGGACTGAGGCTGTAGACCCAGGACTGAGGCTATAGACCCAGGACTGAGGCTGTAGACCCAGAACTGAGGCTGTAGAGACCCAGGACTGAGGCTGTAGACCCAGGACTGAGGCTGTAGACCCAGAACTGAGGCTTTAGAACCAGGACTGAGGCTGTAGACCCAGGACTGAGGCTGTAGACCCAGGACTGAGGCTGTAGACCCAGGACTGAGGCTGTAGATCCCGGGACAGCTGCGCTCTCTCCTAAATCAGTTTTGTGCTCAGTATTAAGTCTGCTCTGGCCCTAAACGACCGCGCCGATGGAGTAAATCTGGAGTGTGGACAGAAATGGCTGCCGGAGGAGCGATGGAGACAGAGATAACAGAGGAGGGGGGGGAGCAGCGGCTGATCTACGAGCCCCTGGAGACCCTCACGCAGACGGAACAGCCTTTGTTTAAATTAGTGAGCTGATTGTCTTTGTGCGACGGAAACAGACCTCAGCACAATCCAACAAGATAAACTCTCATCTCTGGAGGAAGTCACTCTATACTCCTGTCCTCGGAAGCTAAGCAGGGCAGGGCCTGGTTAGTACTGTGATGGGAGACCTCCGGGACTATAACTGTTTTTATAATCTCTACTTGTATGTACCTTTAGCTGCCTCTGGTCCAGGATTTCCTTGAAAAAGAAGTTCTTAATCTCTGTGGGATTTTCCTTATTAGCTAAAGGTTAGGTAAAAAATGCTGGCTGCCTCGCTCCTGTCAGTGTGCCCCAGGGCAGCTGTGGCTTCAGTAGTAGTCTATCACCACTGTGTTTGGAGTGAATGACTAATGACATGTGAGTAATCTTTTGAGAGTCCAGAAAAAACATTGTATAAGACCTGTTTTTATTATTATTATTATGATTATTAAATGAACCGTGGCTTTTTCCCACGTTACAGTGTTTGTCTCATGTTTTAGCTCCCCGAGCTAAAACGAGCCCCTCCCTCTGACCCCCCCGACCCCCGTCCCCTGGTTTTACATGGTTAGCTGGTTTTATCGTGTGACCCTGTGATCTGGGGCTGGTTTCTTAACTCCCTGCAGTCATTTCTGTCCGAAGTGAAGGCAACTCTCTCTGTGGAGGCATATACAGGGGCAGAGGGCAGAGCGGCACGGCAGGACTGAGTGGATACGGAAGTGCACAGATGAATCCTCTTTTATAACAAAGTTTAGATCAATATTGAGATGTTAAAAGTGTCGTGCCATGTTCTTGTTGACGTGTTTGGTTTGACGTCAGGAATGGCATTGAAATGATAAAATCCAACATTAAATAAGTATTTCAGACCTGAACCATGAGACTGTGCAATGTTCTGAGCCTCGTCTTTTGTGTGTTTAGTGAGAAACAGAGAATGTCTCGTTGTCTAAGGCCCCGGAGCAGTGCGTGGCTCCAGAAGCCAGACTTTATAGGGTGACTGTGGTGTGGCTCTCTCCGGTCCGTCCTCTGCATATTTTCCCTTCGTTTAGAAAATCGTGAGAAGAAAAAATACATTTCGTTTTTGTGGCGACGGAACAGACGCATGTGAGCTTTAGACAGGACTGTTTCACCCTGGATCTGAACTGAGCAGAAGCCTGGGTCACGTTTTCAGGAAGATTTTAGCTGCATCAATCTGAAACGCTGCCTCCACATGTTTAGTCCTGACTCTGGGACCAGCAGGAGGCCAGTCCCTGTGCTCCTCAGAGTCCCAGCAGGAGGCCAGTCCCTGTGCTCCTCCGAGTCCCAGCAGGAGGCCAGTCCCTGTGCTCTTCAGAGTCCCAGCAGGAGGCCGGAGGCCAGTCCCTGTGCTCCTCAGAGTCCCAGCAGGAGGCCAGTCCCTGTGCTCCTCAGAGTCCCAGCAGGAGGCCAGTCCCTGTGCTCCTCAGAGTCCCAACAGGAGGCCAGTCCCTGTGCTCCTCAGAGTCCCAGCAGGAGGCCAGTCCCTGTGCTCCTCAGAGTCCCAGCAGGAGGCCAGTCCCTGTGCTCCTCAGAGTCCCAGCAGGAGGCCAGTCCCTGTGCTCCTCAGAGTCCCAGCAGGAGGCCAGTCCCTGTGCTCCTCAGAGTCCCTCCAGTTCTCTATATCGATGCTAATGCAGGCGTGTCCAACCTTGTTCACCCAGAGAGCTACTTTCCCGGGACGGTAAAGACAGAGAGCTACTTCTTTAAGCAAACCCTGGGAAAAGAAATGGTGATATATATCGGTGTGAACGAGTCTGAAATTGGATGCAGTTGTTATTTATCACTGCATATTTGTTACTGTTCACAAAGTAAGTGCCTTTACAATGATAACTAACCTTTGCCAACGCTAACCCTGTGTGTTGCAGTGGTGTCGGACCGGCCCCCTCCGGTGATCCGACAGGGGCCCTTGAACCAGAGCGTGGCGGTGGATGGCACAGTGGTCCTGAGCTGCCAGGCCTCGGGGACCCCCACCCCCACCATCCTGTGGAGGAGGGACGGCGCTCTGGTCTCCACCCACGACTCCAGGGTCAAGCAGCTGGACACGGGGGCACTGCAGATACGATACGCCAAGGTCAGTGGGACGAATCAAACTGTTCAAAGACAGGAAATGTCCCGGAATGCTGCCCTTAGACCCTTCTGTATTGGAGAGGATCCAGGACCAGGACCAGGATCAGGCTACTGCATTGAACTGATTTGTTACCGAAATTCACCACCAACAGATTAGAGAAGTGTCTCCCAAAGTGGGGTCCGCGGCCCCCTGGTGGGCCGCGAGGGTACTGCAGGGGGGCCGCGGGAGGTCATAAAAAAATAAAAAAAATAATATAATTATTTAATGTTAAATTTATAATGTTTTGTTTGTAATATAAAAATATTTGTGTTCATTATTTGATTTGAATAATCCACTGTAATCATTTTTGTATTACAATGTTTGTAGCAGAGGCTATTTCCCCAAAATAAAATAACCAGAAGAGCCTATTCTTAATGTTGTCTTCTTGGTTATTATTTTGGGGGGCCACGCAGACCCGTCAGATTTTTAAGGGGGCCTCGGTGTTACTGAGTTTGGGAATGGCTGGATTAGAGAATCGAACAATCAAAATACTGTTGAGAAGACAGAGGCATCAGCGATCGCAGCTGTGCCCGGTTTATTTTCGAGTCCCTCCAGATCAAACAGAAGAAGATGAAGCTTTTTTATGATTCGTATTGATGTGCACAAGAACAGAGTTTGAGATAGAGACACCAGTGACAACGTTCAGTTATTCAGATATTCATGTTTAGCAGTGACACAGATATAACAGGTCCACAGTAGAAAACATGGAGGTCAGACCAGTGTGGGCGGGTCCCGGCTCAAAAATGTCCAAAACATGCTGCAATACCACCCCGGGCCTGTGGGGGTGGACCCAGAAGAAGAATTAGCCAATGCTAATGTATAGCATCTTCATACCTCTCAATTTTTTCAATTCACAAAAAAATTTAAAAAAGTGGCTCTTGGTCCAAAGTTACGTTCAGATGCTGTCGATATCGAGGGGAGTGTTTTTTGGACCAGTCTAGTTTAGTCGCTGTGGACTTTTGAATTCTTTAAATGAATGGGGCGTTTGCGTTGCCAGTTTCTTTGGTATATTTTAGAAATGTGTTATTATGCCTTATTCTTTCTCTACTTTTGACTTGTTTGCACCGAGAGCCAAAGCAATTTCCAATATGACTTCCTGTTTCTTACATGGAAATAAAAATGATTCTGATTCTGAAAACCCAGCACCGCCTCAAACCCACATCAGAGCAGCCTGAATGTCTCCGCAGGCTCAGGAGCAACTGTAGCTCACAGATCTTTCAGATGCTAATTCAGCCGAACTCGTCAAAAGTCTGTGACGTTCTGATGGAAGCCGTCGCCATGACGCTGATTTAAAAACATTCTGTCAACGTAAAGTATAATTTAACCTGACGTGGGAGACAGAAGCTTTAGAAGTGTTAATGTGCCGGAGGCTGCGGCACTTTGGGCTTGGCCTTGTTTACAGCAGCAGCAGGTCCACAGGGAGCCTCCTCACCCCCCTCCTCACCCCCCTCCTCACCCCCCTCCTCACCCACCTCCTCACCCACCTCCTCACCCACCTCCTCACCCCCTTCCTCCCCCACCTCTTCACCCACCTCTTCACCCCCCTCCTCACCCCCCTCCTCACCCCCCTCCTCACCCCCCTCCTCACCCACCTCCTCACCCCCCTCCTCACCCCCCTCCTCACCCACCTCCTCACCCCCTTCCTCCCCCACCTCTTCACCCACCTCCTCACCCCCCTCCTCACCCACCTCCTCACCCCCCTCCTCACCCATCTCCTCACCCATCTCCTCACCCCCCTCCTCACCCACCTCCTCACCCCCCTCCTCACCCCCCTCCTCACCCATCTCCTCACCCATCTCCTCACCCTCCTCCTCACCCACCTCCTCACCCCCCTCCTCACCCCCCTCCTCACCCATCTCCTCCCCCCCCTCCTCACCCCCCTCCTCACCCATCTCCTCACCCATCTCCTCACCCTCCTCCTCACCCATCTCCTCACCCTCCTCCTCACCCCCCTCCTCACCCCCCTCCTCACCCACCTCCTCACCCCCCTCCTCACCCATCTCCTCACCCCCCTCCTCACCCCCCTCCTCACCCACCTCCTCACCCCCCTCCTCACCCATCTCCTCACCCTCCTCCTCACCCATCTCCAGACCCACCTCCTCACCCACCTCCTCACCCATCTCCTCACCCCCCTCCTCACCCATCTCCTCATCCCCCTTCCTCCCCCACCTCCTCACCCATCTCCTCACCCACCTACATACCAACCTCCTCACCCCCCTCACCCACCTCTTCACCCTCCTCCTCACCCACTCTCTTCACCCTCCTCCTCACCCACCTCCTCACCCATCTCCTCACCCACCTCCTCACCCATCTCCTCATCCCCCTTCCTCCCCCACCTCCTCACCCATCTCCTCACCCACCTACATACCCACCTCCTCACCCCCCTCACCCACCTCTTCACCCCCCTCCTCCCCCACCTCCATACCCACCTCCTCACCCACCTCCTCACACATCTCCTCACCCACCTCCTCACCCCCCTCACCCACCTCCATACCAACCTCCTCACCCCCCTCCTCCCCCACCGCTTCACCCCCCCCCCCCCCCTCACCCCCCTCCTCACCCACCTCCTCACCCTCCTCACCCGCCTCCCACATCAAAGCACCTTCCGACCTGAAAACAGTCTGTCAGGATCTTTACAGACTTGACTTGACACTTCTTTCAGCAGCGAACCACAACTATTTGGATTAAGAGATAAATGGTGTTTGTTAAAAACAGAGACGTGTTTGTTTTTAGAGGGAACCATCGAGAATGTGTCGTCTTAACCTAAACCTTACAGAAGGAAACCATTTATCCAGGTTACGACTGTTTTAGATGATACCAGGACAGTCCTGGTCCCCGTCTCAGACACTATATGTATATATATAAGTCCAAATGGAATAGTATCCCAAAATTCAGGAAAAATAACAAGATATAATTATTTTAATACAACAATAATGATAATAATAATAATCCATAAGTCCATACAACTTCTGTATTCACATAAACATGTGTTGATGTCATCAGTAATCACATAAACATGTCATGATGTCATCAGTAATCACATAAACATGTGTTTATGTCATCAGTAATCACATAAACATGTCATGATGTCATCATTAATCACATAAACATGTGATGATGTCATCAGTAATCACATAAACATGTGATGATGTCATCAGTAATCACATAAACATGTGATGATGTCATCAGTATTCACATAAACATGTAATGATGTCATCAGTAATCACATAAACATGATGAGGTGTGTGTGTTGTGCAGCTCAGCGACAGTGGCACCTACACCTGTATCGCCTCCACCCCCAGCGGAGAGGCGTCCTGGAGGGCGCACCTGGACGTGCAAGGTGAGAGTCACAGCACGTCTGCACAACCGTCAAAATGGCTGCATCAGAAATGTTTATGATACTGGAGTCAGTCTGTTGTATGTTGTATGTAATATTACTTCACTTCTGGAGAAACATGTAGAGAAACACAGAAACACGGAAACACCTGTAGAGCAGTGTGTTTCAACCTGTGGGCTGCGGCCCGTTTGTGATCCTTATAATTGAAATGATTTCCTACACACAGCTGTGATGATATTAGTTCCTGTTTGCTGCAGTTCCAGCAGTGACTGATGTGAGGCGCTACAGAGACAGAGCTGTGGCCCAGACTCTCTCAGTTTAAGAAAGTAAAAAACAACTTCATAAATGATTGAATCCGATCCTTTCACTTGTGAGAGACGTTTGGGAACAGCACAAACACATTTCATTCAAATCAAAATCATGTTTTTCTATCACTCACAAATGTTTGGACAGCCCTGATGTGAGAGCAGCCGATGGTCCTTACACCAGAGGCGACACTTATGGTTCTTTAAACTCGTTATAAAGTTCTGGACCCTGAGCTGCTTCTAATGGCTCCGTTCCTCCGTGTGTGGTCCCCAGAGTTCGGGGCCCCAGTGCAGCCCAACAGACCCACAGACCCCGCCCTCATCCCATCCCCCCCCTCCAAGCCCGAGGTCACCGACGTCACCCGCACCTCCGTCACGTTGTCATGGAAACCCAATCTCTCCGGAGCCACGCCCACCTCCTACGTGGTGGAGGCCTTCAGGTAAGCCCCTCCCACTTCTGGCTCCATCTGGTTTTTGTGTTCACTAAATGAGTGAGAAATGTGAGATTGTGGTATTTAAAAACAATCCAAACTACTCTATGAATATGAAAATAATCTCAGAGAAACATTTGAAGTCCTCAGACCAGGAGAAATCTGGACTAGGACCAGAAAACCAAGAGTGAACCGGGACAGAAGCGTAAATTATATGTTGATTTGACAAAGGCTGGGATTATTTAAGTAGCACAAATCTGGACCATGGGACTATATTTTGTGGCCTCTGAAGTGATTTGTATCTGTTCTAAAATACTCTTCAAAGTCATGTCAAAAACAGCTAATTTTAACATTTGAAAAGTATGAAAAAACAGAGAAGTGCGAATATTAAAACATGTTTGAAAGGCTTACAATTTTCCCTTTACCATGTTTTTTGAAAAGCCAGAAGTATTTTAGTGCCATACAAACCCTTCTTGAGCAAATCCTTTCAAATTTACCGCCAATAACAAAAAAAACTGATTTACCTGGTGTTGTGTCCACAGCCACGCCTCCGGCAGCAGCTGGCAGACCCTGGCGGAGCACGTGAAGACGGAGAGCCTGGTGCTGAAGGGGCTGAGGCCCAGTGCCGTGTACCTGTTCCTGGTCAGAGCCGCCAACGCATACGGCCTCAGCGACCCCAGCCACATCGCAGACGCCATCAAGACCCAAGGTGAGGCCCCGAGATCACGCAAGTCTGGGTTAGACCTGTTTGTGCGATGTTCCTCACAGTTGTGTATCTAGTGTTGTGTTAGTGTGAGGCTGTTGACCTCCCAGTGTGGGTGGATCAGTGGGGGCGGGTCTCGGCTCAATCTGGTAATCTGGCTCCTGTGGTGGTGTACAGGAAACAGAATTATCTAATGCATTCTTCTGGAGTTTTTTTCCCTCTCAAAAAAGACTTTACATCCTGGTCTAAAGGTCGCTCTTGCCTCAATGCTACGTTCCAGATGCTAGTTTAGCCGCTGTGGACTTTTGAATGAACACATTTTTTTCAGCCATGTGTCAGCTAACACATGCGCAAAAGCTAACACTAAATACCTCACCATTTTCCTGTGGGAGGAGCTTCTCACGGCCATTTTGAAAAAGTCTAAGTTGATCACACACATACATTTCTACGGACCAATTAGCCGTCACTACGTTAATATTTACAGTGGATGTTGTGTCTCATGTGGCTGTGTTTGTGGCAGACATCCCCCCGACCAGCCAAGGCGTGGACCACCGGCAGATCCAGACGGAGCTGGGAGACGTTCTCATCCACCTCCACAACCCGTCCATCCTGTCCTCCTCCTCCGTGCGGGTGCAGTGGACGGTCAGTGAGCACTACGGCCTGCTACGGCCTGCTACGGCCTGCTACGATTCACAATGTCACGATCTCTCATATTCAAGTTAGACGGTGGGAGGGTCTGTACGGTTTAAAGTTGTCTAGTTTGATTAAAAGCGTTGTACCAGGGCTGGCCTACAGGGGTCTCTGTTTTAAGGATCCCAAGTTAATCCATATTCCAACTGGCAAGAATCTATCAAAGTCCATTCTCGTTTTATGGATACAGTATAAGTTGTACATTTCTTTTTAGATTCAGTTTTATGCGGAAAAAAATGCAGGTTTTGCCCTCAGCCCAGTAATGCTTCATCTAGTTCGGCCCTCAGAGGAAAACGTATGAGCAATAGAACCAAACCGACTGTAGATCCAGGTCTAAAACACACACACACAGTCCTCGGTCCATAGGGTTGTGGGTTTAATGTCCATAAATGTTCCGGGTCGTTCATGATAGACGACAGATTCATTATGATTTAGAGCTGGCAGGTCAAACCCATTTTTATTTCAGTTATAATTATCACAGTAACTAGCCCCATCGATGGTAATGAGATTCTGTGGCATGTTATACTTAATTTTATCTCTGGGAAACAGCCGTATGATTTAATTTGTTCTAAAATTTCAACTAATTAGAAGTTATTCGTTTTTTTATCCGTCTTCAATTACATCTCTTCTTGAAAAAAAATTGTATACTTTTGGCCCTAAGCTGCTCTTACGTCTCTAACCAAAGTGAATTCCACACGCCTGATTTAGATTTATTGAGTGAATTATAAAGTCATATGCATAATGGTCCTTTCCATTTAAAGGGACAGTACACAGGGTCTAATCCCACTGATGTCAGGGACTAAACCTGAACGTCTTGTTTGAAGTGTTTTTGGACCCGGTCTGAGCCTCACATCTGTTACACATTTGCACTAAAGAGCTTTGCCTCCGCTCTTCCTCTGCACACTGTTGGAGTTTTGCCGGAGCTCAGGGCGGGAAGACGGTCTGTGCCAACGCCGCCACCGCCAGCGCCGCACGCTCCCACCATCGTTTAAATCTATTTTTGCTTTGCCGTTTTTTTCTTTTCTTTTTTTTATATCAGAATATATACGTGTTTCAACTAGGAGCATTCACACTGGTCCTTGTTGAACTGGATCCCATAGAGTTATTTGAGAGAACATGCTGGGTTTGCTGAAGTTCGCATGGTCTTACTCTGACTGTGCAGGTTTCCTCCAGATGCTACGGTTTCAGAAGACACAAGAAAGAGATCGCAGATACACCCGAGGAAGACCAGAGAAACCAGAGAGACCAGGGAGAGACCAGGGAGAGACCAGGGAGAGACCAGAGAGAGACCAGAGAGAGACCAGAGAGAGACTAGAGAGAGACCAGAGAAAGACCAGAGAAAGACCAGAGAGAGACCAGAGAGAGACCAGAGAGAGACCAGAGAGAGACCAGAGAGAGACCAGAGAGAGACCAGAGAGAGACTAGAGAGAGACCAGAGAAAGACCAGAGAAAGACCAGAGAAAGACCAGAGAGAGACCAGAGAGAGACTAGAGAGAGACCAGGGAGAGACGAGAGAGAGACCAGAGAGGGACCTGAGAGAGACCAGAGAGGGACCAGAGAGAGACTAGAGAGAGACCAGAGAGAGAGAGACCAGAGAGAGACTAGACTCCCTGGAGTTTGTATATTCTACCTGTGTCTGCGCGGGTTTCTTCCAGGTGCTCCGGTTTCCTCCAGGTGCTCCGGTTTCCCCTTACTAAAACCGTGCACGATAGGCATAGTGGTCAGATGTTCTCCGCTTCTGTCATCATGTTTGTGGAAGGAGTAGAAAAAAGTGAAGTGATTTATGGTTGCCTTGCTTCTGTCAGTGTGCCCCAGGGCAGCTGTGGCATCATGACTCTAGTCTTGTGTAGTTTTAGTTTGAATCATATTGTGGGGTTTGTTGTGACTGAGCGCTGCTGCTCTGGTGCAGGTGGAGCAGCAGTCCCCGTACATCCAGGGGTATAAGGTGCTGTTCCGGGCGTCTCCAGCAGAGGGCCACCGGAGCGACTGGTCCGTGCTGGAAGTGCGCACGGCGGCCGAGGACAGCGCCGTTGTTCCACATCTGCGGAAAGGCGTCACCTACGAGTTCAAGGTGCGGCCCTTCTTCAACGAGTTCCAAGGCACAGACAGCGACGTGAAGGTCGGCAGGACGCTGGAGGAAGGTGAGTGGGGGAGGGGTCCATGGGGGAGACCAGAGGGAGACCAGAGAGAGGCCAGAGAGAGACCAGAGGGAGACCAGGGAGAGACGAGAGAGAGACCAGAGAGAGACCAGAGGGAGACCAGAGAGAGGCCAGAGAGAGGCCAGAGAGAGACCAGAGGGAGACCAGGGAGAGACGAGAGAGAGACCAGAGAGAGACCAGAGGGAGACCAGGGAGAGACGAGAGAGAGACCAGAGAGGGACCTGAGAGAGATCAGAGAGAGACCAGAGAAAGACCAGAGAGAGGCCATAGAGAGACCAGAGAGAGACCAGAGAGAGACCAGAGAGGGGCCAGAGAAAGACCAGAGAGAGACCAGAGAGAGACCAGAGAGAGACCAGGGAGAGACGAGAGAGAGACCAGAGAGGGACCAGAGAGAGACTAGAGAGAGACTAGAGAGAGACTAGAGAGAGACCAGAGAGAGACCAGAGAGAGACCAGAGAGAGACCAGAGAGAGACCAGAGAGAGACCAGAGAGAGACCAGAGAGAGACCAGAGAGAGAGACCAGAGAGAGACCAGAGAGAGACCAGAGAGAGACCAGAGAGAGAGAGACCAGAGAGAGAGACCAGAGAGAGACCAGAGAGAGAGACCAGAGAGAGAGACCAGAGAGAGAGACCAGAGAGAGACCAGAGAGAGAGACCAGAGAGAGAGACCAGAGAGAGACCAGAGAGAGACCAGAGAGAGAGAGACCAGAGAGAGAGACCAGAGAGAGAGGCCAGAGAGAGACCAGAGAGAGACCAGAGAGACACCAGAGAGAGAGGCCAGAGAGAGACCAGAGAGAGAGAGACCAGAGAGAGAGACCAGAGAGAGACCAGAGAGAGAGACCAGAGAGAGACCAAAGAGAGACCAGAGAGAGAGACCAGAGAGAGAGACCAGAGAGAGAGACCAGAGAGAGAGACCAGAGAGAGACCAGAGAGAGAGAGACCAGAGAGAGAGACCAGAGAGAGACCAGATGGTCCAACAGATCATATCTTCTGTGATTTATTATGATGTTCAGTTCCATCTGAATTGTCTTCATCCAAAAGTCTCTGTGTTGATGTCCCCCCCCCCCCTTCTCCCTTCCCCACAGCCCCCAGCGCCCCGCCCCGGGACGTCACAGTGACAGAGAGCGGAGACAACGGGACGGCGGTGCTGGTCGCCTGGCAACCACCTCCGGCCGACCAGCGCAACGGCATGGTGCTGGAGTACAAGGTAAAGATAGATAGATAGTTACATACACACATATACACACACACACACACACACACACACACACACACACACACACACACACACACACACACACACACACATACACACACACACATACACGTTTTTGTTACCTGGTGGGTCCCTTTGACAGGGCCGTTCAGAATGGGACCCATAGACATAATCTTTTTTTACTGGGACTACTTTAAGTAATACAAAACAGTCAATAGAAACCAAACAACTATTTTAAAGGAATTTTATTTTAGATTTTTTTTTCGAATTGCAGTGATTCTATTTTTGACATAGAATTTAATGCCACTCCATGTCCGATGTCTAAGGTCATCTGGTGAGGCATTAATGCAGGCCAGGCAGTGAGACTTCCCAGGGACCTTTCCAGTCTGTATGAAAGGTGTCATGGTCTTCTCCACAGCCTTCACCTCAGATGCAGACCATGGCTTTCTTACACGTTCTAGGGAGAGAAATAAAAATATATTAGCAATATACACTCCCAGGGTTAGGACCAAGCAGCCTGGCTGTAATCCCCCACCTGGTACACTTACCAGAAGGGGCACTGCCACTACCATGGGGTGCATCTGGATGAATGGTTGAAGGTTCTCCGCTTGAAGTTTCTTTTAGCCCGTCCGTTTGTGAGAGGATCTCTACTGCTCTCCCTGTCGCACAGAAAATAAAAATACAAGTGGCCTTTAGGGGAAAAAAATCATACATATTTTAATAATATCAAGAATTACCTTCAGGCTCAATTTGTATCTGGTCGAGGCTCTTTCCTTTGAATTCCGTCACTCTTCCCTGCTCCATGGCCATCAACACTTTGCTGATTTTGGCCAGCTCCAGTGTCCCCTCTGGTAGTCTGTAATATTGCCTGTGGATGCGAATGTCATGGCCGAGGAAGTTGGCAAGTATGTCCATCTCATTCTCTTTCATATTGAGAACTGTAGACATAGTAGCTATGTGCTTTCTAAGTTTGGTTGAGGATAGCATCTCTGGATGCACCGCACCACATTCTTTGGCTACCTGGCGTAGGGAGTCTGATCCCCTGATGTGGGTGTCTGCGCCCGGGCGGGAAAAGAAGTATGGGTTATGGTCAGAGATGGAACAGGCCCTTCTGTTCTCCACCAGCACCTCCATCGAAGCAATCATTTCAGGAGTCAAAAGAACCGGCACTTTCCGACTTCTTTTCCCTTTAATTTCAATGCGTTGAAAATGCTGACACAGCTTTTTCTCAAGTTGGGACAGTCCCAGAGCAATGTCAGAATGGATCCCAGTCTTACTTCTTAAGGTAAAGGCTGTCAGTGGCATCTTTGAAACCTCACCTTCCCTTCTTCGATTGAAAATGATGACCTCACAAAGAGTCAAAACTGCCAGTTTAGACCAATGCTTAGACGTTGGCTCACTTATTAGGGTTTGCACATATTCAGGTCGACATACCTCAATATGTGCATGCATGGCTCTAACGTCCTCAGTCAGAGGGAGCAGGTCCGGAGTGTTCCACTTGGCTTGCCGGAGGGTCTGTAGGGCAGCAGAAGAAACACAGACGTCCCACCTCTTCTCAAAAAGCAGCCGGCTTCGTTGGAGGTTTTTAATAAATAGTTCATCAACACAATGCTCCATTTTTGAGTCACATTCAAGAATATCTGCTAGCTTTCTGAGGCTATGGCCGAGTTTGAGGGCCAAGGATGGAGTCTTGTATTGATTTGTTTCCTCATCATATCCGCCACAGACCTGACTGCATCAATCACATGGTTAAAGTTGGAAGGAATAAAGAAATCCTTAATTGTTTTCAGTTTCCCTGCGGTTTTTGCTTCGTTAATTAACCTACCGACTTCTCTCATTTTCTGCCTAATGTAATCATGCTTAGTCTTATCATGCCCGTGTTTTAAGTACAGGTGCTCTCCGAGTCTCAGAATCCCCTTTTCTGCTTTGACAACACCCGTGACCTCATCCTGATGCATTGCCCAAATTAAAGACCACAGCTTTTTGCTGATGCCCTCCGGTACAGGCTGGGCTAGGGAGCAGAGGGACTGGACCCTACTTCTACCTGGTTTAGCCTGGGCATCTTTCTGTGAAAGCCGGCACCTGGCCACATGCCTCCACAGCGACTTTCGCTTAAGCAATGCCCCACAGTCTATACAGTGCAAAAACTCACTGGATTTAACTGGGGAATTTGGCTGTTTAGCTGGGACTAAAGTTCCAATGCCGGCCTTTAAAACCTCAAAATTGTGCTCACGGTTTCCACTATTCCTGATCAAATCAAACTGAAGTTTACGTGCTTTAGATTTCACAGGTAGAGCCAATGCTCTGGCTACGTCACTTTCATTTCCATGTTTTCTAGTCAAATGACGGGACATTTTGTGGCAGGACATTGAACAGTAGAGGCAGAAGTGTCTCTTGCTGTAAACTCGCCCCCCATTTTTCTTCTTTTGCAGCTGCATGATAACAATCTTATTTGCCTTTGGTTCGTCACTTTCCGAGTCTTGAAGAAAAGTGTTTTTGATTTTTCTTTTTCCATACTTTTTTACAGGTTTCTTCTTGACAGTTAAATCGTCAGAATCTGAGTCGACTTCATCAATTAGGGACTCTTGACTAAGCTGCACAAACAACAAATAATTTGTAATCATTCTATATAACAATTTGAAGTCATGACTTGTAGTCAGCACTTACCAGTGGTTTGTAAGCGTGCGCTTCAGTGTGCTCCTCCATGATTTCTTGCAGCCTAATGAACCACACACTTGCACCTTTTTCTAGCCTGACACCTGATTTCCTCTGTTGTGCTGCTCCATGATTGGCTCCAGCCTCTGTTGTGCTGCTCCATGATTGGCTCCAGCCTGCTGGACTGAAATTGCCCCAGTGTGCCCCTCCTTGATATCCCGCAACCCACCACCAGGGTTCCGACACATAACACACTTTTTTCAGGAAAGTAAACCTCCAGGGGTCCTTTCCATATTTTTACAGAGACTGCATAAGGACCGTTAGAAAAGCATTACCCATTGATTATTAAGCTTGGACCAGTGGGGTCCGGTGTTCGGGCCCCACCACGTAAAACCAGTCCCCATGACGTGAGTGGAATCTCAGGTTATGGAACCCACCAGGAGTTGAAAACAAGTGCACACACACACACACACACACACACACACACACACACACACACACACATACACACACACATACACACACACACAT